CTTGCTTCGCATCGATCTAGCATTCTTGCTTCTTGCTAGCATTTTTGCTTCGCATCGTCGATCGTTGCTCTGCTTCGCAGAGCAACGATCTCGATGGGTTGACATCGTCAACCAAATTCATTGTATACTATAAAATAAATTATATTGTTGATTGTATCATGTACAGGGTGGCCCAAAAGTGACTACCCACACGCAACCTTTTAATAACTCACGTAATTCGTCTTCAAATTGCACCAAAATTTCAGAAATTATAGATATGGGTCCAATTTAGATTTCCTGAAAGTTTTGTAAGCCACGCCCAATTACAGTGGGCGTGGCGTGACACTCCCTCTTTTTCACTATTGTCTTCATAAAATAAGAACGCTTTAAGCATTAAGCTAAGAACTCCAAATAATTTGATAATTTAAAACCTTTCCTAAAGTTTCAAGTTCATTGTTTAAAATTTGGCTGAGTTATGACCATTTCAAAATTCATCGGATACGTGATCCGAGCACTCAGATACGTGATCTCTGCACTTGGTTAATGGCCTGTTTGGCTCACATGCACCGCTTGATTGGTTGCAGGGCTTGTTAGCCCTACTAGTCACAGGTTCGTTCCTTACAATCGATAAAAAGGAATGAACTATCCATTGAATCATCGAAAATGGTTCACTATCCTCCCTATACTGCGGAACAACGATTGTTTGTCTACCTGAACAAAGAGAATGGGGAGTTCTGCCCTCAGCTTAGACGACAATTTCAAATGAAATTCAACCGATCATCCCCTTGCCGGAAAAGCTGCTTTGATATGCATCACAAGATCAAGTTCACTTTTTCTGCAAAAGACGAATTGCGAGGGCCGAAGAAAACATCACCAAGGTTGTTTGTGACGTGATGGATACACTTAAAATTGGCACCCGAAAACGAGCTCCTGCCTTAGACCTCAGCAGAACATCCCTTCAACGAATCCTAAAGCGAGATCTTTCTAACCGGGCCTATATCGGATTACAAAGAAACACCAAATTTTAGACCGTGATTCCTGATTTTCCTGAAAAGGTCACGATCTGGTGCGCCATCAGTTCTCGTGGAATCCTAGGACCTTACTTTTACGAAGAATTTGGTGTTTTCCTGTCTAGCAAAGTCATTATCGGTATCCAATCAATCATGATCAGGTCGTCATCTCCTCAGTATGTTTGGTAAAGCCTAATGAACCTCATTAATACACGCTAACGCCTTACTCTTGATCAGATTGGGTGACGAGATCACTGATTGAGTGCAGAGATCACTGACTGAGTGCTCGGATCACGTATCCGATGAATTTTGAAATGGTCATAACTCAGCCAAATTTTGAACAATGAACTTGAAACTTTGGGAAAGGTTTTAAATTATCAAGCCAAATGTGTGCAAAAAATTTGGAGTTCTTAGCTTAAACTCAAAGCGTTCTCATTTTATGAAGAAAATAGTGAAAAAGAGGGAGTGTCACGCCACGCCCACTGTAATTGGGCGTGGCTTACGAAACTTTCAGGAAATCTAAGTTGGACCCATATCTATAATCTCTAAAATCTTGGTGCAATTTGGAGACGAATTACGTTAGTTATTAAGAGGTTGCGTGTGGGTAGTCACTTTTGGGCCACCCTGTAATCTTACTATATATAAAGCGAGACGATATATACATTCAACGAATAGGTGTACATTTAAATGATAGATCTGTATATAGTATTGTAAATAATGTAGATGATTTAGTTGTAGAATTGATTGATAAAATTTCGAATTGGACAATTGAGTTTAAAGATGAATTAGGTATGTCCAAGAAGGTCAAGGAGTGGGTTATTCCATGTACTGAGCTTAACCAGCCTGGAAACATGTACCTGAATCCCAAGGCACACAAACCACCTTTGTATCCTGGGAGGATGATTACCACCGGCTGTGGTTCATACATTGAAAACCTTTCTGCCTTGACTGCGTATGAATTGAAGAAGGCTACTTTGAATTATAGAATTATTGATACCCCTCACTTTCTGAGGAAGATTGATAGCCTTAACGAGTCTAGCATATTGTTGGGAAAGGAGGTTATACATGTTGCCATCGATATATCTAACATGTTTACCAACATTCCTAGGGATATGGGGATCCAACAATGCACTAAGCACCTGAATAAAAGGAGTAGTGGTGATCAATTGTTTAGTACAGAATGCATTATTAGTGCACTAGAAATTACTCTTGATTACAACATTGCTTCATTTAACGGTATAACATACCGCCAGGAGCGTGGAGCAGCGATGGGTCCTAAGAACTCATGTGAGTATGCTGATTGTGCTATGGATAAGATCGATATTTTAGTTAACGAAGGAGATCTAGAATATGGCCCGCCTCATAGACCAGCATTCTGGGGTAGATTACGTGATGACATTTATATGGCTTGGCCCGGTACTGTTGAGGAACTATTACAATTCATGGAATGGCTCAATAGTATCCACCCAAACCTTTTGTTTACTTACGACTACTCTAGGGACGGCGTTGAGTTTCTAGACACCCATGTCTATGCTGTTGGTGATGTTGTCCACACCAAACTCTACTCTAAACCTAGTGACACCCACTGCTACCTTATCCCCACGTCATGCCATAGGAACCATGTTGTAAAAAACATACCTTTTGGAGTGGCGAGGCGGGTGAGACAGAACAACAGTGAAGACACTAACTTCTTGGAGCAGAGAGAGGTCTACACACGTTACCTTCTAGCCCGAGGTTATCATTCCAGTATTATAGAAGATGCCTTTAACAAATTTAGTGATATAGCTAATAGGAAAAACTTGTATACCCTTAAAGACAAGGATGAGTCGACTGCCTGTTTAATACCCATGGTGATGGATCAAAATCCAGCACTTCCCAACATGGGGGGCATTATCCATAAGTATAAGCACCTTCTCAACCTTGATCCGGCCCTGAAGAAGCTGGTACGTGCGGACAGTGTATTCGTGAGTCATCGAAAGAATCAAACTATCGGTGGCATGCTTGTACACAATAAGTATCGTGCCAGTGGAACTTTAAACTGTGATAATGAGAGAGAAACAACTGCAAGTCAGATCCAGGAACCAGACTCCGAAAGTCTAAGGGCGGTTCCCGGGGCTGTCGACCCAGGGTGCCATGCTTGTGGTAAATGCTATGTTTGTAAGCAAAATTTCCTGTCCCCCTGTTCCAACTTTAGTAGTCACCATTCTAAACAAGTTTTCCCTATAACGAAGTATATATCTTGTCAGAGTTATAACCTCATTTATTTAATGGAGTGTAAGACTTGTAAACAGTCGTATGTCGGTTATACTACCTCAAATCTCCCTAAGAGATTCTCTAACCATAAGAGTCACATAAAGAAAGGTATAAGAAGTTGTAAATTAGTTAACCATTTTTTAGATATTGATCATGATTTAGATTTTAGTACCATAGCCTCCTATAATTCCTCACTTAGTAAGCACCTTTCTGTCATTATAGTAGACGCTTTAGTATTTGAGCCTAATATTAGTAAAGCAGACAAAGAAAAGGCTATGGAAGCTAGAGAGGGGTTCTACCAGACCCAATTGAAAACCCTTGAACGGTTTGGGGGTATGAACACCCTTGATAGTAACCATATACTTTTTAAATCTGCCGGAGCTTAGTTTTAGTTTTAGTATATTTTGTAGATTTTATTTAGTTACATACCATTATTCCAGAGACGTGCATATTACATTTTTTACTTAAGTATAAATTTTACAGGTTTTTTGTTGTGATTTTAAGTGATTTTCCGAGAATCAGTTATCAGTATTTAGATAAGAGATAAGATAAGAGTACATTTTTAACGGCTTTCAGTTTCTTTTTTAAATTTCAGTTCATCAGATTTTCCCACTGCTTTTAGTTTGTATTTATTCTCAATTGTATATGATTCGTATTTGTTGTAGTTACTTTTAATGATATAATTTCTCAGAATTGATGTAAATAAACGATGCAAAGACTTTCGAAGATCTAATCACAACCGCTTTCTTTTATTGTGTAGAAGTCCAGCCATGAAATATATATATATGTGTATATATCCGTGCCATTTTACTGACACCACGGCATCAACTTTAACGCGACTTTCCGCAAAGACCGTAAAACATATACAACTGAAACTTTTTTGACTGGGTCAAATGCTTTAATGGCCTTCAAATCAGCATGAAAAAATAAAAATTGGCCAAGGAATAATAATTTTAGTGCCCAAAATTTGGACTCTCAAGTGGTGTCAAAAACGCGAATTAAATAGGTAATAATTATTTTAGTTTCTCGAGTCTTGACACCACTTTAGGGTTAGACGGGTTCCTGCTAGTATATATAATGCACTGGTTGCGAGAAGCATTATTGGATGGCGGATGCGCGGTGCGGCCGGCGGCCCAGTAACGCATCGCGCTACAATAATGCATAATGATTATTGGGCTGCACTCGCTCTAACCGACTAACCAGAGCTCTATCGCTTGAGAGTTGAGCTGTAGCGCGCGACTGCCGAACTGCCGAAGGCGGCACGGGAACTTGTGAAACAAGCACGTCACGCAGTACGCGTAGACACATGGCTATGTGAAATTGTGAAGGGCCGCACCACTCATCAAATGTGAGATTATGCTTCTCCCCGCAGCGCAGATCGATCGACACTCGGCCATATATTTTAATTCGATTATGATGTGTTCAAACATTGGATACCAATATTATACCAATGTCCAATATATAAGCCTGGCCCATGTGTGGTTGGTAAAGGTTAACGGGTAAAATATCTGTTCCATATATTGGACCGTCGACGAGTCCAACTCGGCGCGCGTCATGGTAGGTTGTAAACCTACAAGGTAAAGGTTGCGTCGTCGCTTGGTGCATTGTCGTTTGCTCTATCCAGAGCCCTTTCGCTTGCAGTAGCGTCACGCAGTACGCGTAGACTCATGGCTAGCTAGTTGCATTTAATAACAAGTTGTATTTTCTTATTATATTTTAATTTTATGACGGCTTGAAAACGATCAAAAGGCAACGTGTGTCAAACCATAATTGCACATAACGGCCTAATATAAGGGCTAAGGTCTTACACATTAAAATAAAGTTGAAGTATATCCTAATCCAGACATCAAATGTTTGCAGTTGCACTTTGCATGCCAGCGTTGAGTCTTAAATGTTTATTGTTCAATCATAAATTTAAATATATTTGTTTCAAAATCATGGAATTAAAGACAATTATTATGGATTATCAAAATCAAAGATGAAATCCTATTCTGTATTCGACTTTCAAGTCCTCAATATCAAGTTTAAAATTAAAAAATATTTATACGAATGAAACGTTTATCGATTTGTTACATGTTAGTTGTTACATTGTACATGTTAGCGCGTCTGACTGTTTAGGTAACTGTTCGGTATAAACTATACAGAATACAGATCCTGGTCAGCTGCAGTTGTAAAGCTTGAATAATTAATTAATTAATTAATTAAATTAATTAACAATCAAGTGGACTATTGAGCTGACGCGAGACTGTACAACATCACAACAACATATTTTTAAAGTTTGGATCATCTTTATAATATATGGCTATAATAATGAATCAAAATGTGATGCATAGCATAAAGCAGTACACAATAACACTTCACAACCCAAAATGTTGTGACTGCAAGATCGTTAGTTTTGGTATTAATCATACCACTAGAGGAACCTTTAAATCGCAAGATTCTGTGCGAGTTGTGGGTAAAACGTCTCGCATTGCCATGGATACAGCTGAAACGGGACCCTCCGCAAGAGTCTCGAAAGTAGTCGCAGATGAACGGCCATTAGTTGTGGGTTTGCTATTGATCGTTTTATCTGCCACTCGAACTGGACAACACCTCATGTGACGATTGAGCTGCGTAGCCTGAAATATCAAAGAGTTAATTACCGATTACGGAATACAAACCACAAACGAGGTAAATGAATCACATGAATCTCGCTCCCACTAAAGCACTAATGCATAACGACAAAATCGCTCGCCCAAAATTTAAAAAATTCCTGTCAAAAGGCCCGGAGGGTATGAAAGTAAAGTAGTTAAATCATATACGTTTATTTTAGTTTTGAACGCTAATTGCTAATCAACCCATGACGCATCGTAAAAATGCTTCCCCGAGGGGTTATGAATATGGGCAAAACACTGTTTTGGTCACCTGACTTTAGCGTCGCTTACACGTTTATAATTACTAGCAGAAACCCGTGTAAGTGTTACCCTGAAGTGGTGTCAAGAGACAACGATATAATTGATTCATTTTGTGATATTGACACGTTTATAATGATAGAAAACGCGATATTCTACTGCTAGACGATTTCAGCTTTTAAGTGCTTTGAAGTGCTTTACCGTCCACTCGTAGAGACACTTAAAGTAAGTATAGTACAGCCCGAGAGTTGTTTTTAGCTACCAATATTATACTACAAGTTGAAAATTTGAACCATTAGACTGATTTTTAAACACTAATATTCATAATTATTGGTCTAGACAAATTGCAAGTGGTCACAATTAAATACAACGACTTACTCAATTAATCTCCAATCTCCGTATTTCTGGACGAATCAATAGTATTAAAGTTGAGCGGAAATTAGCCGCTGTATCCCTTAAATGGGCGAGAAGTTTAGTAGTTTAAAAGCATTAAAGGTCATTATCTTGAATAGTACGATACCAGTCAGGCAATTTAAACTATTGCAGTTACTCCCCTTGAAAGATCGTCACGCCGGTATCTATTAAATACTCCATTTTTATTTACCGCTCGCAGTTGGAACTGTAATCATTTCTCCACTTTTGAGTTTTAAATTGCTCTTTCAACTTAAACTTTTAAATACTCGAACCCTTATCTTGAACTCAATTCAGTCCGGATTTTTTTGAGAAAAAATGGCCACGTTATGAGCAAAAAAGTAGTGAATATTTGGGCATGTTTGAGCAAATTTGGTAATATATTCAGACATCCGTTTATTTGAATGATACTTTAAATGAAAGGAGCCATAAAATGCATATTCACTTTTAATCTTATTTACAGGTCAATACTTATTAAAATTTAAACTTTAAGGCAAAATCAAAACAAATAACCAATGCATCGGTTTTCGATTTTTGCTGCTAAAGTTTGCTCGATTTAAAAAAAAACTTTTGCGAGTAGCTGGATCGAAAAGCTGTTGGTTGATTAAACTTTGAAAATAGAGCGAAACAAAATTGTGACCTTACCGCCTTAACGCGAACACATAGTAGCCATTATCAGCTCACATCTGTAATTCCATGAACGCTGACCAGTGAATATCACCTCCGCGCGATCTTATCACCCTTGCAGACGCGATCAGCTTCCAGCATTGACGTATCAAAACCCAGAATCGATATCACGTGTTAAAACAAATATAGGTCATCTCCCACTGGTATTCAGATCAATGCAGATTCAGTTAAATGAGGTTTACAAATTATTATCTTTATTTATCACCAAATCAATAAAGGCATCTTAGTCGGATTTTCTTTCATTCCTTCGCGATTTAGAGCAGCGTAGGCCTGAGTGATAAAAATGTCATGTAAAATTCCGAGGATTTGAACTCATTGCTGCACAACCCAACCGAATTAACTGTCGAAATCCCTGCAGATTTTGTCTCAACCATACAATTACATTACAACTTCATCCAATTGTAAAGAATTGCATTATGCATTAATCATTGCGTTACCTACAAATGGTAGGCACTATATTAACCCTTTAGTTCCCTTTAGTTCCACTTCCAAGGGCAATTTTCGAGAAAAATAAATCGGACAACTTTTCTCTGAGAAAATATTTATTTGGAAACCTATTTCAACGCAAATTAATATTTGGGTGAACAAATTGTAAACTTCAGCATGACCGTGGAACTAAAGGGTTACGATTTACAAGTTAAGAAGTTAAACAGCTGTTTAAATCGTGTTAAACTGTACCTCTTAAATTGTAGATTCCTTAGGCAGCTTTTAAACGATATTTATTCCACAGCAGTATATTTTCCTAGGCGACGAATTGAATTCATTTAGCGTTTCAAAAATTACGATACAGTTTATAATTATTTCTTTATGCGTGCTCAGAAAAGAGGATCCTTGATTGACCACCATTATGTATTGCAACATTTTTTCCCTTAAAGTTAATACTCGCTTTAAGAGTTCATAAAGGATAATCTTCAGGCTCACAGATATATCCACAATTGAACGGAGTGTTTTATGTGCATCATACCAGATTGATCCTCATATCTCAAATAATCATTATTTTAACATCTGAGTTAACGAGGTTTCTTAAACGATTCTGGTGCAAAATTTGTAGTGTTCCCGCTTGTTGCGACAAGGAAAGTTATTTTAACACTTGAGTTTAGAGTTTTGATTAAAAAACTATGCGTAATTTTTGATGGAAAGCAAATTAAGCGTGCGTTATAAGCTATTTAAAGTCTCAAAACATACTCTTTACATGTTGAGCGGTGCAGAATACACGAGACTTACCAAGGACCGGGAAAAAATGATGTCAATAAGCTACACCGCCTACCTCACCACGGTTAGTAACACACTATCGTTATTATTTTACAAATCTGTTTATAACACCCAATGATTTTAATAAGTTTACACAATCATTTTGCAAAATGTTAAGTTCAGTCATTAATAAACATCTAAGGAGAGGATAGGGCGAGTTCGTGAGAAGTGATCCGAGGTCAGATATTGAGAGAGAAGAAGATGTAGAGTGAAGGCCCGGAATCTGAGAAGCTGTAGAGGAAGAAGATGTAGAGTGAAGGCCCGGAATCTGAGAAGCTGTAGAGGAAGAAGATGTAGAGTGAAGGCCCGGAATCTGAGAAGCTGTAGAGGAAGAAGATGTAGAGTGAAGGCCCGGAATCCGAGAAGCTGTAGAGGAAGAAGATGTAGAGTGAAGGCCCGGAATCTGAGAAGCTTTAGAGGAAGAAGATGTAGAGTAAAGGCCCGAAATCTGAGAAGCTGTAGAGGAAGAAGATGTAGAGTGAAGGCCCGGAATATGAGAAGCTGTAGAGGAAGAAAATGTAGAGTGAATGCCCGGAATCTGAGAAGCTGTAGAGGAAGAAGATGTAGAGTGAAGGCCCGGAATCTAAGAAGCTGTAGAGGAAGAAGATGTAGAGTGAAGGCCCGGAATCTGAGAGGCTGTAGAGGAAGAAGATGTAGAGTGAATGCCCGGAATCTGAGAGGCTGTAGAGGAAGAAGATGTAGAGTGAAGGCCCGGAATATGAGAAGCTGTAGAGGAAGAAGATGTAGAGTGAAGGCCCGGAATCTGAGAAGCTGTAGAGGAAGAAGATGTAGAGTGAAGGCCCGGAATCTGAGAAGCTGTAGAGGAAGAAGATGTAGACTGTAGAGTGAAGGCCCGGAATATGAGAAGCTGTAGAGGAAGAAGATGTAGAGTGAAGGCCCGGAATCTGAGAAGCTGTAGAGGAAGAAGATGTAGACTGTAGAGTGAAGGCCCGGAATCTGAGAAGCTGTAGAGGCAGAAGATGTAGAGTGCAGTCCCGGAATCTGAGAAGCTGTAGAGGAAGAAGATGTAGAGTGAAGGCCCGGAATCTGAGAAGCTGTAGAGGAAGAAGATGTAGAGTGAAGGCCCGGATTCTGGGAAGTGAGAGATTCGAGAAAAAGAGGCTAGACGAACTGAAATTCAAGAATAGAGTGAGAAGCAGTGTGGGAAGGCTATTAGCCACTTGACCGTACAGAGTGAGAAGCAGTGTGGGATCAAGGCTATCAGCCACTTGATCCTAAATTTATTCGAAAAATTATCCCCCAACTGATTTCCCCCGATACCAAGTACACAAATATTTCGGCATTAAAATTTTACATAGCGGCAATACCACCGATCTAGAAATGCTCCCATTTGTGTACAAACATTATCGCAAATACACAATGTTTCATGGTTACTTTGTATCAGGTAGTAGCAGTTATAGTAAACAATTAAAGTCACATATAATATTAACCTTTCCCAGTGATACTATAAAACGTAATGAGTCTTCTAGTTGTAGCAATATCATTGTTATTACAAATTTGGCTGACGCTAACGTAGCATTTTAAATTAATGAACATTGGCCAACAATATTGCAACCCAATCATACAGTGGATCTTTCATTTAGTCCACTTTTGGAGGTCAATATTGAACCTGCTGCGAGTAATTTCATTTATTAGATCAACACCTACGCGTAAATCCATTGCCATTGATCCGTATAACTCGGCCGGCGAATCAGCAAAACTAATATCCAAGGCACAGTCACAATCCCACAATTTCCAATGTTTGCAGTGACATAATCTCTAATTCAATTATTGAAATGATGGCGCGACTCTCGCTACTTGACATAAACGGTAACACATGTCATTAATACAGGGAATCAATTTAGGGAGTGCCAATGAAGGAAGGTCCAATATTGACAAATATGCACTATGAAAACAACTTCTTGGCAATTCCTCTCGCTGTATGCCGTATGCTCAGAGTCAGTCTCTAGTCCCTTCTTTATAATTATATTGTAAAGTTGTCGAATGTTTTGCTTAATAAAATTGCTCTTGAAAGAAACTGTGCTATGTTCATTTCAAAATTAACTCCCAAATATGGCAATTTAAAAAAAAATTACTCGTAAACATTCAAAATTTGTAGGCATGAGTAGAAGGGAAGGCGAAGGGTACGTTATTACAAACATAGGGGCTGATTAAACAGGACCGTTGTAAAGTAACCCGAAATGAAATGAAATTATTTCAAGGACCGCGCGAGATCGTGACATGTGGGATTTTAACTCGTTAATCTGTCTGAGGTTCGCATTTAATATACAGCATAAAATACAAAAAGTCAATTCTAAGTCAGTGTTAGTAGTAGGTTTGGTTGTTGCTGAGCTGTTTACAGTTAGTGGTAACCGCGCCTACCTGGTGGTAATCTGGTGATGAACTCTATCTATTTGTTATGTTCTAAGTAACGGTCATTATATGCTGCTCGAGCAGTGCTTTGGTTATATCTTGGACAATAGAGACTTGTCACAGAGGGTCTAAATGCATTTATTCTAGTGACCGCCTCACTTAATAGAACCTGATCGAGTGCGTTCGCGTTCTCATGTGTTACGCAGATTACATGAATTGACCAACATTTTAATGGCGAACACTCCGTTCGTATCAAATCCCAGATTGAAGTCCTATTTTGCCCAAATAGAAGCCTGGCAGTATGTGATTGTGACTCATTATTAACCGGTCTTCAATTTCGAATCGATGTTCTTTCCCCAAATTAATTGACTTTCCTTCCAGAGAACCCGTAAACTATGATGGTCTGCTTTGTAACAGATTTTTTTCACTACGTTAAATCTTTCTTCGTGGGCCGGCCTGGTGTAAACTACAATAAGCATGCTCTTTCTAAAGCGCATTTCAATATAATACAATAATACCTTGGCTGTTGAGTGCTACGGGCGATAATGCGGTTTAGGGATGGTTCCTGGGAGAACACATTCTTGCACAGAAATGCTTGGGAAATTATAGTTCCCAAGTGTTATATATTTATGCTTATTGTGCCTAACTATAGGTTCAAAGCGCGGTTCATTATAACAAAATCCTTAATCCCAATAGTTGGTAAACCAGATGTGAATTAATAATTAGGTAGGTAAACATATATTTTCATTTTGCGGTATGATGTTAACACTTTACGACAATTCCACGAATTCAAGCTTCACAATATTATAAGATAACGAAATTTCACATCAGCGCCAAAATTGTTTCGGTTTCTCAGTTACCTGGTTAATATCGTTTAAATTGTGCCTTTCGTGATTGCCCTCTCAATTGTTATCTACCTGGGTGAATGCTTTAAAGCAGGCGTTACACTTGTGAGGTTTCTCTCCCGTGTGGGTTCGTATGTGGTTGTTAAGAGTCGTTGCACCTGAAATAGAAGCAATGTATTCTTGTGTAAATTTGTATTGATCCAGTTTGGTGCGACAAGGAAAAATGCTCTTATCAGGAAAGGAATTACTCAACGTTTCAATGTAACAACAACGTATTCATGATCTCTTATTATTTGTTATATATAACAAATAGCACTACTACATATTATAGTAGTGTTGAAAGTATTAAAAATGAAATAGAAGCGTTAGTTAATTTTGACGTTTTCATTGCTTCCTCAATCCTCAAGGAGCCGAACCCCATGGAGTCGATAATCTTAAATAACTTCTTAAGACTGTGGATTTAAGCGAATATTTTAGAGTTATCTCGTTACGTTGATTTGATCGAGGGATCATCTTCAGCGATCACTGCTCGCGAACATTTATATTTATAGGATTAGGTAGTTAAAGAGTTAATCTGAATACTTTTTGATGGAAGATTTGATGAAGCTGTATAACTTGCTGAAACCTTTTATATAAGTCTCAGCAAGTTGCCGCAGATGATTCTTCAGTTGTTTTACCTGACACACCAGTCCCTGTGCGCGGCGCTCTTTTCAAGCTTCCTGTACGAGCAATAGACTAGCAAGCTAGGTAACAGTATTGCTTGACTGCTTCTAGTAGAGGTCCCGTTATATACTCTTAACTATCAAATTTGGATAACTACCTAGGTTTCTGTATTTATAGGAAATAATCCAAATTTATAATAATAATAATAATAATATATATGGCTATGGCTTACCAGCAAAGGCCCTGCCACAAAAAGCACATTTAAAGGGTCTCTCTCCAGTGTGTGTAACTATGTGTCTCCTGAGGCTACTGGACTGCGGAAACGTCCTCCCTGGAAGAAGTTTACGATTAGGCTGGTGAAAAAAAGTTTAGGGATATCAGCAGGAGTGTGAATTGGTTGTAAACGGCACAGAATGGTTCATAGTCTATTGGATAGTTAGATATAACCGCCGATACCCAAAAATAATATTTTCATTTCCTCATAAATACAAATTATGTGACATATCTAAAGTGTGCTTAAACAGTTTAACATGACGTGTCTGCTGATGTTGGACCATTATTATAAAGTGCGACATTCATGTTATGTGGTATTGGGTAGTGGAACATCGATAGTAAGCTGACGGCTTGACTTAACAATCGGCTTCCTTATGATTAATTGCTTTATTCCACTCGTTCGTTTGTTTATAATACCCTTACCCAATCTCGTATCAGGAAATGAGTGTAAATACGGGTGGTACCTCATTTTACGTGTTCATTTCATGGAATTTAACGAATTAACCGATTGAGTTTTGGGTAATTTTAGAGTTTGTAAGACAATGCTTTACCCCAACCCTGACATGAATTTGTCTCAAGCATAATTGCTATCGTCAGTATATGTTACTACATACGATATATTATATCTGTTGCCATTTTTGATTTTACTGATAGCACGACATTAATTTTAACTCAAACTTCCGCTACGAAAACCGTAAAAGATATGAGATTGAAACCTTGTTGGCTGGGTCGTACTCGTATGCTTCGATGGCCTTATGAACAGTATGGAGATATAAAAAGTTGGCCAATGAATAATGGGTTTTAGGTGGCAGGTGGCAGTACTAGCGTTATTGTCCAATTTATTTACTTATTACTTAATACGCCATTAACTTAATTAAGATCGTACGTAACGCAGACTCACGCTCATTAAGATGAAGTTAAGTTAAACTTAAAGTTGATAATAAGGCTTTGTCATTTATTGCTTAACTGCCGACAGTTTAACCTATTACCAGTTCCATAATACTAATAGGTATATATAATAGCTTTGGCAAAGCCAAAGATAACCGATAATATATGAGTCATATGTACGTCAATGACAATAGCTCTTGCTCAAGTTATTCCCTTTTAAGCTATCATAATATTATATATATTTTACCTCTTAGAAATTTCTTTCAAGTTTTCAAGTTTTCACTTTCATTCAAACTTTATTTCGACCCGTCACTTTATATATAAACAGGATTAAACAGGATTAAACAGGATTAAACATGAAATTACCAGAGAGAACACTAACGGACTCGTCTTGGCTATACAAGGATGAATAAATAAATCAATAAATAGAATTATTAAAACTGAAACATTTAAAAATTATTAAAATTTAACCGTTTACAATTTCACGAAAATAAAAGAAGATCGTCTATAATAATTTAAGGTAATACAGTAAATAAAGTTCGAGTACGAGGATTAGGACTTATTTTTAGGATTTCGAAGGTTTGAAGAGTCTGTTAGGTATTTCCCGAATTCTTTTGTGTGACAAGAGTTCATTACCTATGGTCCTATACTCTTTTAGCATTACAAGGCTTTTCAGGTTATCAGAAAGCTTTGAGCGGAGGGAGTGGTATCCAGGGCATTCAGTTATGACATGATCCTCAGTTTCTAGGATAGGTGTTTCAAAGAAAGGTAGCTCTTCGAAAAAGCGAATGACGTCTGTGTCTGGAGAGCAGCAAAAACGACACGTTTTCAATGCTGTGTTGTATCGATCACTAGTATATCGACCTTTCTCTACTCTCAGATCATGACTGCTAGAGCGAAGTTTAGCAATGTTAGCTCTCTTAAGCCTGCACGGAATCTGTAAGTACTGTTCTTCACCAAACTCAGGTTTGACCGCGGTGTAGAATGACATCTTCGGCTGGTTGTGAAGATCCTTTTTCCAGTGGTTCACAAAGGTTTCGTGTATGTGCTCACGTGCTGCAAGAGCGGGGTGTAGGTTTGGTTTAGCGGAGGTGCTCATCTTGATGATAGTGGACCAAGTGTGTGCGCTTAGGGGGTAATTTGGTAGAAGGAGTTAAAGTTGAGAGTTTTAGGCGAGGTCAGAGGTGTCTTTAGCTTTTCTTTACTTTCGAGATAGAGGGGGGACAATTGAGACAAGTTCGTAAACTAATGTAAAGCGAAGTGGAGTAAAGTATAAATACTACTTGTCACAAAATGAGTCACAGTATAGGATTCTGTACCCTCAGTACTGGAACTTACAAACTTAAAAACGTCAAACATTGGGACTTAAGAGTCGAGGCCCAAGAACCAAGAACCCAGAGCTCAAAAGACAAGAACCTAGAACCAAGCCCTAAGACCTAAGGGTCTGAAGCCTAAAAGTCAATAGCCCGAAGCCGCTTATTGGATGAAAATACGACCTTATAAATAATTCCTTATCGCATTCATGACGTCATTCACGTGTCTGAATCGTAACAATATCATTATCAATGTCTCTGAATTCCGTGCAAAATTCAAATCAATTTATCTGATCTCGTTCTTAAAAGTGTTATAATTGTCTTCGTAAATCTCGTTGCTACTAAAACAATATTGCAAAACATTCTTACGTCCTTCTCTTTCAAAGAGATAACCTCCTTATCTTTCAAAGGGAAAACTCGTCTTATAAATCATATGCTACAACAATATTGCAAAACATTCTTACGTCCTTCTCTTTCAAAGGGAACCTCCTTATCTTTCAAAGGGAAAACTCGTCTTATAAATCACGTTGCAAATACACAAAACTCGAACAGCATAAACTTGTCTCCGTGCGAATCTCCACAGTAACATATTTCTTCACACGATCTTATTACTTTAAAAATTCTAAAATAAGCGCACGTGAAAGTCTGATTTAAATTCCTGCAGGCTTGGATCATTAACCTGTAAATAATTCTAAAACTTTGTTAATTATCACCTTATCGTGAAACCTGGAGATGAGCCGACTGGCTCAATCAAAATACCAGTCAAGACCATTCAAAACTAACCACTTGGAATGCTCGGAATATCAAGAACTTAAATCTAAACAGCTTAAAGTAAGGGTACAGAATCCGTGGGAGGTTCCGTAGTAATTGGGCTGTAAGTTTCAAGGTCTTTACAATAATTTACGATCATATTAAAATGTGTTATTTGGACTTAAAGAAATGCTCGAATCAGGACGGATATTAAACAGCGTACAAGTGTCATACCAGGTAAGGTTCAGTTGTTTCTGCTCCTGAAATGTATGGTGCAGAAGTGTGTTCACGTTACCTACTACCGCCTGTGATGCTCTATAGAAGTAGGCAATACATTGAGGGAGGACGGTCACTGTCCAGGGGGTTCTTCCTGTGTCGCCGTAACAGAAGTTGTTATTTGCCTTTTTGTGGACACCCAATATCCATTTAAGAATTTTTAGGTGAGTAGATTCGAGAGCATCTTTTGCTGCTGCTTTTGGGAGACTCACTTCTTGGTTTTTTGAGAGAATGGCTTTCGCGATGTTGGTCGATGGCAGCCAAACAGGGCATCCGTATGTAGCTGCTGGCTTGACTAAGCTATCGATGAGTTTTAGCATCGTGCTAGTGGAGAGTGCTCTCGTGTCAATAATTCGTCTCATAGAGAAGAACGAGCGTAGAGCTTTTTTCCTAAGCTCGTCGATTGCTTGTTTGAAGGAACCGTTCAGAGAGAATTGGATTCCAAGGTAGCAGTATTTTCTTACTGGTGCGATGTCCAAGTTTCCTAGTTTAAATCCGTAAGCACATTTGAGTATTCGTGAGCTTGTGTTAAATACCATCACACTGGTTTTGTTGATGTTCACAGACAACTCCCACTTTACGGCATAGTCATGCAAGCAGTTCAGCAGTTTCTGTAAGCTGTCCGCATCCAGCGCTAAGAGGACCAGGTCATCTGCCCAAAGGAGGTGGCTTACTTTAACACCGTTTAGAAGAGGTACATCCAATTCCTCAATTTGTTCCAGCCTGATGGAGAGCTCGTGGATATAAAGTTTGAAGAGCTCAGGGGACATTGGATGCCCTTGTTCTGTACCGATCGTGACGTCAATGGCTGCGGAGAGCTTTTGGATCAGCTTGACTCGGGTTGAAGAGTTGTTGTACATGTGACTGATGCATTCGAAGAATTTGCCTGCTATTCCCATGTTGCTCAACTTGAACAGAAGTGCTTCCCTACATACACTATCGAAAGCCTTGCGATAGTCAACAAAGCATGCGAATAGTCGCTTCTTCTCTTTCTTGGCGTATTTCTCTATGATTGTATTTAGGGTGAGTATGTGGTCATTACATTGGGCTCCACTCCTGAATCCAAGTTGATAGGGTCGGTCAGGACAGGCTCTTTCTCTGAATTCGATTAACCGTTTGAGGAGTAGATTCGAAAAGAGTTTACCGAGACAGCTCCCAATTGTTATGGCCCGATAGTTATCAGGGTTTTGCCGGTCACCCTTCTTATGGAGGGGAGTTGTGATGGAGTTGTTCCAGGGGTAAGTTCCATGCTGGAGGCAGGAGTTGAAGAGTTTTACCACGACGAGTTGGAGTTTCTCGTTGGAGTTTTTCAACATTTCGTTGGATATCAGATCATCGGACACACTCTTATTGTTTTTGAGTTTTTTAGTTGCATCTTTGATTTCCTGTAACGTGAAGTCGCGATTCAGTTCATCGACCAATTCCTTGGTGAGCTGCGAATTGTTGGACAATGGAGTAGAGGTGACATCGTCCCTTGAGTGATCGTTCCTACCACACTTCCGGTTGTAGAGATCATTAAAGAATTTGTGGAAGAGGATGAGATCGTAAATGTCGAATGGTTCTTCATCTTTGTACTGGTCAGATAGCCGTTTGAGTGCTGCCCAGTTTACATCTCCACTTTCGTTTATCTTCTGGTTCATCTCATACAGGAATTTCCCCTTTTTCATCCTCTTAATAGCTCGGTATTCCTTTTTTCTGAGGAAGTGCTGGTCACGAAGGAAGTTGCTGTGTGGGTTACTGTTGGCATTTCTGTCGGCTCTGTTGGCCTCCCTTTTAGCATGTCTACAGCTTTGGTCAAACCACTTTTTCTTACTGGTGCGTTTGCCACTTTTGGTCGTAGTAACAAAATTCGCAAGATTGTGGTATGTTGCAACCACGTCTTCATTAAGCTGAGCAGCGTCGTTTGCTGTGTTCACTGGTTGATCAAGGAGGCAGTCCATTTTGTCTTTGAATGACTGATCATTCTGTGCCAGCCGGAACTTAGTTGCTGTGTCTGCAGAGAGGTTCTCTGATAAGTTCCATTTGAAAGCTTTAGGTGCATCTTGGATATCTGGCGATTCAAGACTGTTAGAAATCCTTCTTAAAGGGTTTGTCTATATATAAATAGAGGTATATATATTATGATTATGATTACCATAATAGGGAATATATTATATATATTCCCTATTAAGGGAATCATAATCATAATATATATACCTCTTAGAAATTTCTTTTACAGTTTTCACTTTGAAACTGTTTCCGAGCCGTCGCAGTTTAGCGGAAAATATACGCTAATGTTAGAAATAGAATGTTAGGATAGTAATGTAAGGAGCTACCGTATCTGCATAACTTTGGTCAAACTTCGAGGCGAATATATTTCCTTCGGGTATTACGAACATTTCTCGACGTGACCAGTAACTACGGAACGCATTATTAAGGCGGCAGTAGCTTGTATAAAATTGATGTTTACATGCGAAACTGAAATCTAATGCATCCTCGCTAAAAGGGAAGGTTGAACTTTAAATTACGGCTATAAATAGTAATAACTTCTGTGATTTCGAAATCATCACGAGCTGCTATCGTTTGCCTTTATAATCAACAGCATTGCACCATCCATAACATATGCATGGTATAGGCATAAACAGCAAAACGATATGGCTGCGTGCTTTAACCTTCTAACTTGATTTTATTGATTGAATGCGACGATCGAAGGCTTATGAAAATTTTATTAAAGGAGCCCTGTTATATCATGATTTTAACCATTTTGATCAAATTTTTCGTTGCTTTTTTGTTACACCGATTGAATATTGATTTCATTTGGTCAGATGCTCAATTATAAGAAATCGTAAGCGTAAATCAAAATTTTAAAACAACAATGGCTAAAGTTAAACATATCGAAGCCAATAATTGTAGCACAAAAAGGGAACGGGTAACGTTTTGACCTTGTAGTTGTATTACTCTATATCTATAATTATGGTGTTACTTTTCTTCCTTTTCTTGTACTGACTCCATTACGCTGCATTTGCGAACTGAACTTGTGGACAGAATCACGTCACTATTTTATAACGAATTTCAATCGCGGTGATTTCACCAAGTTTGGAATATAGAAGAATATAGAACTATAATAACTATTTAGCCCGGCCTGATGTGACAGAGATTTAAAAGAAAAAGTCAGAAAACCTAACTCACCACAATGTCCACATTCGTAGGGTCGCTCTGCCGAGTGATTGGCCGTGTGGAGATGCAACTCATACGCTGATTTGAAGCTCTTTCCGCAAATATCACACTTCAGTAGCATATCCAGGACAGAACTGGGGATTTGTAAAAAAGAGGTTAACCATTATAGTTAAATATGTGGAGATCTATAAGTATAATCTTGGGTCAGTGCTCTATAAGTAACATAAACGATCCTGCAGATAATTATCCCAACTATAGCTTTATGGGATGGCAGACTAGATATTACTTTACTGCGGCTAACTTATTTAATATTATTTTACAGATATACAGTCTTATTACAGAATATTGCGTATGCTTGTATGTTTTAATTTTTAAATATAAGTTAATTTGATTTTAAACAGCGCTTCTACTTCTTAAATGGATTTGGAATGATTTCAATTCCATCGAGTCCATGATCGACGATTGTATGAATCAAATTCTTGAAGTGGTAGCGATAATTGTTTTTTATATTAAGATTTCAAATTGCACTGGTAGCAATTGTACTAATGGCTCAGTTATTATATTGTCACATTAAGCTAAACTTTTAAATTTTCATAAAAGGTTTTACGACCTCCAGAAATTCAAAGAATTGTTTCTTATAAATATAATGGCTTAAAATTCGTTATATTATAATACAAATCCAATACACACGGCCAAGAATAATTTAGTTCTCTAGCGAGACACCTTTGTTCAGTTACACGTGACATGAGATTAATCTGTGCAAACATCGCTAAGTAACCGCGTGATAGTACACTCAATTTCATCTCAGCATCAGAGCAGTCCAATCGTAAATCAAAGTCATCAAGGTCGACAAGTACTCCATCATATCTGTTGCGCAATAATGCATTTGATGCCTGATCCTCATTTGCCAGTTTTTCTTGGTTTTTGCAATGGCTGATCGTTTTAGTAAAAACCGTCGATCAATCGGCGTCCACACTCCATAACAGAGAAATAGCATTGACATCACGGTTTAAAAGTTTAAACTGCTGGCAACATGTCATAACCATACCGGAGTGTTTAATCATAAACTTTTAAAGACTCGCCATCTTACTTTTAATTTGCTCCCTTGAACCTGCACTATAGTCGGACTCGCCCGCGTTGAACTGCAGTTTATTATAGTCGCCCGCGTTAAATTGTGCGTCATGAAATAAATGGGCGCGACAGTACAATACGGCTTTACCAAAAATCTATGAGTCTATTAAAATACAAATAATTTGACGACATATCTTACAACTGTACCAGGTGGCTATCACTATACTATGGTGTAAATAATAAATATTTAGATGGTAGTAAAACGCCCAAAATATATTCTTACTGTGAGTGAAGAGCACCGCTGAGAAGAGTCGTGGTGTCAAAGGAGGAGAATCTGGGTCTTGATACCGAGCTGAGGTTGGGACTGGGAAAAGAGAGGCTGGAGGGAAGTGAGAGGCTGTGAGGGAGAGACAGAGAGTTGGAGAGGGTTAGAGGAAGCAGGGAGGGTCTCGATTTCGTACCAGAGAGTAGACTCTTGATAGTGAGTGGACTTAGTTGTAATCTGAGGGAGAGCATGAGATCAGGTATCTTTCAAAAAAACGAACGAAATGTGAGTTCATTACAATTTGCTCCTGAATTTTGATGCCTTAAATTCATCAGTAAGGCTGAAACAAGGAAAAAGACAGCCGTCAATTATGCCACTCAAATCATGACAACTTAAGCTTCGACCGTTGTTATTAATGTGGCGAGTGTCCTGCTTTTAAATATGGCGCTGTTGTATGACATTATAAACAATGCGATCTCGCAACTTTTCTGTTTTATTACGAGATGAATGATTTGGAAGCATCAATCTTATTTAGATCCAAATTTTGACGCAATTTGATGCCCACTGGCTCGATATTTCGCTTTATTTCTCGCGAACCAAGCGCGTTCGTTTCATTTACCTAACTGAAATTCACCACGTACCTTCTAGCTAGGGTCTTACTCCTACATAAAATTTGTCTCACAAAGACGGATTGGGTATTTAGTGGTATTTACAAAACTTTGATGTATAAAGTATCGTGAAACCCGAATTTTGCAACGTTTTTGTGACTGCAACGAATTGAGCAATCACTTATCTGCGATAGAATATAGCACAATACAATAACAGCGATAGAATATAGCATAAATATTAAATAGTCGACAAATTTTGCTTCGGCACTCACCGAGCTGCCCAGGAATCGTCCGAAGGAGTCGTAACTGGTTCACATTTTACATGACCCTCAGCTTCACTCAAATGAACAGCTGTAGAAATATCATGACCAGGCGAGGAGCCCAAGTGGACCTGATTTAGAGTTGTTTCCGATTTATCCGTCTGTCCGCCAGCTGCTTGGTGTGGTGAACGGAATGCGCATCCACCTGAATACGTTTTCGTTATTCATCTTTTAGTTTTATCGAGAATTACGACTGCTTATGAATAATCAGACTAGTTAATACTTGAATATTACTATTACTTCTTGATGACGTGGCCTTCAATATTATTATCTATTATTGTATAGAAAATCGAGTTTTAAGGGTTTAGTATTGTATTTGTTGTATTGTTATTTAAGGGTTTAGTTTTGTTATTTGAGATCTGGTCACGGCAGGGCGCGTACCTAATGTTATAATTGAAGCAAGTTTAGTGACGGAAAAGAAATTATAAAACGGAAATAAGAAATACATATACATATCACCGGAGACTCGCGGGCGGAACAAAATATTGCACGCGCACGCGCGTGCAATATTTCATATGTCCCCGAGGGCGCTAGCCCGAGGAGGACATATTTTCGTATAGCACTGAGGGCCCATCGGGCCCGAGTGCTATACGATTTTTCCGCCCGCGGGTCGAGGTGATGTGGATTATATCCACCAGCGTGAGCTTTTTCTTACAGATATTAGTTTTTACTTTAGTTTCTTCAAGAGATCCGTTTTTAATTTAGTTTCACTTTTACTTTCAACATGTTTCTTATAGGATAGTTCCGCCCTTGAGGCGAGGAATGATATCGTGTATATCCGATATCCACCAGCGGGCGTTTATCACGAAGCTTCAGTTTGCAACAATCACAGCAAATTAATGTACAGGATTTCAGAAAAGTTACGAAAAAATCATGTTGCTTTTGGTTTAAGATGTAAAACAGGCCAAAATGACTGACTATAGAACGAAAAACCGGCTGCTATCAAACAATGTTTCAGCTCATTGTTTCAGGTACATATTTTAATGTAAACGATCAAAATATAGGCCCTCTCCCTCTCTCCTTCTCTCCCTCTCTCCCTCTATCCCTCTATCCCTCTCTCACTCTCTCCCTATCTTCTTTTCTCCTTCTCCCACTCTCCTTACGTCCCTATCTCCCTCTATCCCTCTCTCTTTATCTCCCTCTCTCCTCCTCTCCCTCTCTTTCTCTCCTACTCTTCCTCTATACTTCTCTACCTCTCTCCCCTCTCCCTCCCTGGAACCAGAACAAGCACCACCAGTCGCCATAGAGCCCTCTACTACCAAGTTAGTTGTCATTATCATGTCAGTTACCTGGGTAACCAGGGTTACCCGGGTAACCAGTTACTACAGTTTCTGTAGCAGCTACTGAGTGGCTGGACACTTAAAAGTAGTAACCCAGAGAGCTCGAGATCACAGTCTGATCATGGACATTTAATATGAAAGTTAAAGATAAAATTCATAACATCAATTTAAATGGCAGTTTCAAAACAAAAACAGGGCAAAATATCTTTCGGGAACACAATAGAATAACACGTAAAATTTCGGCCTACATTTCAAGATTTATCGACTGAACTAGTGAAATGAAAATGGTAAACACAACTGAAATGGTAAACACAGAACAATTATCGATACTATAATAGAGATCACCGGCTTAGACTTTAGTCTGAACGTCTCCACGAATTTGGTAATCATAGTAACAGTTTGTCAGTGTCACGTGTTAATTATGAGCCAATCATGGCAAACTGCGTGACAACTAATATAGCGTCCGATAGAGGGTGAGCTCAGAGTTTACAGTTGATACATTCTTTACATCCACTGCATATTGCCGTGGGAATTTAGAAACAGAAACTACACTAATTAGCTCACTGTACGATTATTGCAATTGAATTCATCGTTAATGAATTAAACCGGTTTCAACTATAGTTCTGAGAAACTTGTCAGTTGTTGTCTTATGGAATTTCACATGGAGACGATACAGAAACTGAAAATATTTTAGAGAACTCCGGGCTATATTGCTAATGGTCAAATTAAATGTCACTTGTTATCGGGCTATATCATGAGCGGGCTGTAGAGATATCGGGCCCTTTGACAGCGGGCTGGTGAGAGCCCGCTATGCGAAAAAGCGCACGCTGGTGGATATAATAATATATACCTTATCGGACCTTATTTGGACGGACATTACATGAACGGACATAATTGTGAACGGACATTAATATGAACGCTCGAAGGCATTCAAAACCATCAAAAATCCGAATTTTTTTCAATTTTTTGACGTTTTTTTAATTTCAGCAAATGATTTTTTAATCCATTTTTATACAGTAAGTAAGAAAATCAGTCATTAAGCAGTAAAAATGTTAAAATATGTGTACATGATCAGTGTCTAATATCACATATCATCTTCATTAAATGGGTTTTCGTGCATGAAATAGTCCATGCTTAAACAAGCATCAGTGATTTCTAGCTTTGTGGAAACCTTTTTTTTTATCAAACTACCCCGGTCCTGCATTTCATTGTTAACTTTTACAAGCCATTCGGCGTGAAGTGGTTTTATCTTAGACAACTTTAGGTTAACCTTAACATCACGTGGAGCTTTCCTAGAACTGTTTCATTACCTCCCCTCAGTAATATGAACTATAACAACGTCGGACAATGTCCTTGGCAACACGATTTACCGTAATATCTAGAGGCTGGAACAAGTTTGTCATGTTGGCGGGGACTAGCTCATGAACTATGTTGTTGAGTGCCATAATTTCGTTGACTTTTTTCCGCCAAGTGACCCTTGAAAACATCATATAATACTAGTAGAGTTTTCTGTGCCTCCGGCAGACCAAGGAGAACCTTTCCGTCGTTAACTTACGGCACAATAAAGTTCTCAAAGTTGTTATATTCTGGACAAAAAGTTCGAAATGGAAAAATTTTTGGAAAAATTTCAACGGACTTTAACTTGGACGGACATTAATTGAACGGACTTTATTTGAACGGACATTAAGATGAACGCTAGGGCCTCCAGCGTTCAAGTAATGTCCGTCCAAATAAGGTCCGATAAGGTAGACTCGAAGGAGTCTATAGATTATCGCTCGGGCTAGCAGGGATTGCCTTAGATTAGAACTAAGACAAATAAGGCTATAAAATCAACGCTTGTCAATCGGTATCCTTGCGATTAGTGATCGAGAGCGACAACAGGAAGTGAGTCTAATCTCAGATATTATATTCTCACAACCACGCTACTATACGTGACGATGCTGCACCACGTGACGATGCTGCACCACGTGACAGGCTACTATACGTGACGATGCTGCACCACGTGACAGGCTACTATACGTGACGATGCTGCACCACGTGACACGCTACTATACGTGACGATGCTGCACCACGTGACAGGCTACTATACGTGACGATGCTGCACCACGTGACACGCTACTATACGTGACGATGCTGCACCACGTGACACGCTACTATACGTGACGATGCTGCACCACGTGACAGGCTACTATACGTGACGATGCTGCACCACGTGACAGGCTACTATACGTGACGATGCTGCACCACGTGACAGGCTACCATACGTGACGATGCTGCACCACGCGACAGGCTACTATACGTGACGATGCTGCACCACGTGACACGCTACTATACTTGACGATGCTGCACCACGTGACAGGCTACTATACGTGACGATGCTGCACCACGTGACACGCTACTATACGTGACGATGCTGCACCACGTGACAGGCTACTATACGTGACGATGCTGCACCACGTGACAGGCTACTATACGTGACGATGCTGCACCACGTGACACGCTACTGTACGTGACGATGCTGCACCACGTGACAGGCTACTATACGTGACGATGCTGCACCACGTGACAGGCTACTATACGTGACGATGCTGCACCACGTGACACGCTACTATACGTGACGATGCTGCACCACGTGACACGCTACTATACGTGACAGGCTCGAGACTCTGTAGTCGCGGGGACCAATCAGAGGCCGCTGAATGTTACTGTAAGTCAGGTGCGCAAAGAGCGGACCAATAATGAAAGTATTATAGCTGACAGCCAACCTACTATACAGTATACAACCTACTACACTCAAATTGATTATCTCTCAAATACAGATCCTTAAACTTTTAACATTTACCTAGGGCAATTTCAATATTCTACATTTTTCGTCCCCTAAAAGTAATAGTAGAACAGGAGGGAGAATTTGTTCAATACTTGAATATACTAAGAGATATCTCCAAATATCATTCTACAACTACAACATCTCCATCCAAAAGTTTTTTCTTTTTCTTTTAAACTTTTCGGACTTTTATTTTTTTACATTTTTCATTTTTCACTGTTTTTTGATAGGAGCGATCTGTCGCTTCTATCCCTTAAATATAACTCCAAATATCATTCTACAACATCTCCACTCAATAGGTTTTCTGAATATTTTGACCAATCTAATTCTTTAAAAACATTGTAAATGCTCGGTTAATTGCATTTGCTCCTACCCACCAAAAGTTAAAACTTAAAATACAAAACTCCAGGATTTTACCAAGACTCAAATATGTAAATGGTAATACACCCTAACCATGCGCATTTATCTAAATCTTAAAATTTAAAATCGGCTACTACAAGCTAATTAGATTCCCAAAACCTTCTCAAATTAAAATTTGCAGTCTGGTTACTGTTATAACCAGTGTCTGGTAACAGTGATTGTGAAATGTGAATTTGCTAGATAATTAATTTCGGGATTATAAGATAGTTGAACTATTATTTTCGAATTGCTGTGAGACGAACATTTTTGTTTTGATCAAATATTTTCGGGACCTGTGGTTCTGGGTTAGAGACTTCCCGTTTGCGTTTTTGATAACTTATCCCAAGGATATCGATTCACAAGTGTTCGAGCTTACAGCCTAATTTGTCATGTCTTAGATCAATCGGCCTGCTGGCTTGCTAGCCCGAGCGACCATCTATAGACTCCTTCGAGCGAGTCTGTATAACTAGAGTTGAATACGGTTTTGCACAGAAAGGTTCATCTTTCTTATAACTTTTTGTATTTCTTATTTATTTATTTCCATTTGATAATTTCTTCTCCGTCACTAAACTTGTTTCAGTTATAAAACTAGGTACACCCGCCGTTCGTGTTACGTGACCACATCTCAAATAATAATGCTACAATGCAAGATACAAGGGCAGGTCTCTCCCGAACGTTGGGATGGCCTGAGGTGCTTATCTCCTTTTCAGTAACCCTAAGCCACTCTGTGCCGAGGCAATATACTAGCTGTAGGGGGGTTAGTCCTACGAGCCAGAGAGTGTGTATCACCAGCCGAAGCTGTACCAAATCACAGCTTGGTAACTGACCGACTATCATCCGACCGGATTTGAACCCGGGTCTTCTGCTTGGGAGGCGATCGTGTTACCACTACCCGACCGATACTAAACCCTTGAAACTCGGTTTTCTATGATGACTAGATATCTCAATTGTTTCGTTACTTTTTCGACATTGAGACATGTTCGGTTTGAAGTGTTTCGGCACAGCGCACATTACAGTTACTGATTATTAAATATTAATATTTTATGAATTCACGCTATGCTTGAATTAGAGTCTCAAAATTTCGTTTTTGTGGTACCAACCGTGTAAATACCGGTATATCTCCAGTCTAATCTACATCGTAGAACTGCTACTGTAAAGGTTATGCAATACTATAATATAATAGCAGGAACCCGTCTAACCCTATAGTGCTGTCAAGACTCAAGAGTCTAAAATAAGTATTATCTATTTAATTTCCGTTTTTTTTTGGCACTAAAATTCTTATTCTTTGGCCAATTTTTTATTTTTTCATGCTGATTTGAAGGCCATTAAAGCATTTGAACCAGTCAACAAAGTTTAAGTTGTATATCATTTACAGTTTTTGCGGAAAGTCGTGTTAAAGTTGATGCCGTGGACCCGTGGTGTCAGTAAAATGGTTCGGATATATATCGTCTCGCTTTATATATAGTAAGATAGCAGTTCTTACGCGAACAATTTTATCGGCATTTTATCGAAAAATTAAGAATTCACCAAGGAGTCGTTTATAAATGGTATTAAATTTGGAACGGAGCTCAAACGACATTGCACTAATCAAATCGACCCACAATCGGACCGTTCAGATTAACCGTACGTGTTGGTCGATAACAAAGGTAACAATCAACTGATTACATTTCCTCGCTTTTCAAGCTTATTCCCAGTGCAGTTTCCACTACGGTCGACGCAGAATCAAATCGCCTCCGAACCTAGCACCAACTATAGTTGTACGTAATTGAAAATGGTAGAAAGTGGAGACTTATTACTTTATAAAGATTTATAGGGTTTATATAATTATAATATATAAGCCTATATAATAAGGGCTTAGATTTTTCCCGAACACATTCTTGTTTGACGTACTTTGTCGTCACATACCCACTCGATGTCGTCTAGACCAGCTCTCCATTAAAGTTGCCAAACCTCACGCCATCACCACGACGGTAGAGAAAACAATGCTCTCCTGGTATTGTTTAAATTATAGCCATTCAAACTCGGTCGATTAGGAATGGTCTTGAAACTTAAAAGGTAATCTAAATATTATGTAGTGGCCTTGACCGTTTCGCAACCCTCACGATTTTAATTTTATGATACGATAATTCTGATCTGATTCGTTAAATTCATAATTTAAATTTTTTAAATTCTGTCAATGATTCAATTAGGAAATTAATTAGTTCACATCTGCTAAACGTCAAACCACCCTCTACCTAGAGATTAAACTGTTAGCGGTTTAATGGGATTAAAAAGTAATATCGATCTTAGTAATTATAATCTAAGATAGATATCAGAGGCAGTGGATACACTGGAACCACTTTGAATAGTAAACTGTACAGAAGTTTTGCGATAATGTCTTTTTTATTGTAATTTCACGACGTAACCATCCAGCAGTTTATTATTATATAATGGTAAATACCGTATAAGCTAACCAATACGCCAAAACATTATGTATAGACGTCGGGTTTGATCCGGAGAAAAAGGTTGTTATAATGTGGTAAAGTGGAAACAAACTTGTGAGCTACCAGATTGCCAACAAATCAAAATCAGGTAAAGTTACTAGTTACGACAACTTATATTAATGAGGTTTTTGATGATTTTTACACCTGATTTAAATTTCATCTTGCAATTTGCAAGATGAAGTCACAAAATTTATTAATAGAAAGTAATAGGTGAACGCTGCGGTGTATTAAATATCTTTAAGTTTAAAAACTCAGACATGTCGGTAACAGCACCATTAAAAACCCGGATGTTTTACTCATGGTTTGATATATCTCATTATCTCCCGATCGTTCGTTATTTAATTTGTATTTACCACCCTATTAAATGCAGATTTTCAATGCTGTAAAATGTCCGTTTTCTGTTTTTAAAGCTTATTTGACACTTTTTGATCCTTGTATTGCTTTGATCTGAAAGGGCTATTGAATGTTTTATCATGCAACTGTTCAGTTTTTATTGCTTATTATATACGCAACTGTAAAGTGTAAATTAGTAAATGTCATGAAATCTAATCGCTTAATCGCAAGGGTTCAATGATCATGGGAGGGTGTTCTTAATAACAGTTGAATACAGTCATTCTACCGTATCCATGGTTACCATGATATCGCTTTGAGTAATAAGAAAATTAAAAACACCCGATCACAGTATACTGGGCTATCGATCAACCTCGAATCTAATTCTAATATGTTAATATGATGCACGTTATATATAATCTCAATGTTTGTATAAGTTGACCAGTATACTGCATGAAAGACTTTGTAAGGAAAAGCTCCCACAAACTTAGATTAGACCCTAAGTTTGCCTCAATTCTCTAGCACTAATGCACTTTAGCGGTGAGCCACGCACCCTTGAATTGCAGTCGGCACCGTAGCCACATGTACACTTTAGACTTTAGAGCCCTTTGTTAATCCAACACAGGACCAAACTTTCGTCATTCTTGTCATACAATCAAATTTTCTTTTTGTATAGTATCTAGTCGACGCCCAGCTAGCTGCCTTTCATTTTATCACATGACCGAACAGTCTAGAACTACTCCATTATCTGTTCTCGATCTCTTGTTGTTCAATCTCTGTCAGCTTTCAATCCTCTCCCAAAGTATAGTGCTGTGTTAGGATCTTGTGGTTGCTGAAATATTACATTGTGATTGCGATCTGCAGTAGATTTATCTAGCTGATATAGGCGGTGACGAACTGTGTTGGTCGGAATGCTGGAGCAGATAAGGCAACAGCACCCTCCTCAACTGACTTACTCTGATGAGGAGCAAATGGTACGGGTTATCTGCAAGTCATGACCTCACACCTGGCCCCAGTTCCGGATGTATGATATCGGGCTGGCCTTTGTTCGATCCAGATTCTTGTTCGTTACCTATATTTGATATTATGATCTACTGAGATTTGTTAGGTATTGTTATATCGTATTATCAACAGAGAGTTGTGCGATATAAAAGTATAAAGTATCCATGTAGTGCATAACGCAGGCTCGTTTAGTCCACTATAATATGATCATATTTTACCGGTAGTATCGACAGCTTTGTTCCTTTATTTGAGCAACTCAGGTAAGAGAGAGAGAGAAGTCCTTTCGGCTGTCAGTTCCAATAGTTTAATTTCTCGAACAGAATTACCATATTATACGTTTCAGTAATAGGAACAACTTTTCTAGTTTTACCATCCATTTTTTGTAAAAATATTCATAGAATGGCGAACTTTTTTCCCCTAGTCTCGCTATTTGACCTCGCATCCCACAAAATATACTTGCTGAAACTTTCCATTCACATGGAGTTGAACAACAGAGCTAAAAACAGATCGAATTAAACTCTTTAATATAGAGATATTTTTTGAGATACGCAAAAGATTGGAGGGAATCCAATTGTTAACAGGGTTCTTCTCTTGTATTTTTGGGAACAACGGAAAACAACAGTTTAGGAGAAGTGGTTTAAAATAAAACTAAAAACTAACTTTTACGTCACGAAACATCTTTATTTATATTACCTGCCGTGCCGATCTTAATAACTATTCTGACGTCACACTAATGTTTAGTGCTCGAGCTGACCGAGGTTAAATGAGGCCTAGTCCACCTGCTATGGTCATGTGACCTAGGTCACATGACTTACAACCAATGGACGGCTACCTCGCCTAGTTGTCAACCAATGGTAAAATTCCAGTATATTTTGCACAGCGTTCACTTAAATGCATGGTTGAATGAACTGACCCTAATGGTCCTAGAAAGGTCACGATCAAGACACCTGTGTCCTGTTCAATATCATCTTAATCATAATCATGCAATCCTATTACCTAACATACCTCCCTTTTTTAAGATAATTTTATTTATGTTTTGGATGTTTCGTGCTTAAAGAATAAAATTATCAAATGAATCTTTACAACATGTATTTTACAATGCAACAAAAATTTAGTCTTAATACAACATTTTTCATTAATGAAAACATATCTCTAGAGCTTTTACTTAAAGATAATTTTTAAATTCAAATTTCTAGTAAACATAAATGATTGGCTGTACTTCCTTTTCGAACTTTTCTTTCTTTTATTATTGACAATCTGGAAATTGGTAAATGTGTACAGTCAACCATTTTAAAAATATATCAACTATTAATATATCAACATTAATATATCAACAATAATAAAACTCATCTAAAATTCTACTCTCAGTCTCTTTTTGTCCATGAATTGTCCATCATTCTCCTCCCTCCTCAAAACATTAACAATCATTTAAATCAAAGAACTAATTCTGAGAGTAAGTTAACATAATATCAGTCTAGCTAACATTTTTTATTATTTTTGTATATAAAATCTTTTTTCTAATTTTCTTAGTTTTCTTTTGATCATAACTGCATTCACGATTAAAGCTATTTAGCGTTAAACGAAATTTGCTATTAGAATTTCACATATTTCAACAATAAAATTAAATCTAAAATTAATCTTGATTTTGAAATTTTTCTTTTAGGTACAGCTACCACTAAACGGGTAATCTGACCAATAATATATCTACTAAAATGATTAATTCGCTGTCTGAATTGGTAGATGTGTCTGCTATGGTTTTGTTAGGGTCTTCTAGTCTGCGCCGTATCAAGTTTTGTGCGTTTCTGATTTAAGCGGAAAATTTACGTTCGGCATTGTAGGTTCAATTTCAAGTTCAACTGTGTACTCCGTATTTTCTGGATTTGATACAAAACCGTATCGAAATTCGATTGTCTAAAATTTTTACCACGGAAAATAACTACTCCGTGTCTCAGTTTCAACGAACATGGTATGGATTAAAACACCTGTCTGTAGCACAACCGTTTTGTCTGCACGCTCAATTGGTAAAATTTTACAATCTGACATTATCTCACTATCTAGGCAGGCTGCTTTAGCTATTTTCATCGGCAGCTTTTGCCGATGCCATATTTTGATAACAATATATAAGTTCTCCTGTGCCACCTTCTAATCATACTTTAAACGTTGCATCTAGTTTAACCACGCAAGACAATCGACAAAGTCAAACATGCTCACACTGTTTCGAGTCAACTAATTTTCAAATTCGAGTTCCACTGACAACTCAGAATTTTTTTAAAAACATCAAACGAACTCTGATATCGATCAGACATTTTCAAATGCCTGTTGCCGACGACAGTCGGGGGCAAGTCAGAGGCTTAACGACAGAGGTCTGAGGCCTCCGAACCTGTCAGAAGTGCTTATTATAAAATTATAATACAGTCATCATTTATATCGTATTCTTTGTATTATAAAGGGTCTTAATAAGAGATTTTTACTGCCTAGGCGTCAAACCTTGGCATTCGGTAGTTTTCCTCTGGCCCGGGATCAGCTGACCCTAGGGACCAGAGGGTAAAGGTGTAGAGACTATGTGTATCTACAAATCTTTCAAGGTTGTATTACCAAGAGTTGTATTTATAAGAGACAGGGCTTGTTGTGCAAGGGAAGAAAAGCGGGAGAAACCATTGCAAATTATACAATTAAATATTATAAACCTAGCAAAAAGAATTTCCAATAATCTTACTCTATTACCAATGTTTATTACATTCTACAATACGATACACGATAATTATATGCCGTATTAAACAAGAAACAGGGCTTGCAGGGCAAGAGATGGGACACACAAGAGCTGGCAACAGAGTGTATAATACAGTAACTCAGCAAACACCTATAATTACTAATACCGAAATCTGAACCACAATTTACCACAATTAATACAATATACAAAATACTAAACACAATGTTTATTCAAGAATCAGGGCTTGCAGAGCAAGGGAAGAAAAATAAGAGAAACAACTGCAACAATTGTATATCACAAAGTCTTTATTATTATTATTATTTATAATTTAATTATCCTTATTAAGGTAAGTTGTACTAGTATTGCCCCCCGGGCAGAAATAGAAGAGAAAAGCATGTTCTCTCGTTACCGTTTCGAAAAGATGAGTCGTGTGTTTTCCTGGACGAACACAACCAAAAGAAACTGCCAAGAATGGACAGAAGAAGAAATGTCAGCGAGGGACAAAGATGTCTTCAATAACTACCAATTTTGGGGATATTCTTGTCATCAATAAAGCGGATATGTGTTCAGAGACGAGCACAATAGATACCACAGAGCAGATATGTATAGAGCGGTAGTGGAGAAAGAGCCCACAATAAACGCAGATATGTGTATAGACTGAGTTAAAACTCAACATACAAGATTGATTACGTATTGTTTGATAATAAAGCATCTCATGAGATTAATAAAGTAATTCAAGACATTCGTAGAAGTGTCCGCTCAGAGTGGGACTTGGAGCCACCAACGGGCTTCTGCAAGTTCTTATTAAGAACTTTTTAAATTGTAAGTTTATTACTATCTTTATATATTTATTTTAATTTTAAAGCTTACGATTTATTATAATTAAATTATTATAATTACGAATTATTATAATTAAAATCCTGAAAAGCTTAATGGTAATTATACCGATTACATAATAATGTCTTCTTTGTAATTGTACGTTCAGTATTAACGACTAACGTGTCGTAAAGTAGAGCATGCACTACTGTATAAATCCTTACTACTCAGAAGCCTTGGCCTTGGCCTACGAGTGCAATTCCAGATTTAACGGCTCTGCTCTAACTTGCTGTTAATACCTACCGATAAGTTTCACATTTCCAAAAATATATTCTTAGTTAAAGGTTAACAAAATATTCTGAATGATACTAGAGGAAAAAATTGGTTATATCTTGCTCTTAAACTTAATATTACATTTAATTACGTTCACATTGAGTTTAATACACGTCTATTCCTAATTTCGAATTAGGAAAATATTCTGATGAATTTTTAAAACTTAATTTCTGATAGATAACTCGGAATCATATCAATAACGTATTCTAATCCTGGTACACTCACACTCACTTGCACAGTCACATGTTCATGAGGTAAAACTTACAACACTCTATGATGTTACATTTAAAAATAAACTCTCAATCTCTAAACTTAAAGGTATGAAGTTCTCAAAACTTGGCATTACACTGCAACACAAAACATCAGCAACTCCTAAGCCTAAATTCAGGTCGTTCACTTTATCACTAAACAACCACAAGCTGCGATCAGTTATAATGATCATAACTTTGCAACTTTGTATAAAATACAACTGGCAGTTTACCATAGTCGGCTAGTCCTAATACATAATGGACAAAATTCTGTCTTACCCCTAAGATTCACCAAACAAACTGAGACAAGATTTCTGTTTCTACTTTCTAGATGGGCAGACTAATTTATTCAGACATAAATTAAATTGCATTAAAATGTCCCGTGCCACTCGGAAAATACTTGCCCGAAATTCACTTATACTTATTCTTACACTTTCTCACAAAACATCTCTCACTCACATTTGGCATTTATTACACGGTCAGTAGTTTAAGTTCTCAAAACTTGGCATTCGACGGCAACAAAAAAAAACTCTCCACAATAGCTTGCAAGCATATTCTCGGTTGTCAACTTAACAACCACACGCCGTTACACAATTCTCACAACAAAAGCGCCAAGTTCCGCTTGTCTTGGCTGTTAGCTTCGCAACCAAGGACAAAGCAAATATTCATGATCATGATCTGTACATAAACTATAAACTTCAAACAAAGCAATTTCAACATTGCTAATAGGTCAACCTCCATTAAAATCTAACCGTATCAACGTCAGTCTAATTTATGACGCATACATTATCACATTACTCTCAAAAGAGAACTACTGCTACGACCTAAAATGCATTCAAATTCACCAGCGTGTAAGTGCAATTCCTTACTTTGAATGGTACGATTTAATACTTCAATGCTCTTACTGAAATACTAGCATCAGTAACTAAGGCTTACTCAACTGAATAATTTTCTGTCTATTATGATATATTATACGATATCGCTATTCCATGAACGGCAGAACTTACTAACTCTCCATAAAATAACTCAAAGTTAAAGTCGTCGGTTCGGTCTTTGTGCAAAAAGAAAGTCAGTGCCCTCTCGTCGAGGGAGTCAGTCAATTGGTCGATCCTTATTTGTCATTTAATGTCATACAATCATCATTGCACAAAATATTGTCAGGTTAATGTTTCAATAGTTTCCAGAGTTATATCAAATTTCCATGGATGTTACCATGTGAAGCAGTTCTAGCCGTCATGTTTACAAGGCCAATATTATAGGTAAACTTATACTCTTATAGTAGGCTACAAGTCAATAGCAAGTTGTTATCATAAATAGCAGGACCCGCAAGTAATTCGAACCCATTCGTTTTCGGGATTTACACTAACAGCTGGCTATATTAGTATTATTCATAAATTTTTTAAAGCTGTAACAAGCCAACTCAATTGTTGGACCTTATCACTCACTATCAGACCGTCACAGCATGCGGTCACTCGAGAAACACCTATCGATATTTTTACTGCACATTTCACATACACTTACTGTGTACTTCACTTAAATTCACTGTGCATTTCACTCAAATTTACCGTGCATTTCACTGTTCATTTCACTTACACCAGACACCTACTGTGTATTTCACTTAAACCTACTGTGTCATACTGGAATCTCACTGGAACAAACGATCACACGCCTAGTTCAAAATGCTAAACAACTCTAGTTTCTAGTTTATATGACTTTAACTTTAACTTAGCTCCAAGTCAAGCATCAACATATCATTAACTTGAAATAGCATAATAATACTTGAAAAAATGACAAAAATTTGAGGCTGGGCCATGTTATACGAAAAATGTTCAAGTGATAACCTTAGTTTTTGTTCACTTACTAAGTAGATTGTTTCATTAAAATGTTGAACATTATGAAACTCGTAAACTTATCATAAAATTTTGTTAAAATTTTAGATGAATCTATTCATGATTTCGTAGCAAAAATTAAGATTGACAATTTTTTGAAATCTCCAAAATTTTCTGCTCTCGTGTTGATTTTGATAAAAATTTTTATTATTTCTTCTCAAATAGGCTTTAAAAATTAAAAGGTTAAAAAATATACCTCTTTTCATCTCAACTCTTATGTTTGTATCCAGTAGATTAAAGTAGGACTAGATTGTCCGAGTAATCAACCGTTTGTAGTCAGCTTATCCGTTCTCCACACCCCTCTGTCACTATGTTCCTATCGTAGGTTGACGCCATTATAGATACCATGGATTGAGTTCCATTTTAAGTTTACAGGATCTTGGGGAAACATCAGATCTGGGTTACCTCCCAGCAAGGACTTGATATCTGGGTTACCTCCCAGTAAAGACTAAATCTGGGTTACCTCCCAGCAAGGGCTTTATCTGGGTTACCTCCCAGCAAGGACTTTATCTGGGTTACCTCCCAGCAAGGACTTTATCTGGGTTACCTCCTAGCAAGGCCTTTTATCTGGAACCAGGATCTCAGTTGTCCGTTGTTACCTTTTCTCCATCATTTATTCTGCAGTAAGGCGTAATTGTTGTAGCCTTCAGCAGCGAGATGTCCCAACGTCGGTCGTAATCCTCGTCGCCAATGTTAACAGGGTTCTTCTCTTGTATTTTTGGGAACAACGGAAAACAACAGTTTAGGAGAAGTGGTTTAAAATAAAACTAAAAACTAACTTTTACGTCACGAAACATCTGTATTTATATTACCTGCCGTGCCGATCTTAATAACTATTCTGACGTCACACTAATGTTTAGTGCTCGAGCTGACCGAGGTTAAATGAGGCCTAGTCCACCTGCTATGGTCATGTGACCTAGGTCACATGACTTACAACCAATGGACGGCTACCTCGCCTAGTTGTCAACCAATGGTAAAATTCCAGTATATTTTGCACAGCGTTCACTTAAATGCATGGTTGAATGAACTGACCCTAATGGTCCTAGAAAGGTCACGATCAAGACACCTGTGTCCTGTTCAATATCATCTTAATCATAATCATGCAATCCTATTACCTAACACAATTCACTATCCTAATATGTACAGAGCAGACATTTAATAATTAATATTATATGGGAAAGTCGGTATATAAAGTAATTGCTCTTATTTACATCCGCTACTTTAAATTTACGATTATTGAACGATGCGCTGTTAAATTCAGATTATATACCGGTATTACTATTTAACCTTAATAAGGAAGTTTAAATCACTCCAGCAAAATGTAGTTTTATGCCAGATTAATATAGTGCCAGACATAAATGTTTTATATCAGTAGTATCTATAAAAAGCAGACAAGTTAGAAACAAAATAAATCTTGGTTCACATATTATAGAAAATATGACAAATTAGTTGTGGAACACAAAAAGAAAATTGAGAATAATCTTGTGCGAAGGTAGGGACCAAGATGTCGTTTCCAACCCAAATAAACTTTAAGGAGGCTTCTCATCAGTAGCTGCACCTCCTTATTCTGTTTCTGGCTTTGCTTCATAAAGAAGCAAGCCAGGAACAATTTCTAGTCGATCTCAAAATCTCACTAAATAATTGTACGTATTAATCCATTAAAATTCAGAATCACTTCTTCATAATGTGAAATAGACTTAAAAGTCACAATTCTTATAAATAAAAATTATTTAACTTACGACGTCGTGAATTGGTGACGATGGCGTTGAAAATATTGCAACATGACAATATATTATCAGTAGCCCAGCTAACGATTCTAAATGTATTCTAAAGTAATGGGCGATTTTTCAAAAGAATACAAACAAGGAAAAGAATATAAAATTAATATTGAAGGTGATGTTTGAGCAATCGCTAAACATTAAAAATATGTCGTGATTTAATGATCATCTCAATAATCATTAAATCACAGATTGAACATATTAAAGTTTCATTTAAATTACACAGAAAACAAATTTAGTTGTTAGCACTTTCATTAACTGTCACATGTTCAGCGCAATCTAATACGATAATTTAACCACACAAATTCCCTTTCTTAGCATGTTCAGTGCAAATCTAAAACACAATTTTTTCAGGCAATGGTTCCTGCGGTGTTTGACGCGATATTCGGGGTGATGGCGATGTTCTGCTTCCTGATCGGGTGTTTAGGGAACGCGGTGTCCCTGGTCTACTTTCTGAAGTGTAAAGGAAAGCTGTTCAGGATCACTCAGATCCTCTACACCTACATTGCCACAGTTGGTAGGTGATGACATTCGAATCATATTTATCATTTTTATGCACATTTTTAACAAAATAACCGAGATCAGAAAGGTTTTAATTTTTGAGGATCCTATCAATTATATGACTTTTAATCCACCTTAAGAAACATTTACCCACCCAGACCTACTAACGAGTATCATGATGCTGCCAATAGCCGCCTCCAGTCTCTCACAACGGAAACCTCTCCTCTACTCCAACTCTGTCTTCTGCAACATACACGGCTTCCTGTGGAACATCACCAGTCGGCTCAGTATCTTCCTAGTGATGATCCTGAGTCTGACCCGGACTGCCTTCCTCACCATGCCCTTCAAGAAGATGAACAAACGAGCTGTACTGCTCTCTATAGTCGTCTACTGTGTTATACAGGTACGTTGTTACTCTTTTTTCCTTGTAGTCACTTCATTTTGTTTTTTTATACAGCGAATTTATTCAACTGCTCGCAGATGCGACATGTAGAAGCGACTTCATAAATCTCAAAGCTTCACTATATAATATTCATCCGCAACATTTCAGAGTTTTGATTTTTCATTCATTTTAAATTCAATAATATGCAATTGGTGCAATGGCATTCTGCTCGGTCGAAGCATTTTCGCGTAATATTTTTCAGTTAAATACTAATTTATGGTGTTTTATGAACTTTAAGATTATTATGAACTTTGAGCTTGGTACTGGTAGACATTTATCTTAGAAATAGAGGGAGTACTCTGAGACAGCTTGTCAAGATATTTCTGCATTTTTATTTGGGCTTAAGTTTGCATTTATGATATATTTTCAAGTAAATGCAATGGTTATTATATAGCCGAAACACAATGGGCTTTTAAACACGACGAGAATTTAATGACTTTAGCAAAACTGTTAACTTTGAGACTACTGACTAAAAGGTTTTTACGTCAAGGATGCATATAGAACCACCCTTTCATACAGCAAATTGTTGAAGCAATACTGTTGTTATAAGTTAATATAATGTAATGTTACGTAATACTTGTACCAAAACATTTAAAATATGCACTCAACCTCGAGCATCTTTCAATCTCAACACCAAATGACGCTTTTTCTCATTTCTTCCAACCGGAAGTCACAGATCGGCAGAGTTTTCTCAGAAATTTAAATCTGTCAAGATCATAAATCGATACAGCTCTCTAAAAAATAAGTGATCGTATTCGATCAAAATTCATATTATGCCAATTATATTAAGCTCAATATGTAATAGAAAATATCCCCCAGATGGTGCAAGCTGCAATTCCCTACATGGCGCACGTGGTTTACTCCTACGAGGTGTACCACGTGAGATGCACGTGGTACATATTCGACGTGACACCCAGCCTGACCATCTCTCACCTCCTCCACGTGCTCCTGGTGGTGATCCCTATACTCCTCCCCATCTTCCCCGTCATGATCTCCTGCATCATCTCCACACGGGCCATGTTCATGACGGTCAAATCCCCCGCCGCACTCACCTCTCGCAACAACACCGTCCGGGGGAAACACAAGAGAAAAGCCACCGTCACCATCATCGCCATCACCGTGGTGTACGTGGTTTTCAATCTGCCGCCAAGCCTCACTGCTATTGTCATGCTGGTGGATGAAAACCTCATGAACTGGGACAGGTTTTACTTCTTCAGCAACTTCCAGGAGGTCCACTGCGTGGCCCTCAACGCCTGTCTCAACCCCATCATTTATCTTATCACGATGAATCAGATGAAACTGTTTCTCATCAGTGGCTTCGGAACCGCCAAAAATCACATCTCCGCCTACGTCAGCTCGGCCCTTCATGAGAATCATCACAATCCGAATAAGATTCCTCGTTCTAGGATTCAGCTGGATAACGAGGAGCAAAATCAAATGCAGGTGGAGGACCCAAGGAAATCTTTTCCTTGAACTATGAAATTTCAATAATTTCGTGCCGTGCCCACATTTGAGGGGTGATAAATTAGTATCAAACAGAATTCGCTTTCTGTAGTAAGCGACAGGACTAAACTAAATCAGTGGTAAACTTTAGAGATTCTGCTTATACTATTGCCAATAGTATTGGTTATGATGTAGAACAATTTTATTACGAGACAAGTTTATTCTAAACTTGTGCTTAACGTTTGGAAACTCTGGAACCTAGGATCAGTAAGCACCAGTAGTGACCCTATTTCTGTTTTTATTGTGTAAATTCGTCGTTATTAAGTGTATCAATAATCAATATCTGTGGTATGTATAACGGAGTGTTTATTATCAAAAGCTCGCGATTTGGTAAAAATTGGCACAGCAATGACGAGATGTTTCAACCTTCGGTTAGACCACATGGGCGGCCCTGTAGTCAACACTGTGTCCATCGTGAAACATCTACAAGCGAGATGAAATAAATTTGATAATATTTGTTAAGGAATGTTTCAATTCCCTGGTTTTGTTTATTCAATGTTTAAATTTGTTCAATGTTTATTCAATGTTTATAAAATAAATTATTTGTATAATATTCATGGCTGTAAAGGTGTATTTATGTTATAAAAATTTGTTCATTTCATTCGAAAAAAAAACTTACTTTTATTTATTACTGTGTATACAAATTCAAATTATTGTTTAATTTGAAGTACAATTCAGAACATCAAACTCTATTCAGCACAACTCAAAATAACTTGCGAAAAAATAATAATGGTTGACGTACCTTTACTCTGGTCAATGAGAAGGGGTAAGCCCAGATACAACTTATACTCGTCCCCATACCACACTAGTAACTCCTCTCCCGGCTCGATAGTCTTGCATGCTCTGAAGGATATACAAACATTAGTCCACAAACCCATTACTCTATTAAATACGAGAGCATTAAAGTAGGGCCGTTCGTGATACCTAGGATCAAATTAGTTTCACAGGAATTATTAACGGCACTATAATACTAGACACGTGAGGGAATGTGTCCAGCAAGGCACCACTTTCGTCGAGTGGTCACACCTTGAGAAATCGCTCTGATTTGGTATTTCATCAACACCATTTGAAATCCACAGCTACAGTATCAAACAAATTAATCAGATTGAGCAGGAGGGTCCTACAGGCTGCATAATATTCGAGCTTTTCGTGGAGCTAGGTGTGGACTGGCTACACCTGGTTAAAGCACTTCCATCCTATTACAGAATAATGTGTAATAGTAATATAAACTATAGTGAATTTAAAATATGATGTAATTTAAGCAGATCGCCTGTATAAAAAGTGAGCGACTCAGTATAACTTACCTAAAATAGATGTGTCCGAGATGTTGGAAAGCTGCCATGTTTTGTTCTTCTTCTGACCGGGCACAGCTAATGTACCTCATCCAGTTGGCTAGGGAGGAATCGTTGCCGTCCACAAAATGTGATATCTCACCGTTCGTGTCGTACACCTGAGATATAAACGTATGTGAAACATGTCTGGAAGTAAATTCATGTCTATAAAGTGATCTTAACATTGAAAATGGATCTGAAGAACCACTTCCAAAATTGATGACCGTAAACGAACAATTTAATTACATCCTACAGCTGTAAACCCCTTATTTGCCGTAAACCCTGGTCCCCCGACCACCAAAATGTTTGAAAAATATCAACATTTTTAGTGTGATTGATACCACGTGGTACTTGACTTGATTGTCATTATCATAAGCCGACTAAGTCAGTTCCGGGTTGCTGTGCAACGTTCTGAACTAGGTATGCTACAGAGAATGGCCTAAAATGCTCTTAGAAAAACGTTAAAAAGATCTCAGATCCACAGCGCACTTAGCATGAGGAGCGATTAATTATCAGAGTCCTGATAAGGTCAGTGAATAGTTGAAGAGTACCCTACATTCTACAAATGGGGTACCCTACATTCTACAAATGGGGTTCCCTACATTCTACAAATGGTTGAGTACCCTACATTCTACAAATGGTTGAGTACCCTACATTCTACAAATGGGGTTCCACGAATTAGCTCTACTCCATATTTGGAAGATTAGGACTTTGTTAACATGTGACCTGATGTTTAACGGTATTATAACAAAGCCCTCCTATAATCTATCGCACTGTTTAAGGCTTATCACAGGATAAATTGGATGTTCTATTGACTTAAAGATGCAGTTTAGCATATGATTATGAACCGAAACTTCAAAAGTCTGCGATACCCGTTCAATGCATATGAAAGATCGTACTCTCTTCGTTTAAAGTTGATAGGGAATTTTCAAATCAATAGGGAAAAAACCAATCTAGCTCCAATTACACCGATTAAAGTTACGTTATTTATATATAGATATTCGAAACTAATGATTAATAAGTGTAATTGTATTACACTTCTTATTAAATATCTTCCTGTCACGAATTATTGATATCTACTTATAATTTGATATCACTAAACCCTGATACTGATAAAGATATTCCGGGGAAAATAAACCTCAATTAAAAATGTTGATATACGAAGATCGTAAGTAGGAAATATATTAATCGTGTCAATAATTCAATAAGGATGCAATTAATCAAGAAAGGGTATAAAAGCCTAGGATAACAGACATTCAGCATAAACCTTTTTCCTCTACAGTTTGTTGAATAACAATCGAGCTGAATGCTTTTTAAGTTATTTTCTGAAATCTTTCCATTTTGAATAAAGATTTTATTTCAACGAATCATTATTTTCAACATTGTCTTGTAGTTTTCACTATAGGATACTTTTGAATAACTAAAATAAATATTTTGCAATTAATCTCTTCCTTCTATAGTTTGGCTCAAGGAAACTATATCAAATATGCCTCTGGACGAGACCAACAACGAAAGCTACAGATACCTGAGAAGTGTCGGAAACACCTGGAAGTACAACGTCGAGGACCTCCACCCCAAGATGTTGGAACGTCTGTACAAGAGGTTCGACACTTTCGATCTCGACACTGACGGCAAGATGAGCATGGACGAGATTATGTACTGGCCCGACAGAATGAGACAGCTGGTCAACGCTTCTGACGAACAGATTGAGAAGATGAGAGCTGCCTGCGACACCTTCTTCTTCCACAAAGGAGTAAACCGAGACACCGGTCTCGCACGAGAGGACTGGGTTGAAGCTAACAGAGTCTTCGCTGAAGCCGAGAGAGAAAGGGAACGACGTGGAGAAGGATCTTTGATTGCCCTCCTCTCCAACTCTTACTACGATGTCCTGGATGATAATGGTGATGGTACTGTCAATGTTGAAGAGCTCAAAACAATGATGAAAGCCTTTGATGTACCCCAGGAGGCTGCCTACACCTTCTTCGAGAAGGGTGATACCGACGGGACCGGAAAGCTGGAGCGACCTGAGCTGGTCCATCTCTTCAGAAAGTTCTGGATGGAGCCATACGATCCCCAGTGGGATGGTGTCTACGCTTACAAATACTAAGCAAAGAAATAACTTTCAGACTAAATCTTTAAATGGAAACTTAAATTAAACATCATGCACACTTTGAATCCCTTAAATCTCATTTTCGCTGCAATTTTCTATCGCAATTTCAGTTTCCTGCCTTCCTTCCGCAATTTCGAGTTTTCAGTTTAATGATCAGTACAGTTTCTAATTACAATTATCATGACTATTTTATCTAGATCTTGAAGTGTTTCACATCAACATTGCGTGCGTTATTGCTTTCCCATTACTACTAATTCGAATTCTCGTTTTCAATGAAAAATGTTCTACCATAAATTATACTCCCTCGTAAATTATGATATATCCGATATTTCAGAATACTTTAGTACTTTGTAATCGTGCTGACCAACATTTATCTCCAGTTTAGCTCAAGGAAACTATATCAAATATGCCTCTGGACGAGACCAACAACGAAAGCTACAGATACCTGAGAAGTGTCGGAAACACCTGGAAGTACAACGTCGAGGACCTCCACCCCAAGATGTTGGAACGTCTGTACAAGAGGTTCGACACTTTCGATCTCGACACTGACGGCAAGATGAGCATGGACGAGATTATGTACTGGCCCGACAGAATGAGACAGCTGGTCAACGCTTCTGACGAACAGATTGAGAAGATGAGAGCTGCCTGCGACACCTTCTTCTTCCACAAAGGAGTAAACCGAGACACCGGTCTCGCACGAGAGGACTGGGTTGAAGCTAACAGAGTCTTCGCTGAAGCCGAGAGAGAAAGGGAACGACGTGGAGAAGGATCTTTGATTGCCCTCCTCTCCAACTCTTACTACGATGTCCTGGATGATAATGGTGATGGTACTGTCAATGTTGAAGAGCTCAAAACAATGATGAAAGCCTTTGATGTACCCCAGGAGGCTGCCTACACCTTCTTCGAGAAGGGTGATACCGACGGGACCGGAAAGCTGGAGCGACCTGAGCTGGTCCATCTCTTCAGAAAGTTCTGGATGGAGCCATACGATCCCCAGTGGGATGGTGTCTACGCTTACAAATACTAAGCAAAGAAATAACTTTCAGACTAAATCTTTAAATGGAAACTTAAATTAAACATCATGCACACTTTGAATCCCTTAAATCTCATTTTCGCTGCAATTTTCTATCGCAATTTCAGTTTCCTGCCTTCCTTCCGCAATTTCGAGTTTTCAGTTTAATGATCAGTACAGTTTCTAATTACAATTATCATGACTATTTTATCTAGATCTTGAAGTGTTTCACATCAACATTGCGTGCGTTATTGCTTTCCCATTACTACTAATTCGAATTCTCGTTTTCAATGAAAAATGTTCTACCATAAATTATACTCCCTCGTAAATTATGATATATCCGATATTTCAGAATACTTTAGTACTTTGTAATCGTGCTGACCAACATTTATCTCCAGTTTAGCTCAAGGAAACTATATCAAATATGCCTCTGGACGAGACCAACAACGAAAGCTACAGATACCTGAGAAGTGTCGGAAACACCTGGAAGTACAACGTCGAGGACCTCCACCCCAAGATGTTGGAACGTCTGTACAAGAGGTTCGACACTTTCGATCTCGACACTGACGGCAAGATGAGCATGGACGAGATTATGTACTGGCCCGACAGAATGAGACAGCTGGTCAACGCTTCTGACGAACAGATTGAGAAGATGAGAGCTGCCTGCGACACCTTCTTCTTCCACAAAGGAGTAAACCGAGACACCGGTCTCGCACGAGAGGACTGGGTTGAAGCTAACAGAGTCTTCGCTGAAGCCGAGAGAGAAAGGGAACGACGTGGAGAAGGATCTTTGATTGCCCTCCTCTCCAACTCTTACTACGATGTCCTGGATGATAATGGTGATGGTACTGTCAATGTTGAAGAGCTCAAAACAATGATGAAAGCCTTTGATGTACCCCAGGAGGCTGCCTACACCTTCTTCGAGAAGGGTGATACCGACGGGACCGGAAAGCTGGAGCGACCTGAGCTGGTCCATCTCTTCAGAAAGTTCTGGATGGAGCCATACGATCCCCAGTGGGATGGTGTCTACGCTTACAAATACTAAGCAAAGAAATAACTTTCAGACTAAATCTTTAAATGGAAACTTAAATTAAACATCATGCACACTTTGAATCCCTTAAATCTCATTTTCGCTGCAATTTTCTATCGCAATTTCAGTTTCCTGCCTTCCTTCCGCAATTTCGAGTTTTCAGTTTAATGATCAGTACAGTTTCTAATTACAATTATCATGACTATTTTATCTAGATCTTGAAGTGTTTCACATCAACATTGCGTGCGTTATTGCTTTCCCATTACTACTAATTCGAATTCTCGTTTTCAATGAAAAATGTTCTACCATAAATTATACTCCCTCGTAAATTATGATATATCCGATATTTCAGAATACTTTAGTACTTTGTAATCGTGCTGACCAACATTTATCTCCAGTTTAGCTCAAGGAAACTATATCAAATATGCCTCTGGACGAGACCAACAACGAAAGCTACAGATACCTGAGAAGTGTCGGAAACACCTGGAAGTACAACGTCGAGGACCTCCACCCCAAGATGTTGGAACGTCTGTACAAGAGGTTCGACACTTTCGATCTCGACACTGACGGCAAGATGAGCATGGACGAGATTATGTACTGGCCCGACAGAATGAGACAGCTGGTCAACGCTTCTGACGAACAGATTGAGAAGATGAGAGCTGCCTGCGACACCTTCTTCTTCCACAAAGGAGTAAACCGAGACACCGGTCTCGCACGAGAGGACTGGGTTGAAGCTAACAGAGTCTTCGCTGAAGCCGAGAGAGAAAGGGAACGACGTGGAGAAGGATCTTTGATTGCCCTCCTCTCCAACTCTTACTACGATGTCCTGGATGATAATGGTGATGGTACTGTCAATTGAGACTAAAAAATGTGAAACCTTTGTACAGGAGCTGACTTCCAGAGGGATACCTACGACGAAAGCGGAGCACCGATGTCCATCTCAAATCGTGAGCCTACTTCCATGGAGTTCTGCTATCATCATTCAAAGATAACACTTCAATTAAATTAATGAATTTAAATTAATCTGAAATTTTTGAACATTAAACTCTTTCTGCATTCATATCAATTCAAATCTCTGCTTCCTCAAATTTCGGTTACATAAATTATATCCTTCTAATTACAATTCATATTCAGAATATATATTTGTAATTTCAACAAATTTCTCATTTTCAGAACTATATATATTCGAATTCCCAAGAAAAAGTTCTACCTAAATTATCACGAAATATGAATACCGTTTCAATACATTTTGAAGTCTGACAAATTTCCCATTTATCTCAGAACTATGCAAATGCTCGACGAGACAATATGCCCACGAACTGACGAACACTGAGTAAAGCACTCACAACCCAATGTTGGAACTCCAAATTACTTCTCCAAATGCGGAAAATGACAGCACGATAGGGCCTCGACCAAGACATGGTCAACGCTGAACGATTCGAAGATGAAGCGCGACGACCTCTCAAAAGGATAAGCACCGTCTCGCAGAAGGAGCTGAGTAAAGTTGGACGAAAGAAAGGGAAGACTGAAAGATTGAGCTTGCGACCCCAACTCTCTACACTCTAGAAAGGTGATGACCGACTGGGAGGAAACTAGTGTGAAGCCTGTTACTCCAGAGCTCCTGTGCGAGAAGGTAACGAGACCGGAAGCAGGAACTACTAGCAATACTTAGTCTAAACTTATGAACCCTATAGTGTCACCTTGATACTAATCAAAATATTTACTAAATTTAAAGAAACTTTATTAACCTGCCTTCGAATCTTAAATTCATTTAGGTCATTTATCGAATTATTACCTCTTTCTGATTCGTTTCGTTTAAGATCAAGTCGTAATTCATTCATACATTTTATCAATTAGTTTTCAATAAATTGTCATAATTTTCCATACTATTGAATTATTTTACATATTTTCCATAAATACTTCTGTAATTGACATTATCTCATTTTCAGAATATATTTAATCTGCCTCACATTCCACAATTAGCTAAGATACTTAATATGCCTCGGACAAATACAAACTCAGATACTCACAGATGTGAACGTTGACATAAATGGGCCCTCCGATTGACTTCAAGAGTTCAACTTGATTACTGCGCAATGAATGGACGAATTGACTGGCCAAAATGACACGTCACTTCTGAGAACAGATTGAGAAGATGAAGCTGCCTGCGACACCTTCTTCTTCCACAAATAACCCCGGTTGACGAGACAGTAACACGGAGTAGCAAGACGAGTGAAAAGCTGAAAGTGGAGGATCTGATGCTCCAGAAGCCGTGACACTAGATTCCTTGAATATAGATGCTGATGATAATGTGATAGACTAAATGAGAGCCAAAGTGAACCATGATGACCCATCAGAAGGTGTACGACGTCGGAAGTGGTGACCGAGGGACTCGAAAGTGCGATGGGCCATCTCCCAAGTTGTGCCAAAGATACACAAGAATCTCGTATCTTAAAGGATTAAATAAACAGAAACTTTAACCCTAAATCTAATGAATATTAGCATTCAGTCCTCTTCCCCAATTCTCATTTCGAATTCATGATTTATTCATTTCACTATTTCGATTTGAAGTTTCAATCAATTGCGTCTTTCTAATTACTACATTCATTGTTATCAATGAAGTTTACATAACGATTATTCTTCAGAATTATTGTAATGCTACAATTTGATTCTACAATTATCAATGCAAAAAGATCAACACAAACTAATCCCTCGTAAATGGAATAAATATCAATTCAACTTAGATTTGAATCGTTCAAATTATCTCATTTGCTAAGGAAATATACAATTGCCTCTGGCCGACAAACGAAAGTTAGTTGAGCAGTTCGAAAACTGAATACCAATCTACTCCACAAGGAGTTAACGACACAGAGACTTTGCATTCTCGACCTGAGCAAGAGATGGACGAGATTTGTATGGAACGACAGAATGTACCCTGTCAACCTTCTGACGATAGGAAGATGAGTAGTCGTAACTTTACTCAACAAAGGAAACCTAATTCCCAGAGCAGGACTAAGGGTTAAGTAACGAAGCTTTGGCGAACCGACGGCAAAAGTGGAGAACGATCAGTAGGATCGTTTATTACCAACTCAAACAACTCACTAAATGTTATGGATATAAAGTGAGGTCACATTTGAACCAATTATTCAATTGCATGAAGTTTATGTTACCCCGCATGCTGCTACAGTATTCTCAGAGTATCGACGACGACATTTTCGACTGAGTGTCCATCACAGCGTCTTATTCGAAGCTACAACCATCCGGTTAGAAGATGTACTTACAAATATAAGCAAAAATAACTTTCGAATCTAAATGAAATAATTAACGCACCAACTTGATCCTTTAATTCATTTCTCAATATTCTCAGCCGAGTAGGATCGCAAATGTACAGTCCAGCCACCTCCAGATTGACGCAGGTTCGCTTAATCTACATTCTGAGAAAGATTATCAGTACTGCTATCAGACTAAGGTTACCAACTGCTTGCGTTAGAATAGCTTGCTCGACCATTACTATCCCAATGGTGTTCAACAAAATGTCAAAGATTATACTACAATTCGAATATAAGAAGTCGAATGGAAGTCTTTAACTCTCCAACTTTACTCCTTAAGCTCATGACTTGCAAATTTTGAACGACAAACAAGATCAGCCATTACCCAGGTCGCACACTCTGAGTAATGATCGACGCGAAACCAGATGTACTGCACAGTTCAAATCTTGATGCCAACTGACCAGAATGGCAGTTTCAATACTAGCAAAGAATACTTCAGAAATTTCTAGTAAACCTTACATCATACAATTGAATAAACTTGCTGGAATTTTCTATCCAATGTCAACTCTCCGCTTCCAGGTTTAGTTAATGTTAAGCAACAATTCAATACGAATAGAAAGCTGAAGTTACATCGAATGCGTCTTTGTTGCCCATCTACAATTCGAATTCGTCTCGATAAAATGTTCAAATTATACTCCGTAATGTTAATCCGAAATGAGAACTTTGAATCGTCCCAACATAGCCCAACTTTGAGGAAGTTCATATCACGACGGAAACGGACACCGAACAAGGCACTTAGAAGTCGAAATGGAGCAACCGAGACCCCACCAGAGTTGGAACGTTAAATACAAGAAGTTGAACTTTCAACTAAACTTATGGCAAGATAATGAGATTATGCAATTGAAGACTAAACTGTCAATTCCTTTGACACAGATGCAATCGAAGAGCTGTCACGACTTCCTTCCACAAGATACAGCAGCTCTCAAGATATGGTGAAGCTAAACAGTCATCGCTAACTAACTAGAAGGATAAACTTTAATTGCCCTAATTCTTCCATTTATACTAATTGATTCGTTCAAAATGTTCTAACATATTAATCCTTTCGTATATCATATATCCGCTTCATCTTGAAGTGATCGTAATAGCTAGACCACATTCATCTCTCATTTAGCTAAGGACATACACACAGTTGGAGGTACCTACAATCACTAAGTACAGAATTAACCTTCAATAAATTTTAAATGAACTAACCGTGATCAATTACTTATCTGACTGCCAATACATGGATATTGCCGGACGGACCACATAGAGTGTGACCTTACAAAGAAAGGACGTCGAAATGTGAACAGTGCGAGCAGAGAAGACTGAAGTTGAGCCAACTCTACTTCATAGGAGTAGCCAAATGAGCTTGTCCGGCGTAACCGAGATCGAGCGAACTACAGATCAGATTGGAGAGTAGTGTCACACAAAAGCAGAATCGCTAACTTGATAAACCGCACTGACCTACTTCTCAATTCTTGATTCAGTCTTCTTCATAGCATAATCATTATAAATTATAACACGATGCATCATTCTGCTAGTCCTCCATCGATTCTTTAAATTACCAATTTCCTAAATTATCAATCTTTATCTATCTCCTTTCATATCAAAAAATCTAAGACAACGATACAGACTGAATCAACCCTGAAGAAACCGACCACCAATAGCTGTAAGTGTGATCACAGAGACAGCATTGACCGACAGACTTCCGAAGTGGAGATAACTGCCGACTTCTTCTACGATAAGAGAGCTGCGACTTAAAGAGTACGAGAGAACGGAGGTTGCTCTTCCAACACAGGAGATATATGACTTCAATTAGCTAAAATGAGCTTGTCACCCAACCTTGAGGGACGCGGACAAGGACGCGACTCGACGCCATCCCGTGGGCTACATAGATATTCACAACTAAGAAAAACTCGACATTATAAACATCATGCACACTTTGAATCCCTTAAATCTCATTTTCGCTGCAATTTTCTATCGCAATTTCAGTTTCCTGCCTTCCTTCCGCAATTTCGAGTTTTCAGTTTAATGATCAGTACAGTTTCTAATTACAATTATCATGACTATTTTATCTAGATCTTGAAGTGTTTCACATCAACATTGCGTGCGTTATTGCTTTCCCATTACTACTAATTCGAATTCTCGTTTTCAATGAAAAATGTTCTACCATAAATTATACTCCCTCGTAAATTATGATATATCCGATATTTCAGAATACTTTAGTACTTTGTAATCGTGCTGACCAACATTTATCTCCAGTTTAGCTCAAGGAAACTATATCAAATATGCCTCTGGACGAGACCAACAACGAAAGCTACAGATACCTGAGAAGTGTCGGAAACACCTGGAAGTACAACGTCGAGGACCTCCACCCCAAGATGTTGGAACGTCTGTACAAGAGGTTCGACACTTTCGATCTCGACACTGACGGCAAGATGAGCATGGACGAGATTATGTACTGGCCCGACAGAATGAGACAGCTGGTCAACGCTTCTGACGAACAGATTGAGAAGATGAGAGCTGCCTGCGACACCTTCTTCTTCCACAAAGGAGTAAACCGAGACACCGGTCTCGCACGAGAGGACTGGGTTGAAGCTAACAGAGTCTTCGCTGAAGCCGAGAGAGAAAGGGAACGACGTGGAGAAGGATCTTTGATTGCCCTCCTCTCCAACTCTTACTACGATGTCCTGGATGATAATGGTGATGGTACTGTCAATGTTGAAGAGCTCAAAACAATGATGAAAGCCTTTGATGTACCCCAGGAGGCTGCCTACACCTTCTTCGAGAAGGGTGATACCGACGGGACCGGAAAGCTGGAGCGACCTGAGCTGGTCCATCTCTTCAGAAAGTTCTGGATGGAGCCATACGATCCCCAGTGGGATGGTGTCTACGCTTACAAATACTAAGCAAAGAAATAACTTTCAGACTAAATCTTTAAATGGAAACTTAAATTAAACATCATGCACACTTTGAATCCCTTAAATCTCATTTTCGCTGCAATTTTCTATCGCAATTTCAGTTTCCTGCCTTCCTTCCGCAATTTCGAGTTTTCAGTTTAATGATCAGTACAGTTTCTAATTACAATTATCATGACTATTTTATCTAGATCTTGAAGTGTTTCACATCAACATTGCGTGCGTTATTGCTTTCCCATTACTACTAATTCGAATTCTCGTTTTCAATGAAAAATGTTCTACCATAAATTATACTCCCTCGTAAATTATGATATATCCGATATTTCAGAATACTTTAGTACTTTGTAATCGTGCTGACCAACATTTATCTCCAGTTTAGCTCAAGGAAACTATATCAAATATGCCTCTGGACGAGACCAACAACGAAAGCTACAGATACCTGAGAAGTGTCGGAAACACCTGGAAGTACAACGTCGAGGACCTCCACCCCAAGATGTTGGAACGTCTGTACAAGAGGTTCGACACTTTCGATCTCGACACTGACGGCAAGATGAGCATGGACGAGATTATGTACTGGCCCGACAGAATGAGACAGCTGGTCAACGCTTCTGACGAACAGATTGAGAAGATGAGAGCTGCCTGCGACACCTTCTTCTTCCACAAAGGAGTAAACCGAGACACCGGTCTCGCACGAGAGGACTGGGTTGAAGCTAACAGAGTCTTCGCTGAAGCCGAGAGAGAAAGGGAACGACGTGGAGAAGGATCTTTGATTGCCCTCCTCTCCAACTCTTACTACGATGTCCTGGATGATAATGGTGATGGTACTGTCAATGTTGAAGAGCTCAAAACAATGATGAAAGCCTTTGATGTACCCCAGGAGGCTGCCTACACCTTCTTCGAGAAGGGTGATACCGACGGGACCGGAAAGCTGGAGCGACCTGAGCTGGTCCATCTCTTCAGAAAGTTCTGGATGGAGCCATACGATCCCCAGTGGGATGGTGTCTACGCTTACAAATACTAAGCAAAGAAATAACTTTCAGACTAAATCTTTAAATGGAAACTTAAATTAAACATCATGCACACTTTGAATCCCTTAAATCTCATTTTCGCTGCAATTTTCTATCGCAATTTCAGTTTCCTGCCTTCCTTCCGCAATTTCGAGTTTTCAGTTTAATGATCAGTACAGTTTCTAATTACAATTATCATGACTATTTTATCTAGATCTTGAAGTGTTTCACATCAACATTGCGTGCGTTATTGCTTTCCCATTACTACTAATTCGAATTCTCGTTTTCAATGAAAAATGTTCTACCATAAATTATACTCCCTCGTAAATTATGATATATCCGATATTTCAGAATACTTTAGTACTTTGTAATCGTGCTGACCAACATTTATCTCCAGTTTAGCTCAAGGAAACTATATCAAATATGCCTCTGGACGAGACCAACAACGAAAGCTACAGATACCTGAGAAGTGTCGGAAACACCTGGAAGTACAACGTCGAGGACCTCCACCCCAAGATGTTGGAACGTCTGTACAAGAGGTTCGACACTTTCGATCTCGACACTGACGGCAAGATGAGCATGGACGAGATTATGTACTGGCCCGACAGAATGAGACAGCTGGTCAACGCTTCTGACGAACAGATTGAGAAGATGAGAGCTGCCTGCGACACCTTCTTCTTCCACAAAGGAGTAAACCGAGACACCGGTCTCGCACGAGAGGACTGGGTTGAAGCTAACAGAGTCTTCGCTGAAGCCGAGAGAGAAAGGGAACGACGTGGAGAAGGATCTTTGATTGCCCTCCTCTCCAACTCTTACTACGATGTCCTGGATGATAATGGTGATGGTACTGTCAATGTTGAAGAGCTCAAAACAATGATGAAAGCCTTTGATGTACCCCAGGAGGCTGCCTACACCTTCTTCGAGAAGGGTGATACCGACGGGACCGGAAAGCTGGAGCGACCTGAGCTGGTCCATCTCTTCAGAAAGTTCTGGATGGAGCCATACGATCCCCAGTGGGATGGTGTCTACGCTTACAAATACTAAGCAAAGAAATAACTTTCAGACTAAATCTTTAAATGGAAACTTAAATTAAACATCATGCACACTTTGAATCCCTTAAATCTCATTTTCGCTGCAATTTTCTATCGCAATTTCAGTTTCCTGCCTTCCTTCCGCAATTTCGAGTTTTCAGTTTAATGATCAGTACAGTTTCTAATTACAATTATCATGACTATTTTATCTAGATCTTGAAGTGTTTCACATCAACATTGCGTGCGTTATTGCTTTCCCATTACTACTAATTCGAATTCTCGTTTTCAATGAAAAATGTTCTACCATAAATTATACTCCCTCGTAAATTATGATATATCCGATATTTCAGAATACTTTAGTACTTTGTAATCGTGCTGACCAACATTTATCTCCAGTTTAGCTCAAGGAAACTATATCAAATATGCCTCTGGACGAGACCAACAACGAAAGCTACAGATACCTGAGAAGTGTCGGAAACACCTGGAAGTACAACGTCGAGGACCTCCACCCCAAGATGTTGGAACGTCTGTACAAGAGGTTCGACACTTTCGATCTCGACACTGACGGCAAGATGAGCATGGACGAGATTATGTACTGGCCCGACAGAATGAGACAGCTGGTCAACGCTTCTGACGAACAGATTGAGAAGATGAGAGCTGCCTGCGACACCTTCTTCTTCCACAAAGGAGTAAACCGAGACACCGGTCTCGCACGAGAGGACTGGGTTGAAGCTAACAGAGTCTTCGCTGAAGCCGAGAGAGAAAGGGAACGACGTGGAGAAGGATCTTTGATTGCCCTCCTCTCCAACTCTTACTACGATGTCCTGGATGATAATGGTGATGGTACTGTCAATGTTGAAGAGCTCAAAACAATGATGAAAGCCTTTGATGTACCCCAGGAGGCTGCCTACACCTTCTTCGAGAAGGGTGATACCGACGGGACCGGAAAGCTGGAGCGACCTGAGCTGGTCCATCTCTTCAGAAAGTTCTGGATGGAGCCATACGATCCCCAGTGGGATGGTGTCTACGCTTACAAATACTAAGCAAAGAAATAACTTTCAGACTGAATCTGTAAATGGAAACTTAAATTAACATAGTGCACACTTTGAATCCCTTAAATCTCATTTTCGCTGCAATTTCCATTGCATTTTTTATTTTAATCTCCTGCATATCATGATTGTATCTGTTTTTATTAATGATCTGATTAGTTTCTGATTATGCGCATTAAAGATGTAGATTATTTTATCCCAATGCTGAAGTTTATTAACATCGTCTCTCCCTATTCACAAAGTTTGAGTTTATCATTTCTGAGTTAAAATTATACTCTCCGCGGTCAACCAAATATTCTCTGCAGGGAAATACAAGTGGCCTCATAATTAATAAATAATGGGTTTGATCCATTTTTGAGCTAATAATCAATATCCAAGCTGAAACATCAATATTAAATGACAATAAAGATATACAATATACAATAGTATACACTATACATCTTTAAAATAGTACATACCTCCCAGACGAGGCTGGTATCTTTAATCTTCTTTATGTCCTCCAGACTTATCACCTTGCCCTCGTAAGGTCCTACCCACATTCCTGGAATTTACATCTATAAATTTACCTCTACTACTAACAGGGAGCCAGGGAGGCTGCATACATTCTCTTAGAAAGCTGAAAACAATCTTGCAATATGAATTTTAGATCATATCTTGTCGGATATAGGATCTGTGGCCGTTGTAAATGCTTAAATGCTTTTTAAGTTTAACTTGTAACACAGTAATACTAAGCACTTCATAGTATTTTGGCTCTTTAAAAAATAAAATCTACCCCATTACATACAGACAGCTGACCATCTACGAAATATTGATCGTTTTTATCTAGGAGGAAATGTCATATAGTGAAGAAAAAGCAACAGAATATTTACAGAAAATTCTCAAACATACCATCGTTAATGGCGGTTTTACAGCGGACACCAATACCGGAATTTGGAATCTTAGAGAGACATGGCTCCACTTCGTCGGGAAACTTTATCCTGTCGTTGGATACCTTCCTCATCATCTTCTTTATCGTGCTCTCTTCTTCATCTTTTCGTTTCAGTTGGAATTCCTGACCACCTGTATGTTTTTACATTTTAAACATTGCTGTATTCTTTTCAATACAGACTCAGACAGTAACAATGTGATAACACTGCTAAATGTGGTAATCATGACGTCACAAAATTAAGGATTCAAAGGCACAATCCAGCATTAACTTTATAAGGTAGCTATGTCTGCTATATATGCAAATCGCACTATCAATCCCCACTCACCAACCACAACCGGGCAATAGCGCTCATTCATTTTATCGTAGAGTGCTTTTTGTAAGTTCTAGACATGCAAATTAGAAAGCACTCCTGGCGTTATATACACGAACATAATCAGACGAGGATCCCATTATAGAAATCACATGGCCAGATTACTGAAAGGGAAGCGAATCATATAATAGGGCTGGGCTTCAAGAAAATTCATAGGACTCTGTTAATTTGTCGATTACTTGTAAAGCCCAGTGGCAGAGGCTTTTGTTTGGGTAAATTTACTGCTCTACAATCGAGCCCAACAAAGAAAGAGATGTGCTCCACCAGTGCAGGAGAGGCACGCTAAAAGCCGTCCTAGCTATTTGGCACTCTCATGTCAGAGAATCGTAACACAAGTGCAGCCTCGTACCAGCTTGTATGCCCCGTAAAGCTACATGTGCTACGCGAATGACAGAGCTTGCCATCCTGGACCACTGTTTTCTCAGAGGCGGTGGACAAAGGAGTTAAAGTACGAAGAGACGAAATATACTTTATATTTACTACTGCTCTAAAATTTCTTGTAAAATAGAGACGTAAATATAATGAGACTCTTCTAGCTAGTCAGATATAAAATTATAAGTAAATTATTATGGAATATTATATGAGATATTATTTAAATTCTAGAGATAGGCTACCTTCATGTATTTAGGAAGATATCATGGGTGAATATTGGATAAACAAAAAGGTTGGATCAGACGACAGCCTAAGTACGGTCTGTTAGCCTTGTTTTAAGTTACAAAATCGTTCCTAATAACCTATACTATCTCAGAGTTTGGTTTCAATTAAGGAGTGGCTGCAAGTTAATAAAAGTAAGAATAAAAAGAGATACATTTTCCACTCCAGTTAGAATCTTTCACACCGTACCCGTTGTTAAAGGTGATGATCGTTCTAGCATTTCACAATTATTCTCCGCAGATCTCCGTCCTCCAATCAGCTGCGAGCTCCTTTGATAACATGAATAATCACGATATGACTGTAACCTCATGCTTCTACCCTCGTGACAAACTTAATATTTCACAAAAGGTTAATCAGTGTCGACATGAGCTGATAGTAATACTTAGATTGATCCGCAGCTTCAAGAAATAATTATTACGATTAGATAACGGTTCGAACTTTCCAATAATTCAATATCACGAGCTCTCACGTTAGGTCTGACCGTGAAATAGGACCGAGCTATATTATAATCATCCTCCCAAGCACAGTCTCGTGATCGGACATCAGTATATTTTACTGACAATAGCCGCTCAGTCTTTGTTTCCCCTCAGGTTTCATAATCTCGAGATTAAAATTAAATTTGTGGTGAAGCAGCCCACGATTCTTGACACCCCCGTGCGATTTACTGAGTAGTCATTAGACTGAGCGTTGATTGCATTACAGTTTCAGCGCAGTTGAGAGCCGGCACGTGCTTTGTCAACCACTGCCCGGTGCAATGATCACGTGATCAGGACAGTCACGTGGGCAGAGTCACGTGGGCGAGCTTTTGTGTTTCATTGGACGGTGAGAATCATAGAAAGCACATTTGTACCTAGTGCCGGTAAAATCTGCCGTGAAATGCTGGAACTCTGGTCAAGATTCATTTGCTTGATTGCATAAATCCACCAGCTAATCAATTTTAAATGTGGTTTTGTAATCGTAGTGTTCAATACCGACTTTTCAGGTCAGATACAGTGACTTTCAAAGATTAAAGCTCTAATAACGGTGCTATTTCACAAGCTCTTCATGAATTTAGGGGAAATGAATCAGCTACCATACTAGCGAGCGAAGCTTAACTCTTTCACCTCAACCCGCACATGTTCAGCCATGCTCAACCACTGAGATCCCTATATATTAGCTTGCGAATAAACAATCTTATAGATATCCTAAGATAAAAAGTTGATTGAACCCCCAAGTTTTATTAAGCCTGTCAGTTGACAACTTGAAAACCGTGAGAAAAGTCACACCACGTGTCACAAGCCAAGTGTAGTTACGCTCAATCTATCAGAGCTCATATGATCAGTGATCTGTAGGTTTTACCCTCCTGCCGGGATCCCACTAAAGTTTAACAATCTTGTGGGAAGATCTGACTTAATGCTCATTTAATTGTTCACTGATGAGAAAGATGAAGTTATGAGCACTATTATAACTAGATGGGATACTCAGCTGATATGCGCTGCATACTCAATCGAATACTCCAATTCTGCGAAACATCAATGCAAAATGTGCTACTACATACATACATTGCGAAATTTAGAAAAATAAGTTCGGCTTTACAGTTCAAATCTTACCATACTGATATCTGCTTTTACGGGATTAGGCTAAAAAAGTTTAAGTATAGTTTTCGGTTCCGTTTAAGTCTTTACTATTTCAACAACAGTGACGTTACTATAGTTAAATTGATATTCGTCCGCTGCCTCTGCATTTATGGCGCCAACTTGCCTACTTTTCTAGCGACGTCTGTGATTATTTGCTAATCACGAGGAGAAGGGACTGAAATGTTTTGTTTTGCGCCGACACTGGCAGATTTTATTCAAACGTAGTAAAATGAAGACAAAATGAAGTTTCCTTTGATCAGCCCGATCCGGCAAATCCTAATAAAGACTAGAGCCGTGACCGTCGAGCAATTTGTTTTACAATGAATATTGTTTCTTCAACTTTATTCGGAGCGATATTGAGAAAGCACACACCCCGACACCGAGCACATTGCTGTAACAGATTGCTGTCACTTTAGCTTTATGTCGTACAGTAAATCACACCTCCCCGCTTTGGACCGTAAAATAGCAAAAAAGCAAAAAGCTTCTCAAGTTCTTTGCAGTAAATCAATGTTCAATATGGATTTTAATAAATGCATATTTATTTTGTAAGTGCTTTCTCTTTGTCAATCGTGTGATTGTCGGGCGAGAAGAACTGTAAAATCATCAGAGGCCTTTGTTATTAGAGAGTCACGAGGGAGCCATGATACGTGCTCTGTGAGTTTAGAGATAGCTGCTGAGATTTACTAACAATAAATCTCAGGAGCTTGAGCTTACAAAAATAAAGCAGATATCTTACTTTCTAAGACATTGCATTATCTTCATCACTACTACTACTATGTCGGAGCTAAGTCCGATCTACGCCAGAAAACCCCCTCCATATATCCCTGTCCCGCATCAGGGTTCGCAGTTCCTCTTTAGAGTTTGTCCCAACTTCCTTCAGTAACATAGACAAGTAGCTTTGTCTTGGTCGGCCTTGCTGTGCTCTACCGTGCGTAGGTTCCCATAAGACTAAATCACTGGCAAGTAGCTCAGGATGTCGGATGCAGTGTCCCGCCATTTTTAATCTCCTGCTTCGTAACTTGTTTGACAGCCTTGGGAGGCTACCATACAAAGTTATATTGCTGACCTTGTCCTTCCATGAGATACCCAGCACCATACGCAACATCTTTGTGTATGTCCCGTCCAAACTTTTCTCTTGAGCCTTTGTCAGTGTCCAGGTTTCTGATCCGTAGAGCAGTACTGATTCACAAGCCTTACGTAACGCGTTTTTTGTTGTTGTGGAACACAACAAGAAAATTGAAAATAATCTTGTGCGAGGGTAGGGACCCAGATGTCGTTTCTAACCCAAATAAACTTTAAGGAGGCTTCTCATCAGTAGCCGCACCTCCTTACTCGGTTTCTGAACTGGAATTCTATGGGCTTCCAGACGGCCAGACCGAGTATTACCATCCCATTCTTCTAGAGTTCATCACAAGAAGCACCCATCTTGAAGATCTTTGACACCCAGACACACCCCATTGGCGAACAAACTTTAGATATAATCTTACATGCTCCCGAAGGAATCCCTGGTTTATGGTCTTTCTCATATAAAGGTTGGCAAACTTTGGTGAAAAACTTTACATTTAGAATTTAAATTGTAAGGAATACTTTAATAGCTTACATTTTATTGTTTTTCAATACCTACCAAACAGTTCAAATCCGTTATAGTTAATACCGGCTCTTAAATTCAAATCATGATAAGTGAATAAGCTAAGACGGGATATTTTGAACTCTACAAATATTATATACAATATGTTTCCTAAATATTTCAGATTTATCTACGTTAGCATTCATGTTTTATACAATTTCTGTTCATTATATAAATTTTAATTAATAATTAAAATCCAAAGCATCCCATGTCTATAAACAGAAAAAACAGGTTTATTAATTATTCCCATTTTCTAAAAGATCAGAACCACCACAGACCCATATAAATTGTGCTGATCCAGCTAATCAGCTCTGAGAGAGTAAATATTGAAAATAAGCGACTTTTTAAGTTTATATTGACGTTTCACGTGCAACTGTAGTAAAATTCAATCAGACAATGAGAACATAGGTTTAACATAGTTGTTTATAACGGTACATTAACATGCACTACCTATAACACTATGTTCATTGAGCCAGGTCGAAATGGCCATGGCTGGAGTTAGGAATGCGTCGTGGGAACTTAATGGCGAAGACTATGATTAGAGGATCAAAACATCGGTAAATAAGACGGTTGAAACTTGAAAGAATAACTATTATAATACCTTTTTTTTTTCAAATCAGACATGGAACATAAATGAACACCTTAAAGATTTGATAAGTGGCCTAAAAAAAGGTAGGATACATAAATAATAATAGCTTTTTCCACCCTGCTCTATCAGAGGCTAATATATTCTTAATCATCTGTACAAATCGTCTGTATTTACAAAAACACAATTCATGAAATCATTGGTCAATTAAGTAAAAAATACATATTGCCAACTGCCTTGAAATGATGACAGAAATTTTATTTCATGGTTTACGAATACTTGAATCGAGATGATGGGCGAGCTGCATTGGGCTGGAGGTTTCGTGGAGGAATCCGTGGAGGAATCCGTGGGTGGAGTTGGCAATATGACTAGATTTGGTTCCCAACTTATGTTTAAACTATTCAGGTAAATTCGAGTGATAAGTAAAAATAAGAAATTGAGGACAAGTTTGAGGGTTTGTATAACTCAATGAATTGTTACTTGACCACTGATAGGGAGAAAAGGTAAATATACTTTTACAATGGACAATTAATATTCTTCCAAACGGTACTGCACATACGTTCCTATATCGAAGTTATGAGTTAAAGTGTAGCTGGTTAGCTAAGAACAAGTTCGGACCACATAATTTCGGACGTTACTTTGTCTTGCGGACTCATAAATTTGCGGACTCATAAATTTGCGGATTCATAAATTTACATGGACTCAAAGAAGTTGCCTCGCCAAGGTACCGCATGTGCTGCGGAGAAATTAGAATCGATTACTATGCAGCCTCATAAAACAAACCATATAACTTGAATGGACTGACTTTTGCAGTAGTGAAACTGCTTGTTTAGCATGCAGCGATTGCCCGGATGCCCCTAGTTTACATTGGGTAATGAAATCTGGAAAATAACAAGAAGTATGGTTGAAATTACTCACGAGAAGGTGAAGAGTTTCCCTCGTTGGAAGAGGTTGACTGCACAGGTACAGGCGAGAAGCCATACATTAGTAGCTTGAGGATTTCCTCAACTTTCCTCCCGGACTCCATGGTTTATCTGCTGATTGAAAGTGGTGTCAGGTTTGTGGTCCTGGTTATAAAAATAAGGCTCACATTTAGATCACAACAAAATCACTCGCTAGACACCTGCTTTAACAGTTTTCAAAACGTAAACAAAGGCATACAAAATAGAACTAAAATTAGATTTCGATAAAATCGTAGACGTTCTCTGATAATGGGTGCCATAGAAACTGCTGTTACAGTACGTGCTCAACACCGCAAGTTATACGTAAAACACGAATAAATCTTGACGATCTTGTGGACGCCACGTCTATTTCTCTCTCTGTAAAACAAAGTTCAGCATAAAACTCTCGACCACAAGAGAAACTAATACTAACGACACTCGATCAAAATTAGACGATTTCACGTGTTAGAGCTGAGTTGGACGGATCTCACGCCCACAGTGTGCAGTAGAAACTTGGCGAGAAGTGGAACGAATTAACTGGAGCTTAACCAAGAGCGTGCTCATTTTCGACCATGGTTAGACCATGATTCCAGCCCTGTCACAGGAAATTAAGAAGTAAATCCTTTGTCGAACTGTCGGCAAACGCGATTTACAAACTTACAAATGGAAAAGCTTGTGTAGTGTAGTTTAAAGGCTTAGGTAAAAACTGCAAGGTGTTTATCAATATCAACGTCAGCACGTGATAATCGCTTCTAGCAAATTCTGATACTGAATTGTGGCGGTAGCGCCGCCCAAGTTAAGTCTAACAGTGGTTGATTACTGGTACGGTCGAGCAAATTCATTATGTGTGATGTGGGTGGCCAGACGATCGGCGGATTTTACTTGCGGCTTTTTAATCTCGATGAAGACTGAGAGGACATAATAGCCGCAATGGATGAATGCAAATTGCTGCCTGTAACTTTCTAAGGGTAAACCAAATTGTAACAGATGATCGGCCTTACAATTGAGACAACCAGTTCTTCATAATGTATTAGTTCTTTGGAGGGGTATTATAATGAGGCATCAGCCGCAAATATGCTGTGTCTCCGTGTGGGACGAGGTATAAACGGAGAGCGGCAATTCAACACAACGCTACCTGCCTTAGAGAAAGAAATCAATGATAAATGCGCTGCGCTTACAAACATGTGTTTTGAAGATCACGTGATCTGGAATCACGCGCGCTCGTGTAACCACGTGATACACGCTGGAGAGATCAATGGTCGAGTAAATCGAGCGTGTGCCATGTGTTGCGTCATCAACCCCCTCGCTCTTACTCTGCCCTGTAACTTCGCTTTCTGTTGTTCCCATCTCTAATAAAACTCGCAAATTGATTCTTTGTATTCGTGGTCAAGAACGCTGCCGGCGATGTACGTGCTACTGTAACTGTGAATCAACACTTACGAAGGTTGAATATTTGTGCTGAATCTGCCGTATCGATGTTGGTAAGTGGACCCTACAACGTAGTTTTATTGTTATTATTATGAACCAAGAACGTTACTATTGGTAGGGAGGTGACATGCACATTCTTTAAGACTCCATAGAGTCTTTATACCCACCACTTGTCTATAGAGTAAACTTCATTATTTTAATGTGTTTTGCACAGCCACTATTGTGACTGTTATAGCATTTGCTGATGAAAACCTGTTTCAAATTTTAGTTCGGAAATTCGAAATTGCAGTTCCAATACCATGATACAATTATAGAGAGGTTACTTTTGCATATAACAGCAAATTTAATACATTTAGGTAAAAATGAAATGCAAAATATTATGTTTAGAGCCAGCTGTAAACAATGTAAACTTAATTATGATAAACCGCCAATACCTATAAAGATATAGTTGACAGTCAGCGGCGGGCCTTGGGAGGTGCTTCTATATCACGACATAATATTAGGCGAATGACTTACCAAGTATCAACATAACATGTCCTTTAAAGCTTTAATGGTTATTGGAAAAACGTCCGATAGGCAGATTACGACAACCATACTCCCAGGGTACTTATCAGGCGGCGTGGGAGGTGCTGCTATGTACGTATCTGTTTACTGACTCTTATTGTTATGTTATAGGCATCACAATAAAAGATTCTTCTTCAACTCTTCAAAGGTCGGCTAGAATCCACTAGTCAAAGTAGATAGATCATGAGATTGCCTAAGGAAACGCGGCATTCACTCAAATGCACCGAGTAAGCTAATGATTTTATTACAGACTTGTATCTTGATTCAAGTCTATAAGTTGGTCGCTAAATGCTGGAAATTGAAATAGAATAACGTAAAAAGCTTGAAATTTAGCGGCCAAATGTTTAGTAGGGAGACGGGAGTACCTTCTTATAGAGTTATAGTCTGTAGCTTCGCTATAGAGGTGCTAAAGTCTTTACTTTCTCAGGCACAGGTTTATCCGATCTGGAGGCAGCTAGTTACTGTAACAGCACCAGATTTGTTTACACAGCAGGCAATTAACAACTTTTCCAGTTTCGATATTCTAAATAAATGGAGACAACAAACTTTATTCAGTAAAGTTACTGACCTAAACACTTATGAGATGTAGTAGTTGTACAGCAATGCTAAGGTAATGGGACTACTAGTGCGGACCCTCTACCGGCCAAACCTTGTTAACAATGCTGTAGTCAAGGTACGGTGAACGGTATTTAAAAGCGCTTAAGGGACATGAGTCAAAGTGGTAGAGCAACCTCATGTATAGTGAGGAAATGGTAAAATATAAGGTTTTACGAGATGCGTTACGTACCGTCTAGCTAGGGTCTTAAAGTTAAACAGCAGTAGGTAAGCCATTATATTTGAAGGCCGAGGTACTTATTAAGTTTATAAGAACTACAAATAGTACCCTTATATTTAACGATAAATTGATATAATAATAAATGATTGTAATATTTTTATTGAGGCACATGCCACCCCATCGCGGGTTTACTACTACTACTACTACTACTACTACTTATATTTAAAATGTGAAGATTTACTGAACAAAATGATGAGAATGAAGTTTCTTCGGAAAACTGGAAAAGTCATGTGCGATCTAACGCCTGTTTTGTACTTTAATCGGAAAAATTAACAATAAAGTGTTCCATTTTGCATTAAGATGTTACATAGATCTCGTAAGGCCGAACATGAGTTTTAAAATTTATAGTGCGGTGTTTAGTAGGGAGCATCACGCCCACGGGACCTTTTACAAAGATCTTAGTAAATGTATAAAAATCATATTCAAAATAAATTTTCAATGAAATAATAACAAAAACGGGCACTTGATATTCTGAGAAAATTCGTCATGTATTCGCTAAGGTTGAGTAATAAGGTACTTACTTTGCAGTTGCAGATTTGCAAGCTCAAGAGTTATCGAGAGATCATAGATGAAGTTCATATACTCTAGTAGCAGGTAGGGGTTGAGGCTGCACTTCACTGTACAGAGTTTTTTATACTGAATCGGGTTAAATAGGTCATTGGTAACTCAAATCACCGAACGGCACATGTTGTGTCGCTAGTCCCAACCCTGTGGGGGCCACGCCCATATTTCACATTAGGCGCAATGGACACGTTCATTGAAGTTTGAGGACATTGGTAAATTTTTTAAATAGCGTTTTCGACGATAGTGGCTTAATTTTAGCATCTATTAATCTAGCATGTTCAAAAGCTCTGAACATTAGCCACGTGACCCATACTCCCAGAGTTGAAACACAGTTAATAAACTGCGGAGTGAATAAAATGCTATACAACAAAACAGAAGGTTCCAACCATACACTCCACCTACTGATCCTAACCACCCTAACAACTCTCTATTTCTCTCTCTTAAACCCTCCTTCCCTCACTCTTCGTGGTGCACAAAACCATTCCAACCTATGTATGTCCCCCCTACGGGTTCCACAAGCCCAACGGTACATAGTTAGACGAAAAACAGGGAAGCCTTGATTGCCAGATCAAGGACTGCATCAGTAGCAGCGAAACACGGATATACCTTCTCCCTTACAGTCAGCGAGCGGACAACAACCTGACTGTGTCTTGTAGGCATTACCACACCACCTTCGCTATTACATCCGCTCGCCCGTATTCACTGACACATGCCACACCTGGGTTTAGTATGAAGATGTACGCATATTCACCCAAGATGCAGCGATGTCTCAGTTTAGCGAGTTGAAATACAGCAGCAAACTCACAGGAAAATATATCAGAATCATCAGTTACAAACCTGCCACCGTTTCGGGGCTTTAATCGCAATAAAGTTTCCTGTCAGGCGCCCCAGCAGTCCACCCTTGGACCACCATCTGATCCGACGAGATAACGTTTATGGTACCTCTAGATGTTAAGTGAACTCTCAAGCTCCAACCTTCCTGAACTCCCACTCCTTCTTCCTTGATAAGTTGATAACAAGTAGATCCATCTGGAACAGTGAGCTGCTTCTTTCCCACTATCCCGTACTTGTTTCTTCAGCTCTCTTCCTTTAAAAGCAATTCTCCTCGCAGCTCAGCTCTCTCCAAACTCTGAGCAACCACACCCTTGCTCCAACTTCAACCGCAGCATTATAACAGCACCATCCTTTTGTTTGAATCTTAGTCTGAAGACTGCTGTACCGGTCGAGTTTGTACTCATGTGATTCAGCGACCCGCTCTTCAGATGGTACCGTTAGTTCCCACCAAATAACCGTCTTTGCCGACCTTGAGAATATCACAAGGTCCGGTCTCAGCCGTGTTTCCACAATCTCACTGGGAAACTTAAGCTGTCCCTCAATGTCTGACAGCACTATCCAATCTCGAGACTCTCTCAGGATCCCAAAACCACGACTCTCCCAAATAAAATTTATTGTTGTCAGGCACTATAATGTAAGAAATTTCACATTTTTGTGACTGTGTTAACAGGTTAACCATAGCTACCCAATTAGCATTCTTTGGTCTAAAATATAGTAGATTAGGTCAATCTAACAATTATAATACAACATTGGTTAAAGGGCAGGGATCGAACGGTTTTAAAGCAATATTTCGTAAACTTCGTCACACTCAGAATACGATACCTCTTTTTTACTGTGAGGTGTCCTAAAAACCTTTTAACTCATTATTTGATGGTTCTTCTACCGATCTTAGCCATAAAATATGTTGTTTTGAAAAATTAGCTAATACAATTTTGCTTTGTTACCGAAATGTGACGAAATTCACTTTTCCTGCCCTAACATTACTTACTTTGAGTTCTTTGAGTAGGTTTGGCTGGGATCGCTTCAGGACAAGCCCGACAACAGTATCGAGTACGTCCTCCTATTACTCCACTGGGGTCTTTTTGTAAGTACCATTTCAAGAGTGAGTTGTTGTTAGTAGCGGTGTATCCTTTAGTCGGAGGCGTGTCGGGGAATTCTTTAAGGAATTTAGCCAGTGATGATTTTAACGGGTCCAAAGTAGAGATGGAATTTATTTCTTTGGGAAGAAGATTCCACAGCTGTGCCGCTTTCACTCCAAACGAGTTTTCATAGTGAGTTGCCACAGAGCGTTGTGATTTGTTGTTCAGTGCCGGTACAGTGGCTTTTATTCCATGTCATGGGTTGTTTTTGAACAGCATGCCAATATCATTTGGGGCCATGCCATTGAGAATTTTCTATGTGTGGATCAAGATGTAGCTTTCTCGACGCCTCTGCAATGATATGATATTGAGTTTCGTGAGACGTTCCCAGTAGTCTAAACCACTGCATCCGTTAATGCGTCGGGTATATTGTCGTTGAACGTTTTCTATAGACTCTGTGAAGAGGGTAAGCATTAAAAATGGTGATCTGGCCTTGAAGACGCTTAGAACCCTGGATGACATAGTGCTTGCTGATTGGATCATTTTATGGACGTGGGGAGTCCAAGAGCAGTCGTTTGATAAAATCACCACCAAGTCCCTGACAGTTTCTGCTGCAGGCTCAATCATTTGACCTGTTGTAAGACTGTAACTGAGCAGATCATTTGTAAATGGCAGATTTCGTAGCAGAAGCAAATTATTGAGCGTATAGTTGAGGATCTCAAATTTAGCTTCATTGAGCTGCATATTGTTTCTTCAAGCCCAAGCAATAACATTGAAGAGGTCTTCTTGTAGCGATGCTTTGGTGGCCAGGTCCAATATCTTGCCGGTGAGTTTGGTGTCATCAGTAAATAACTTTCCAAGAGAGGTAAGCAGTGCGTCCAATTGGTCATCGATGTAGAGAATGAAAAGAATCGGTCCCAACACTGTACTATGTGGCACTCCACTTATCACCAGCTGGAAGGATGACTTAGTTCCTTCAACTTCCACTGTCTGGAGGCGGTTTGTTAGGAATTCACTTAACCACTGTAGCATGTTTCCATGAATTCCGTAACGTTTTGCTTTTGCAAGTAGTATGTTGTGGTCCACCTTATCGAACGCTTTGTCGTAATCGAGGTATATAACAATTACTTCAGTATAAATTCAATGCGATACAAAATTAGCATGGGTTTCTAAATTTCCTGTATTATTACCTCGATTAGAATATAATGTTACTTTATCACCATACCTATGTTTATAAACTAGTTATTTTGCCAACAAAGAGCAAATAAAGTTATAATTAATGATGCATAATGATAGCTTGTAAACCCCAGAAGTTTCCAGTATCGTTATGGATTGTTACACTTACCGAGCCTGGTGACACAAAGCCAAAATCTGGGACCGGCTCAAAATTTTTAAAGAAATTAATGGCCTTCGTATCATTCATTCCTGTAGATTTGAGTGCGGAAGGGCGGTGAAAATTTCATAAGAGTTATGAAAAATTGTGATAAGAATGTATTTTGACTCTGCACAGCTGTGAAGTGGAAGTGCATACTGCTGGTAGTGGCAGTTAAATGGATGTAAAATGTAATGTAGTACTATTCTATTAGTATTACTGTAGCCCAAGATATATGTGCCAAAAGTAAAAAGTAAAAACTGAACAAGAAATATAAAATGTTACAAAAAATATACATTATTAAATTATAATTATACATTATCAAAACGGTGGCTGTTCTTTACAAATTTTACTACTTTGAAGCTAGTCACTATAAGTATAACTCACTATACTAAAACAAAATTAAGGATTGAAATAACCTAAAAACACCTTTTTATTACACGTGATCGACAACCACAATCAAGGGATATCAAAACACCCAAATAATGGATTGCCAGCAACTTTACGAAATTATCGTAACTTTCTTATTTTACTATACTCTAAACTCTAAAAATCAACGTCCTCTACTCCAAGTTGTGAGTTGAGCTTAAGGTTAACTCTAATTTGCTGGCTGCTTGCTTCCTGTCCGGGACCTGACTGTCCAGCAAGATGTGGCTTGTCTGTGTAATCAGGCTCAAATCCCACTTCCTCAACAAACTGTGATTTGTGTTCTGATGATATTCCGTAACTTGGACTATGAAACTCAGAGCTGATGAAATAACTCGCAATGTAGTTCATGGTGAGTACCGCCGAACTGAACGTTACCAAGACTCCGGCCAGTACAAATAGTCCAATGTTTCTTAGACCTAAAAATATTTAAATGGTAACCCATTAAATACCAGTTAAATACCATAAATCTTACAGACCTTTGCGGTAGATTTGTTTCTATACCTTTTATCTAACTGTACTCAAAACTTACGGTCTATTTTCTTGTCGATATTGTCAACTATTGGAATACAAGAGGGGACAGTCGAGTTCCAATTTCCAGTATCTAAACAGGTCATGAGGGGAGATGTGGAGAGATAGGAAAGGTAGGGACCCTGACAACTAAAAGTGAGAGTGTACCCCACTTCCAAAGAGTCTGTTTTGTAGGTCGACGGAACTATCGTGGAGTTGGCTTCTTGGACAGAGGGGCAACTTTCTGGAGAAGCCTCTAGGAAGGGTAAAAATATTTCAAATTATGAATTCATCCACAGCTTAACATCAACTACCCCTGGTTAGGCTTTACCACATTTTGACTCATTTACTGAACATTTAATTGTAAAAATACCTGTATCGCACTCCGCACCTGTCCAGCCAGGTTTACACTCCTTGCTCCCGTCCTCCTGGTTACATGTGTACTTGTCCGTCTCCGCACAGTGGAAACAGTTTGAAACTTCCTCGTCCATATTGTCAGGTGTTAGAGGTTTTCTGTAGTATTCAGGTGCACACTCAATCTGGAAATGTTATTTTGAGACCACTGTTGAAGAATGAAGATGATAGATAATGGTTTATGAAACTTTATTTTTCTTTATTTGTTTCTTTGCACGACCGTATTGTGCTTACCTATCTTTAGTGATGGTAATCTTCAGAATGCTTTACATGTTATGACATCAACATATTCTATAGGGAACTTAGATAATTTTGAAGATCATGATTTGTACGTACAGAAGTGGTTAAGTTAATAGAGGAGTGCTCATCAGTGAGAGTAATAGTTACTGGACCCCATGTGTCGAATGTCCGCTTGTACATTAACCGGGCCATCATTACTCTGTCTCCGTTCGTCCTCCTGTGCCAAACGTCTAGTAAGAGTAGTAGCTCGCTTATTCCCTACCGGAATTCAAAAGTTGGACTTTAAAGTTAAGACCATTCGAATTTGGATGCAAAATAAAATTGCAACAATTTCCTTTACTTTTCAGAAATTAGATTGTAAATTTCTTATCAACTAGATCCTTAGATCATAAAATGCACAAAAATAATACTCTTTCAATGATATAACCTCCACGTTCTTTAGTTGTATAGCTATAGTCAGTTTTACTAACCTTTGTAACCGTTTGTTCCACCTCTGTTCCAGGAAAAGGATTGGGTATGGTTGAACCGTCTTGTATTGTTATCGTATCCGTGAAAATTATGTTGTCCTCGTTTACTGGGGGCGTCTCAAAGCTGTGATATACAGTATTTCGTTTACCAAAATAAGTCACATTTAATAAAATTGGATTGGGCAACGAAGTTAAAAATGTTGTGAGAGCACGTTAAACCCAGTAGCTATTACATGCTGAACCATATCTACAGTTTTGAGTTTTTGTAAATTGTATTAATAATTTCTTAGCTTACGTAAAACTGATTGGTTTGATAAGTTTGAACTCAAATTCCATGTCACAAGGGGTCGCGTCCGGGTTGCAAAGTTGGTCGTCTTGAGCTTTAGAGTTGTCTTCGTTGGTGTACTTATTTAACTTCACTGTAACGAGGGTGTGGCCTCTGGCCGCAGAGAAAATAGCCATTATTATTAAGAGATAGAGTTGAAGTTGGCTTAGTGAGGTTAAACGGGGGTAACATCTAAGCTGACGAATTTCCATTGAGCTTTAGATAGGCTGAAGAGTAGTCGATTTAGACCAAGAGTACGCGGTAACAGATCCAAACTGACCTCTCATGGACTCACAAAACTAAAAAAAGCAAAGTACTCCTCCACAGGACATATCCTTCGTCACGAAAGTAGAACAGTCCAACGGCTCAGACAAAGATGAATGCTAAGCTTAAAGAGCGAGACGTGATTCCCGGTCATTCCGATAGTATTTTTAGCGCCCGAAATTAGATTTAGGTGTTATTAAGTGTCTCTGGGTTTCTCGAGGTGGCCTGGATTACTCCCCACACGGGTAGGCCTCAACTGAATATTACCGGAGTGATATTTGTTCAGGGAGATCGGTACACAGTTATACACAGGTAATAAGTTAATGATGCCATACTATTACTTTATTCGTGAGACAACTGAATAACTCAAATACTATTCTCGATAAGACAAATAACTTTCATTCTATTGTTCACTTTTAGTATTATAGATTATGGTCACGTTTTCTAAAACATCTGTCAAAGGACTAAAAATGATTTATCTAAATCTACACGATCACAATATGATAAATTAACATAGGATAAGATTCTTACTAAGAATACAAATACGTCTACAAAATAATATCAATAATAAGTTAAAGAAAATACAATTTACTGTTCTTCATAGCTATTTCTAAATCTATTGCTCCTATATCAATTCCATTTGCTATAATATTGATGTATCAAATTAAATACATTATTATCTAAAAATCATAATCAAATTCGTCGTGCACAAACCCCTGATTGAAATAACCATCATTTTTAACCGCTGATACATCGGACTCAGTATCTACATGTCCTATACCTGTACTTTGTGTCGTACTTCTTTTCTCATTTCCATAAAGTTTCTCTTTAGAACTTGGTGAAATCTTCATTTTCTCCTTCTGTCTCTTGTGTGCAAAACAGTAGACAGTAATAAATGTGAAGAATGCCAGAAGTGTTATCCCAGCCACAAATAGTGCACTGTTCCCGAGTCTTCGTTCCAGATTATCTTCAATTATTTCTGTTTCATTTTCTCCTAAGAGTAAGGGTATATATTAGTTCGCATATATACGGATACTTATAATATAATAGAAAATTTGAACCGAATTTTCATAAGCAGCCTTAACTCCAAAAAATTCTCCACAACTACTTTTTGAAAAGAAATATTTGTCTGATAATTTCTAAATTTCCGGTAATTACCCGTTGCAATGCAATCTATGAAACGTCTGGCCCCCTCCCGAACAGCCTCTCCAGAATAGTCCCTCCAAACCCCATCCTCATCACACTCCAGACCCTGGTACCTAACCAGAGGTACGTAGTGAGGGGCACAGTGCGGGGTAGGTGCTGAACCGTTACCTGGCTCCGCACACGCGTTCAGGGAGCTGTATGTTAGTGATCCGTGTGTTGGTTCTTTTAACTTAGCACAGCTCTTACACGCATCTTCACCTGTTGTTAGAGGGGTTTAACGAGGGTTTGTGTGATTGTTAACAGCAGTTTCTAGTGTAGTGATAACTGAGCTGCTTCAACTATTCTCTCAGTGTAAACTTATGGCCTATCAGCAAGAGAAGTCAGAAGCTAACATATAAAGTAGTATCATGTTTCTGACATACTAGCATATGTATCTTAAAATCAGATTAGCAGTGTACGTTTAAAGGTGCATTCTAAAACTTACGGCAGGTGGGAAGGTTGCAGCCCCAGGTCCCATCCTCCTGACAAGTGATATTCAGATAACCCGCCCCAATAGAACTGGCATCCTGCCAAAGACTGAATCCTGAGTCACATGACAGTCTGACGGTTTCACCAGGGGAACTGTCTTCTGTGCTGCTGGACAGGAGGTGGAGGGAGTTTACTGTTGGACATCCTGAAATTATAAATTGTAATCTTAAGCTTTGGCCAGTTAAAGTTTCAAATGTAGCATTTGCAACATAAGCAATCTTTGAACACAACGCATAATCTAGCACCTTAATTAAATATAAGATCTTACATAGCAAATTGAGTCAGGTATTTGATCTTACTCTTAATCTCAGTGCAAATGTTAGAGAAGTTATTGAAACTCCACCCCCCGTCACCCCCACATGTCAGCGAGTTACCCAGCACCTCCGTGTTCAGCTCATACTCCGGGTCACACTCGACAGTGACGGTGTCTCCCTCGTAATATGTTACTTGTGGCGTACTGGTCACTCTACCGTCCGTTATCACTAGTCCCGACGTACATGTTACTTCTGGAAAGTTGAATCCTTTTATCAATTATCATTCCATTTGGATATCAACGAATGATCTTTAATCATTTGAAAAGCTATAACGTTCAAGGTTAGATTAACACGAGATCCTTGATTTTAAACTGCTCTGATCGTCGAATACCATTCCTCTAAGAATATAGTAACTGTTTTGTAATCATCTGAATATTAGTAACTGTTGTCCAAGTGCCACTTACTTTTGGTACAGACGTTAGTAAAATCCTGGTAGCTCCATTGTCCTGTACCCTCACAAGTTAACACGTTGCTCTGCAGTTGAGAGTTGAGCTTATACTCTGGATCACACTCTATTGTAATCGTCTCCCCCACTGAGTAGATTGCTTGCGGAGAACTGGTGACTGTTCCCCCCGTCATGTCCAGATCAGACGTGCAGGTTCCTGCGGTTATGCATTATCTAACTTTTGTAGGTCCCAAATCAGGTAAGAAAAAGTGTTTTTTTTTTTCTTCAGTATGACATGTGTTACCAGGATGAAGAATTAGAACATTTATACTTTGCGTACACTTACTTGTAAGACAGTCGTCCCCGGTCCAACCCCCCAGACAAACTGGATCTCCAGTGACAGGATCACAAGTGAAGTGTCCCAAGTTATCATCTTGTTCTACACAGAATACACTGCAGTCAAAGTAATAGTTCTCTTCACATATCACCTGTTAAATGTCAAGTTATTGTTAAAATGCCCATAGCCTCCTTAGACTTCAATGCCCCGTATATGATGTTCATGCATCTAAGCCGAATTTATTGATGATACGGCCGGAAGAAGTTTAAATGTAACTGTGAGTTTTCAAGGAATCTTGATATGTTGATGGACATTTTAGTCGCTCACCTTAAAGCTCAAAGTCATGGTCAGAGAACCATCTGTCAAGGTTTTGTCGTAGATAACACCAGTTGTGACATCTTCTGTTAGCTCCAGTGTTGCCATGTTTATTTTACGGTTGTGTGAGTAGTCGTCAACTTCAACTTTTACACTGAACTGCACCAACTTTTTCTGAAACAAACTTACGTGTATTTAAAGTAGCTTAGGTTATATTATACTACAAACTTAATGTTTTTCCTAGTTTGCACTCAATAGTCTTATGGTCCTGAGAAAATCAATTTCTAAAATTATGGAACCTGGGAGGGAGCAGAAATGCTGACTGGGTTATTGAACTCAGTTCCAGGTTTATCATTTAAAGCTCCAGCTCCAGTTTGATCCAATGTTAAATCACCTTGTAGTTTGATATTGTCTGTTTTATAACTGAAACGATAAAACTCAATATCTACAGAATCCTATCGCTTTTAAGTTTAATACAGTAACAGAATCCAGTAAAAAATTTGTTAAATGGCTTTTCTAAATATGGAACTTAATCAAATTATTTAAAAAAATCTAGACAGACTCACCGGTGCAAATCAGGTTCTAGGAATTCAACTTTTATTTTGATGTCACAGAGACTGTCCTTGCAAGTAGATCCATCAGATAGTTTACTGTCTGGGGTTGAAAGTGTCTGGAAGACGACCTCTACCTGGCCTAATCCTGCAATCTAGTTGGAATTATGATTAGAACTTTCTCCACAATCACCCATTAGATTAGAAAAATATAATGATCTTTGCTGCTTTAAGCATTACAAAACGTCGGCGAATGTTCTGATTTACCGTCTTGGATTGTAGAATCTATTTTACCTGAGAAATGAGACATTGAATGAGGAATATATAGAAAAACTTGAAGGATCGAACTCTCGACTCTCGTTTCTGCATCATAACGTCATTGATCAAAAGCGTCAAGAAGTCTTAAAACTCAGCGGCAGGGTTAAGCATCTTTTAACACTACAATCATACTGAAACGGAGATTATGAAAAAACATTTTTCCCTGAAACTTAAGATTCGAAGGGCCTAGTTCAAGATAACGTCATCAAAACAGAACAGGTGGGGCGTATCAGTTTATAACCATGTACTGTGTCTAGTGGGACAATTGACCGGCAAACTTCATTATTTGATTAATGTTATCTGGTCACCTGGGGTCCCGGTACTTCAAACTTACGCCTGGGTTGAGACCTGAGTGCTGTCAGAAATAACGCTGACCAGTGTACTGGCACCTGGTTTCAGAGCTTAGGTGAAAGCACCCACGCGCCGGTGGACTGCACCACGATAGCACCACGATAGCACCACGATAGCACATGGGTTGGGTTGGTTGTGTTTATATCAGCTGGACCATAAGACCATGGAACTGGAACACCCGGTTCCCATTCAGAATTTGTGAGAACTACGTCTCATTCAAATTCTTATATTGGTAACAGCTGATATGTTTATTGGGAATGGTAAAACTGTGTAATGAAATTTCCTAAAATTCTAAAGCACGCCATTTCAATTTGTAATTACTTGGAAATTAATATCCAAAAGGGATCCTAATTAGGAAAACAAGGGAGGAAAAGTTTCTGTATCGTCAATAAGATATGCTGGGTGTTAAGCAGCGTCAGATTGGCAAGCAAAGTTTTCTGCTAAAAACTGTTATGTCGAGATCTGAGCTAGTGCTAATATCTCACTCTTACCCTCATCTTCGCAAACAAACAACACAAATAAGATCTTTAGTTCATCAAAATTCAAAGCATATAATGGATGTAAAAATAGACACTCGAATTGTGGAGAGATGTAATATTTTGAACTTGGTTCACGAGACTTTTCTCTTTAAATTTAAATACCGACTCGAAAAAAGTGCATTTTTGCCGTTTTAATCAGTTTTAGTTCTTGCTCCCACGTAGTAGGCCATCAGAAAGGGCAGTTAAAACTTAATTTCAAGATAGCAACAAAGCTCCCTACTGAAAAAACTCGATGAAGTTTTATGTTGGTGTCGTAGTTCAAGTCAAGGGTCAGCGTGGTAATGAAATGATAGTTCCAAGATAGCTGTAGTCGACGAGTAACTAAGGCTTAACGAAATTAACCAAATCAGTGAGGCGGTTCAAATCAGGAAATTGGAACTATTTTTTCTGAAATTTGTAAGTGAATCAGTGGCTGAAGCCAATATTCATCCATTAAAATGTGCCTAACTTTTTGTGTCTGTGTGTGTGTGGCAAATAATGAGATTATGATATCATGATTTAGTGCTGTTGATGCAATAGTGTGGTGGATTTGGATAAGCCAGTTAGAAATTAGAAGACTAGTTCCGGACAAAATGAGAGAATATAAACTTTTATGTAGTTCAGATAAGAAATAACCCAGTTTACCAGACTGGTACGTGGTTATGCGTAATTTAGAGTATGCGATAAAAAACATTTCACCCTCTTTATTGCTGATTCATGCTGCCATCAGATATACCAATTTTTTGGGTAAATATTCAGAATATGATTAATAACTCATTCATATTCTGGAATTCAACTTAATGAATGGGTAGCTGGCTACACTGTAATTAGCCGACAGAAGTACAGTCAACATAACGATAAAGGAAGGATTGAAAGTGAGTGGGGTAATGCGGCACCAAAGGTTTACCGAGGCAGTCAGACTCAGCTTTCTAGTCCACCAGACTTTGCTGCGGCTCCACTTTAATCTATTGTGCGGCATGCAAAATTTGTGGACTTCACTGTTTCCTTTTTTAAGTGCCCTAGAATGTCACCAATCACGTACTACACATGACACAAAACAAATACTGGTGTTTATTAATATGAAGGTTAAAAACAAATGGTTGTATTAAAACCAATGAACCACAAATCAGATCCATTTCTGAAGTCGAATGTGGTCGAATATATAAACAATTATAAAATTATTCATTTAAGAAACATGATGGCTTCAATTTGGACTCGGCTCCGTTTCTTCGTGTTCAGCTTTTAGTTCCATACTTTGTATCTGATTTTATAATCGCAGCTTCATTTTAATTTCTTTTATTGATCCCAATGTGCAGTGGTGGATCAATCAGAGTAATGGGTCATTACCCATAGTTACCCATAGTTACCCATAGTTACCCATAGTTACCCATAGTTACCCATAGTTACTATCATGTTCTGTTTTTTTAATTTAAATTGTAACATAAGTGTTACTTTTTGATTCTGCTCAAGTGAAAAAGTAAGGGCACACCATTTTGAGAAATAAAAGTAAAATGTTAATTTTACTAATTAAAATTCAACATAGTGAATCATTACCTATTTTATCAAGCTATTGTTAATTGTCGGATGATCTAAATCTAAATCTTTGGTCAAAATATTCTAAGCATGACAATGAATAAATTTAATAATCTATCCTATCTGATGTAAAAAAGTCTGGATGTTTAGGAGTCTGGAATTCATAAGAGTATTGGTTAAAATTCGTAATCAAATCCATTGCCTGTAAATCCGTGATTGACATAAGCAGCTGTTGGTATCAGTCCGTTGTTATTCTTAACGACAGGGAAATTTTGTGTACTCTGTACATTTCCAATTGCAGTAGATGTAAGTGTTCTCATTTGTCTTATCGCATCCTCTGGCACATAACTCTTCCTTCTTGGAGACACTTTCCTCTTCTCTTCTCGCTTCCGATACAGAAAACAGTAGAGGAAGATGATGCCGAAGAAACTAAACAAGGTCATAGCGGCGATTATCATTGTGCTTCTGGCTAATCTTTTTTTCAGCGCATCCTCACTCACGTTGATGTCAGAATCGCCTGCGATATATTTTGTAAAACCAACCTATTATGCAACTACAATTATAATTGTCAACATGAAACATCCAAGGAGCAAGCACTGATCAATATTGGTAATTTAGCTGAATATGTTTCGGAACATTGTTTCAACAAGATAACTTAAAATATCACAGGAGAACCTCTCTACGAGTAACATGTCACCTGTGGGGATGCAGTCGATGAGGAGTTTACCCCCCTTCTTCTCGACACGCTGACCAGCTGAGTTAACCCATTCCTTGTCCTGACCACACTTTAGTCCCTGATACCTCACCAGAGATGTGTAGTGAGGGTAACAGGCAACACTGACAGTTGAGTTGATGTTAGCGTTCAGGCAGTGGTTCACGGAGAGGTAGGTTAGTTTGCCGTGTTTTGGTTCTCTTAGTCGGCTGCACCCTCCACACCCACCTGAGGGGTGTTATAATAGTTTCATAAAGAAGTGTTAAGTGCTCAGTTTTATAAGTACTGAGACTGAAGAGTGGGGGGGGGGGTGAAAATAGAACCTTTATGTCCTAATTCTTCTCTCTGATAAATTATGAGTATGTAGATTGTAGATGACGTCAGCGATTAAAATGAAATTATTGACATCACCCACACACTTATCGGTACTGAAGTATCGCTAACATTTTAATTAACACTTCAAATTTTTGTCGTTAGTTGCGTGGCGACATATAATTTAAGAATATACTTAAGCATTCTGCAGGACCCCTTCCCACCTTTATCCTCAGTACTGTTAATCTATTAAAATCCACCCGAATGTCCGTTACCAAATATTAATAATACACATTCATTGTTTTAAATAAGTAGGAAGATTTGAGAATATCAACTCACAAACAAAATATTGATCATTGAACGTAAGTCTCCAAGATCTCCACTAGATCTTGATATTTTCTGCCACTTATTCATTCCTTAATCTGATTACCCCTTCAAATTAAGTATACTCAGGAAACTGATAGGAAATAAGGGCCCTTAATTCACAGTATCAGACACAGGGACACGCGGTATCCAGATAACCCTCCTAAATCTTATGGTAATCTTCTGTGTGACCTTGAGAGCAGCCAGTGTGATTGGAGAATGGGTGTTCAATCTGTTCATTATGACGTTGCTAGGTGAAATGTCATTATAATGTTACGTTAGATATGGGAAGATTGAGGATGGCACAAAATCCATTGATCTAGGAACGGAGAAGGCAAAACAATCACTAAGAACAATTGTCCACATGGTCATGAGATACTGTCCTGCTGAGTGCTGAGTCTGCCGACTTTGAATTCTCTAACCTTATGTTAAAAAGGTAAACTAGTAAAAGGACGTTTAAAACTAAAAAGTTTTAACAATGGGCTTGGTTTAATCTAAAATAATAAAACACTGGAGCAGGCTGAGTGTGGTCTTATTCTCAGCCGTTAAAAACATGTTTAACGTTTGGCTGTTACTCGCCAATATGTTTTAACTCTTGTTATCCGCTCAAAGTTTACCTACTTTTGGTGCATATCTTTGCAAAGTCGACGAAGCTCCAATTTCCGTCTGCCTCGCAAGTCAGCACATTACTTTGTAGATGAGGATTTAGCTGGTAATCCTCATCACACTCAATCTCAATCGTATCGTTCTCTTGGTAGATTGCTTGCGGAGTACTGGTGACTTTCCCTCCCGTGATATCAGGATTAGCCGTGCATGTTCCTGGGAGTTTAGAACTGAAACCTCGTCAGAGTGATTAATAACTGAACCAAAAACCTGTCATAATTATAAGTATCAGTCTTGAAGTTTTATCATTATGTCGCAGATTGCAGGAGTGAGTTATATTATACAGGCCTAATAATGCCTATAATGCATGTGGCCCCCTAGTTATGTTTTCCCCACTAATTACTTGTAAGACAGTCGTCCCCGGTCCAACCCTCCAGACAAACTGGATCTCCAGTGACAGGATCACAAGTGAAGTGTCCCAAGTTATCATCTTGTTCTACACAGAATACACTGCAGTCAAAGTAATAGTTCTCTTCACATATCACCTGGAAAGGAGCAGGAAAATTAAAAATTCTGCGTGTCATTTAGATCGAGGTCGAAATGATAACTTTGAGGTAGTTTAAAACAGTGGAAATAGAGTTTACCTTGAAACTAAGTGTTAGATTTACAGAACCCTCCATTAATGTTCTGTTGTAGATAACACCAGTTGTTACATTTTCTGTTAGCTCCAGTGTTGCCATGTTTATTCTACGGGAGTTTGAGTAGTCATCAAGTTGTATCTCGACACTAAACTGCGTTACTTTGTCCTGCAACGAACTTGCATTTATTTCAAGTAGTATAGGTTATATTTTGCTATGATTAAGAATTTATTGCCCTCTATTTTGCGTTCTTTAGTTGTTATTTGCTATTTCCTTAGAGTATACTATCTATACATTAATTAAATTATTTTACTTGAGATGGAGCAGTAACGTTGATTGGGTTATCAAACTCAGTTCCAGGACTATCATTTAGAGCTCCTGCTCCTGTCTGAGGCAGCGTTTGAGCACCTTGCAGATCGAATTTGTCGGTTTTATATCTGAAATAATACAAATCAATATCCCGGAAATTACAATAACACATTCATTCCTTCAAATTAAAATGAATGGTCTGCAGCAACAGCATTCAATAAAGCAACAAAACTACGAAATTGAGGTGGAAGATTATATTTTGGTTATTCTTAGGATTAAAATTTGAATTTGATCCGACTCACGAATTCACATTAGGCTTCCTGAATATAACTTTCATTTTTATTTGACAAGTCCCATCTCTGCACGTAAAACCGCCAGATAGCTTACTGTCAGAAGTAGACAAAGTTTGAAAAACAGCCTCCACTTGTCCCAAACACGTTCCCTGGGTAATTTTGATTTATTTTTCAAATTCGTGTGATTCTGGTTTATCATTTGAAAAATAGATCTGTATCAGAAAACTTGTCCAAGAGGCCACATATTTAATTCTTATATTATGGTCGCATATTATAATATTCTATGATAATTTATAAATTATCAAAGAATATTATAATATGCAACCATGATATAAGAATTAAAGATAAGACTACCCAAGAGATTACATTACCTGATTGATAAGACTACTCAGGAAAAGAAGGTTGTATAATAGCTTTTTAGATTGCAGATCGAACTGTTCTCCTCGCATGGTCGTCAAGGAAAGTCTGTGGGGCCCATGTTCGAACTATGATAATTAGGTGTAAAGTTTAACACTTCGTATTTATGTATAATTGATGCTAATTTGGTGCAACTTACAACATTACTATTCACTATATGCCGCTTATACTCAGATCCCACGACACTATAATCAGTATCATGCCCTCACCATGCTTGTATGCCCTGCGACTATGTTTTCGATAATAACGCTAATATCTTAGTCAAGTCGTCCGTGAAAATTCTATCGCATTGTATTGAATTCGGATCCAGGCACCTGACTTTCGTGGCGCCGAAAGATGTAACTTGAAAATCAATGAAAAGATATGAAAGTTCCAGTTTCAAACATAACTTGGCACAATATGAGATATCAAATATGCCGACAAAGCTTAAGTACCTACGCGTGACCAATAAATATAATGGTACGTGAAATATGTCTAATAATTTTATTGGACCTTGACCTTTTAACAGGTACATCACTTTGCCTGGTACGAAGAGATAAATGCCGATTTTCGCAGTAAGTATTTGATGAGTACTCGTTGAGTAGGCCTGGTAGTGGACCAAAATTAAACTGAGAGGCGCAGATAAAACTAAATATGAGTTCTGAACGGTATTTCCAACGTGAATTCTGAATTAGTATAGGACATTATGACCGACAACTTGGCCCTCTGGGATCCGGGGTCCCACGATGTCCGATGATCAAATCATGTCACTCAATCAGTGACGATTAATTATTATTTGATAATTAGTGATGTGATCCACTGAATGGTCTGCTTGCTAATTGTCTATGTAATTAAATCTCCATGTGCCAAGTTGTCTGACAGCCGTCACTACGAGCTAGGTTTATGAGATATCCGTCATTAATCAAAGGAAACTGACTGGAAATTTATTGGAAACTGTGAAAATTCAAAATTTGGCTCGCAATGTGTCTAAATCTGAAACAGATTAAAACCTTGCCTTGAAATTGCAATTATCGTTTTTTCTTATATTATTAGAACGAGAAATACTAAGAACACAATAAAAAGCTCTAGTAACGCAATTGCTGAACTGAAAATCATGGCTAAATAGCGTTTCTAATGGTAACGGAAAGTTATTAATGATAAGGTACAATGGCAATTTAACAATGAAAAATCAGTTTGATCTGCTCCAACTTGGTGTTAGTGACACTTATTTTTGAGCCAGAAATTAACATTCTCTGAAATTACTATCATTTACTGAAAATCGAATCATTGCCTGGAGTGATCATTTTGACAATGCTATCAAATTCGGGCTCACTTCAAATTTTCAAAACAAAATAATGGAGATATGAGCGGTGAACCCATACAATCGAGCACGGAAAATTGCTATCTGTAAAGGTGACAAGTGTGCCTAAATATTTGCCATTTGCAAAGGCACACGACAAAAAAGATAAGATTGTGCGGCTATTTTTATGTATTCTGTAATAAAATGAACGCCCAAATGTACCAGTAAGTGATTTCTTAAGAAAATCGTGTTCAGGAATTTTAAACAATAATCTCAAATTTCATCAGATTTGAATGAAATGAAGATCAGTATTATAGGTATCAGAAAGTTCATATCATTTACGGGGTTTGATTAAGAGATGACAGTTCATTTGTCAAAAGATACAAAAGTTCAAAGTATATCGGAGACCTTATTTGTAACTTTCGTGCCCACGTGTTTAGAAGCCCTATATTCACGAATCAATGTTCGAAAGTTCGAAACATTTATCAGTTTAAGTTCCCAGCGGTTAAACCATGGTTTTTCTCCTACAGTTCCTCGTACCATTCTGTACTAACAGTAGTCCGGTGAGCCACTATCATATCATCAAGTAGTTGCAGGCACAAACTAATAATTTGAGGATGATTCCGACAAAACTGTACTAACAGGAAAATAAATTATAAATTTTTAATCAATTATACGTAATAAACTGTTTTGTTTGTGGTCAGTTATCAAGTCGAGAAGAACCGCAAAGAAACCTTGACACAATAACATGGAGCTAATAAACAATCGTCCGATCACACCATTCATAGGTAACCTGGCATTGTTGATGAGTTTTACTAGCACCTTTGAGCGGAGATGATGAATATACTCTGCGTCGATACCACCAATAAGATTACCAATGAAAACTGATTGATCCATTGCCGCCAATGGACCCCCATGACTCCATAGCGCATATGGCATGATTATTCATTACTTACCAGCAGCACCAATAAAAATTACATCACTGTGGATGGTGCTAATGGCTGCCATTAAATTATTCTCTTTGCTAAAATGATAATGTCAATATTAAGACATTAATATGACGTTATCATGCTCTGTAAACTTGTAAACCCTCTAACTCTTCAATTCATCTTCTATGACAACTGCAGCATGGAGAACATGTCTTGAAATATTAGGCTATGATTATCACGGACAGTAATAATTTGGATTATTTTGTAAATAACTCACCACTCGGTAAGACGGTGTACAAGACCACAAGAGTCAACACGAAAATCTTTAAATCTGTATTCCATTCCTAAGAGTAAGAGTAAGGCCGAACCGTAAACCAAAGCCTTCCCTATTCGGTGCCATTGCAGTATTAGATTAATATCTAATTAATTGATATCTAATGGTTTGCAACTTCTTGAACCGTCGAGTTTTTAAGAAGAGAACTCAAAAATGAAAAAGACTGTAATAATGCTGATTAAGATTTAAGACGGAGTCGGAAAAAACACGAATCTTCGCATCTGTGGAGCGATCACTGTCCTACAATAATAATACACACAATCACGTCTTATCTTTATAAAAATGAGCTCAAGGGGACCAGGCGATGAGAAAAGGAAACTACTGGTACCATGCATGTAAATATATTTGCAGTTTAGTGTGGCGCCATTAAAAATTTCATTTTTATACTTAAAAAAGTCTTTCAGTCCTAATAGCTTTTAACCTTAAACTCTTAAAGTACAAAAGACGAAATTAAGGACCACAATATGCACTTTAGGTTAGGTGATAGGTATTAGGTACTGCCCAGTGCACACGGCAACTGCAAGGGCATCTTCACACACAAATTAACAAAGCTTAGATTAATTAATATTTATCAAACACAGCGATTTTTATTAAAGCCAGAATCGTGACCTATTTAAAACCTCTGACGAAACTCAACCCGAAGTCCGAAAACAGATTGTTTCGATGAGATTTCGAAGAAAGTATTAGTAAGACAATGAAAACTCGATAATTATGGGAGTATGAAGCAGGACTGTAACCCTGGTAGAATGAGCGCGCTTAAATTTATCCGACATAATTCGTGTCAGTGTGTAAGTACTTCAGTATATTATATGAATTTCTTCTGCCAGTTTACAGTCAGCCAGATCCCTGGATCCCTGGCAACGCGGCATTATCATGGGAGACACCATTTTTGACAGTAAACATGATCATATTTATAGATGTAATTAATTAGGCATTGTAAGTAATTGAGATTTTCGGAATGAGAAAATTGCTCTTTTTTCTGATCTGAAAATTTTAAACATTTTTTTCTGTCCACATTTTTTTGATAATCTCTATATGTCTCATTTCGAGAAGGTGATAATTATATCACCTCTTACCTTCTCACTGGTTCAGTTGGGTATAGAAATGGGCCATAACTCGTGCTGGCTGGTGGTATGACACAGTGAGGGGCAGTCTCTCTGTCTTCGTCCGCTTCTCATTTAAAAGCTCTTCTCTCTGATCGAACTCAGTGAGGGGCAGTCTGTCTGTCTTCATCCTCTTCTCATTTAAAAGCTCTTCTCTCTGATCGAACACAGTGAGGGAGAGTCTCACTGTCTTCATCCTCTTCTCATTTAAAAGCTCTTCTCTCTGATTTAACTCAGTGAGGGAGAGTCTCACTGTCTTTATCCTCTTCTCATTTAAAAGCTCTTCTCTCTGATTTAACTCAGTGAGGGAGAGTCTCACTGTCTTCATCCTCTTCTCATTTAAAAGCTCTTCTCTCTGATCGAACACAGTGAGGGAGAGTCTCACTGTCTTCATCCTCTTCTCATTTAAAAGCTCTTCTCTCTGACACAATGAGGGAGAGTCTCACTGTCTTCATCCTCTTCTCTTTTAAAAGCTCTTCTCTCTGATTTAACACAGTGAGGGAGATCATTGCAGAGTCTCATACTGTCTTCATCCTCTTCTCATTTAAAAGCTCTTCTCTCTGATTTAACACAGTTTACTGGTATTGTTACAGGACACAGTCTCAGGCACACTTATTGTAATCTTTAACGTACTTTTGGGATCATTGTGTTTCCTCCACTCTTCTTGCCAGCTTCCAACTTCAAGGGAAACTGCATGAGGAATCTTGCGGAGTGGATACTGGATATGAACCAACTTTCGACCAAATTCAAATCATGGTTTCGAGATCAGATTCTTTTTGTGCTCAAACAACGAAGGTAATTTCTGGGAATTTCAAATTTGTATTTTTGATGAGCATTACCTTATCGGTCATAATTATATCAGGGACATTATTTTCACGCTGAATACCTTAGCGTGAATAATTATGTCCGTGAATATAATGTCTGTAGCATTAAGGGGAGATACACCAAAAACGTTTTTGCTCCGAACATCGATTTTATTTTATATTACGGTTCAATAGACAAAAAGAATAAGATTGCACACCTTCAAAATTTTCTAAAAATATTCCCTCATCGAGAAAAAAAATATTTTTCTTTTTCGAAAATTTTTAAAATTTGGAGAAGTCTGTCACTGTAATACCGATAGTTCAGCCATTTTAAAAGTTTTTTGGCTGTTTTTTTTTTACTGAACATTACTTACACTCCGTACAAGACAACCCTTTAAAATATTATATAATTAAACAATAAATGACCAAGTTACAGACCGAACAAGTAGAAAAAAGAAAAATTGGGATTTTTGCCTACCACCAAAGTGTACATTTTACCACTCGCCCAGGTCATCAGATATCGCTTCAAAAATTCTTGTGAGTGTAGCTGATGATCATATCAAACTTTTTGGAACAGGATTTTGCTCAGTTTTGAGTTTTAAGGTATGAAATGTGGCCTTAAACGACTTAGTAAAATTCATCGTAAAAAAGGGCCAAACATGGCAGATTTAAGGCTTAAAATGCCTATAACTCAAAAAGTATCAGTTTTTTTTGAAATAATTTTTACAGAATCGTAATCAGCTTGAGAAGACGAATCTTTTAGTACCAAATAGGTGATTTTAGAAGACAAATTGTCTTAAATAATTTTCCAGCTCGAACACAAGGGTTGTACAAATTGTACACATTTTTTTAAAAATTTTGTGTCTTGAACTATTATAAATTTGGTACTAAAAGATCTGTCTTACCAAGCTGATAACGATCCTGTAAAAATTATTTCAAAAAAACTGATACTTTTTGAGTTATAGACATTTTAAGCCTTAAATCTGCCATGTTTGGCCCTTTTTTACGATGAATTTTACTAAGTCGTTTAGGCTACATTTCATAGCTTAAAACTCAAAATTGAGAAAAATCCGGTTCCAAAAAGCTTTCCATGATCATCAACTACACTCACAAGAATTTTTAAAGCGATATCTGATGACCTGGGCGAGTGGTAAAATGTACAACTTTGGTGGTAGGCAAAAATCCCAATTTTTCTTTTTTCACCTTGTTCGGTCTGTAACTTGGTCATTTATTCTTCAATTATATAATTCTTTCAATAGCTTCTAGTACGGAGTGTAAGTAATGTTCAGTAAAAAAATCAGCCAAAAAACTTTTTAAATGGCCGAACTATCGGTATTACAGTGACAGACTTCTCCAAATTTTAAAAATTTTCGAAAAAGAAAAATATATTTTTTCTCGATGAGGGAATATTTTTAAAAATTTTTGAAGGTGTACAATCTTATTCTTTTTGTCTATTTAAAAATAATATAAAATAAAATCGATGTTCGGAGCAAAAACGGTTTTGGTGTATCTCCCCTTAAGGTCCGTGAATAATAAATTTCGGTAATTATTTCCATTAATTTTTGTGTGTGTGTCCCTATATAAATATATATGCGTAGATATGTGTGTAGCCGATTACTATATTAGCTTATTAGTATACTAGGACAAATATGATCACTCCTCAGTCACATTCTAGAGTTCAGAAAAAAGAGTAAAACACTTTGACTTATTAAAAAATCACCAATTTTTTGGAAATTTTTGGGCGTGCATGAGCGTAAATAATTATGTCCGTGAAAAATTTAGTCCGTGAAAATATGTCCGTGACAATTATGTCCGATAAGGTAGTAAAACGTTACAATGTAACTTAACAACATTTGGAAACCGACACGAATAACAGATTATGAGTCTAGAAATAATATAAAATATTGTTGCGAAATGTGCATGAGGTCAAAAGTGTTAAACTTTTTATCTTTTACTGCACAGCATAAATCTTTGAATTTAATATGGAGTAATTCATTAATCAGGTTATAAAACATTAACAACCTAATGTTTCGTAACTAGCTAAAATTCGATTTCTCCCGTCCTGCTACCCAGAAGTAATTCTCTGAGAAGAAGTTAGTAATATGGCAATAGTTTGTTAATCTCGTTATTGAGTTACTGGGCACGGCCGGGGCACCGTGAGACCTGATTATCCCAAATTCAGGGAATTACTCAGACGGCAAAGGTTACAAATGTAAATACAAATATTAAGCTCTAAGTAACTCTGCTGTGTACTCGATTTTATTTTATTCCAAAATGAGCATTTGATTGGTCATGTGACATCTATCTTGATAGGACTATTTTCACGCTTTGAGCTCCAAATTTCGAAATTAATATTCATAGCTACAATATTCAAACTCCACATATAAAAAATGTATCACATAAAATATTCCTGCAAAGTCCTGGTCACCGTTATAATCGTATTAAAAATGGTTTCTTCACAGAATTATGTAACTTTCCCGGTTGACTGACTTAGAACTTCTACTTTCCACTCCATCGAATAACAGGAAAGCAGCCGCGATAAAAAACCTCTAACTGTTTAGCTTCACTAAATTTCAGAAGGATCACGACGGTTTACAACCGATTATGTTTCTTAGAAACACAAGGGGCCTTGTTGGTAGAACAAGGATTTAGTTTGTAAGTACCGCATGTGGAATTGGAAGGGTGGGCGGAATTGGGGAGCCATCAACTGAAATTGATTGCACTGAAATTGTCATCAAGCTAATGTATTTCTCAGTGCGCTCTGCATCTACATTTGTCCTTCCAGTATTTATGTCCTATGGAATAAAACAGCACACTTATGATCAGAGCATATTTGAAATTGCAATAAATAACAATAATGTTTCATTCGAATTCGTCCAAATCGAAGCATTCATTAAACATTTATCCGTTATTTTAGTCTTCTAAACGATAAAAGCATTATACTTTATAGCGAACTTTTATATTTTCACTGGTCATGTTAGTCGTTGTCCAGAAAATTTATTCTGTCCTGAGTTCTGGGTGATTATCCCTGAAATCCTCCGGTACTAAGGAAACCCCTTTTAATTTGTGAAATTGTAATGCCGAAATGGATCCTTTTCATATAAAACATGGGATGTCTGGCTCCATTACCACTTAAATCCAATTCTCCACAGTACTATTTCTAGGGTTTCACCTCATACCAATGAACGTGGCGTTGTAGAGAGATCTTTAGCCTCTTTCGCTCCCTTTTCCCTGTGAATAATCCTTACATTTAGCATATACCGATATCTGTTCAGACTCAGTGCTGTTTATTTCCCTTTCCGGTGCCACCTGATCAGCAAGCTCCAGGAACTGACTAGGACTGAGTAACCACCTACTTAGTCATCTGGCACTCTTTCAAGCCAGGGAGTCGAGAGTTAGTGTCATGATGATTCGAAATAGTAATACCATTTAGGTCGTTTAAATAAAGTTGAGCATGTGCCAAGTATGTTTCTTTTCACTCGTGATCCATGGTAATGTTTATTTTGAGCGTGAATCACCATCTAGCGTTCACCAATACCACCATATTGCCACGGTAACGTTATTAACCCATTGTTCCACTCCGGGTTTGTAATCCACTATATATAGACTTGTGTCGTTTTGCGCCACTCTAGAGTTGTGGTTAATAAAATGCAGAAGTACGTCTCAAAGTTACCTCCCGTTATATTGTTATTTCGACAATTGTTCAGTCTGTGACATCAGTCACCATGATCCATAGTCTGACCAAGTTGGTTTGAATTGCGATCGTATTCGTAAAAGCTGATGATGTTTCTACTTGACAAGCTTGGTGCTCTGTTCCTTGAGCTGTTCGAAGGTATCCCCCGTCTCTAGACCACTGTACTTAGCACTCACCTCCTCTCCGGCTCCACTTATCAGAGCATTGCTGATCTCAGCTAGTGAAGTGGAACTCTTGATCTGCACCAGCAACACCAGCAACTGAAATTTTATAGTTGTCAAGGGCTCAGCTGTGCAGGTGTCATTTTATACAAAAGTGTTTCTCGTTACACGAAATGTTATAGTGGTCTAAGTCTATATTCTAATCGTGATGTTTAGCTATGCACTCGCTATAACAACAACAACAACAACAACAACTCGCTATAACTTATCGCAGACTTCATAACACTCAGCATTATTTATTTGTTTATTTTGTGCATACCTGCATGAAGAGGAAAGCAATAGTCATCAGGCAAACCATAGAGGTAACCATCATGAGTCCCTTCAGAACCCCAATCTTATTCCTACAGTAACTGAGAGAAACAGTGTCCACTGTCACTCTGTTAATTTCTGTAGACTTCATCATCCCGCCCATCAGACAGACACATTCCATCTCCGTTTTCTTCAACGGGTCTGGCATTATCTGACAGCTTTGGGACTCAAAATACCTGAGAAGAGGGTTGTAACCATGAGCCATAAGGTATTATGAAGAGGGTTGTAACCATGAGCCATTAGGTATTACCATGAGGTACCTATTTAATTATGTATCCGGGGTAACTGGTATGCACCTTTACCGATTGTTGAAATTCGACATCTAGTGATCTAGCATCATTTAGCGTCATCTAGCGTCATCTAGCATCATCTAGCGTCATCTAGCATCATTTAGCGTCATATAGCGTCATCTAGCGTGAAATGACGCTAGATGACGCTAGATCACTAGATGTCGAATTTTAACAATCGGTTAAGATCCACTGGTATTTGGTTACTTCTGTCTCTGAGCAACCCGACTGAGCTTACAATGACATGAATTGTTTCTTATCACTTCTCATTTTTGACATGTTATCGGTGACCTATCGGCTACATTGTGGTCAGCGTGATAATGCAGATGTTAAATACTAACTTACTGGGAACCGAAAGCGGTGGTGAACGCCCCAAAAGCGCAAGTAACCATGGTTACAAGCAGTATAAGGAGGACACAAACCAATCTGAACTTAGATCTGTTGTTGTGTAGCGCGATTGTAAACACGCTGGAGGAGAGCAGGAATATCCCCGCCCAGACTGAAGGGGAGGTTCTTGATTAGGAGTTGTTCGTTAGTATTAGGAATAGTCGATCGCGGCTTTTGTGAACATTGTTCTGTAACTTTATAAGATGTTGTGGTTGTTAAACCAAGATAGTATAAGATTTTGATAGCTTTATAACCAACGACTCAACTAGTCATGATTGTTGCATGATCAAAGCCTACTGACATCAAAGCATATCGACTTTTTGCCTAAGCCGTATGCTCATAACATTTAGACCTTGTTACTTCTTCGGAAAAATGAACACATATTTCCGTTCGGTGCTTCAACTGTGCAGAAATCAGAATCTGCTGACATTTTGCAGAAACACTGTGATTAGCACTTGGTCATGAGTACTAATATTAAGTCATATACTGGCTTAGCAACAGAGATAATCTGAGACGTACTTAGCATCGTGCTAGATAAATATGGGTGTGACAGAGAGGGCCGCACGGAAATAAAATTCTGTAAACATGAACAATGTTTAGCAGCCTAGAATCAGATATTATGCTGCAATTATTCCGATCGGGTGTATACTGTGAATTATTGCACCACTTTTGACTCCTATAAATTTGACTCACTAATTTCACAGATTCATCAAAGTTGGGAAAGTTATGTGATCTTAATTGGTGCTAATGCAAAGACCGTATATGTCATTATAAAAAAGGCGAGGATGCTTGATAAGCGTGCGATGAGCTTCATTCTACTGTATCATTCTACTTATGGTGCATCTTATTCTCCCCTGAATACCTACTTGGTAGTTGGTCGTTACAATTTTCCCAGAGTACCTACTTGACACACAGCACTTCTAAATGTACCTACTTGGAGTGAATATAGAAGGTATGCCATGAACTGCGGAGTGTTCCCGCACGTAGTAAGTCAGCCCGATGATGTACAGCGCACCGCACCCACTTGTCAAGGTGCACAGTCTATACGCCAGAGTGTCCTGGTAACTGTTCGGAACTAACTTGGCAAAGTCTGAGTTTTGAGCAAACATGGCTGAAGTTAAGGTAAAATTAAAACAGGGTTTGACGATCAGGGTAAGAAACAAGAATGCAGATGCAGTTAAGAGCAAGCTGGTGTGTTGAGGAATTAAGAGCAAGGTGGTGTTGGGGAGTACACGGTCGTTTCCGGGAAGTCTCTAGCTGCATGTAGAACCACGTGATTAGGTAGTACATGCGTATAGACGAGAGGGTCATTAACATTCAGTATCAATCAAGAGGTGACAAAAATAGATAGCCAACAAAATAGGCGAAAGGATTTCTTATACTGTTAAGTATTATCGTCCCATATAATTATAGTATAGAGTTTACAAAAACTCTTACAACAAACAACAAACTCTTACAACATAATATAGAGTTTACAACAACATAAAAAAACTATCAAGAAATTTTGATTGGCGCTGAGAGGATAGATCTTCAAGGGTACGGGATCTACACGAAAGTCCATTGTTCTTTAAGCTATTAAGTTAACAACTATTTCAAGAATGTGTGTCCGTTTTGAGTATACCTAGTTGTGTATAATACACAACTAGGTACTATTACTATGTATATATATATATTATACTATTACTATACTACTACTAACTATAAGACTGTTCTCATTCAATTCCTCAAGTCTCATCTTATCTGCAATATTTACACATAGGTGAAGTGTGAAGAGCATGGGATAGTTTAGATCCACGTGATCAGTGAGTACAGGCGTTTAGATGAGAGGATCAGGGAGAGTTGCAGATTATTTATTGGTTTTCTGCCCAAAATGCGGGCCGGAAAGATTTTCTCTTGATCTCTTCATTGTATTTTGAACTTCCTGATATTTATTGCCAAACTTAAACAATAACTTCAGCGTAATTGAATTTAATGTTAATGGTCGCAATTTCTCACGACCTCTGGAGAGTTTCTGCGTGATCATTGGGCCAGATACTATGTAACCCTGGTTTTTGTGATTTAAAGATAAGGTACGTGTAACTCGCATGTTTTAACCTAACGTCCTCGCCATTTATATCCCTCCTCTAAATTTGATTTGTGTTGTATTGAGTTCATGGTGTGTTATATTGATAACGATGGAGTGCGTAAGGAACATCAACATTTATCAATTTCTTTAATTAAATTCTACGACACTGACAGGATATAAGAATGAACATGCAGTTACGTTGACTCTATCGCTTTTGATGATTACGTTACCACGCGCTTCAACATGCGGAAACTTGTACACTTTTGCTTGCGATGACCTGCCTTTCGCTGCCTTCTCCCATCTTCTCTAACATTCTACCACCCATCCTCCTACTGGTACTGACCTCTTCTATTCCTCCAATAGTTCAGAGTATCGCAAGAGTCAGCGTTACTCTTCACTCCTTCTCTAACCCTGAGAATAAACTACTGGACGGTTCATATTGTAACAGTGATCAGTCGCCCTGTTTGCTTAAACTACTGGTTAAGTTTGATGCTCCTTTTGTTGAAAGGTTAGTTATTGTCTTCACAAGAAATTTCATTCTATCCAATAAAATCGGACCAATATTATTCAGGGTTGGAAATCAAAACAATCTACATAGCTGCCTTTCCGACCGGACGTAGCAGAAATTTCTAAATCCTGATATTCAATGACACGATGGGGGGAGCACTCGCCTTGCACCGGCTATCTCAGTTAAAATCGCTTTGTCGGTGTATATTATGAGGCCTGTCACTGCGTGTACCCGCATTGAGGTGCAGTTAGGGTAGTTGGGGGTGCAACCTGCTTCATGTTATGTTTTGGTTGTATCCGCCAGGCCGTTCAAGCTCAACTTTGTAACGGTTAATCACTTAACTGGATTGTGTCTACAAATGTCAGCGTAGATCGTAATTAAGTAGGTCCTTACTTGATCCAACTTGCTTCCGTTGACTTTTCTAATGCATAAAATTGTAAAATATTTTATTACACTTTAAATTAATCGAATATCTTAATATGCCGTTCGAAGATTATTAATTACTTAAAATTTTATTATTAAGTTAAAACCCGGTAATCAAGCTTTGTAAACAACAAATACCCTGAACCAGTCGAGTTACTACATTTACAAAGTCATTATCTCATAAATTTGAACCATATGAACGACAGAATTCTGCAGCCCTTGAAATGTTGAAAATCTTAAAATAAACTCTCCATCAGTTTTGTAACAAGCCAAGCGAAGTCGAGTGTGATAAATTTCCCGTTGGGAGATGATATTCTGACAAACGACCACAGACGTGTTCCTAATCCTTTCCCTGCTAATTCAACTGTCACTGATGTAAGCTTTTAGTTTTACAATGATATATTCAAATCTTTGAATTAATGATTTTAAACAGTTCCACTTTAAAAAGTTCCATTAAATGAATATAGAAGTCCCGCTATCGTCAAGTGCCAATATTAGTAACGCATGTGTTGGGTCTGTGAGCTTTTCCCTAAGCATTAACATTTCCTGACAGGCAATAAGACTGATAACATTCAGTGTACGAGCATTCGACTTCTCATTCAACAGACAAGATGTCGCCAAGTTTTCCTTCAGCAACTTCGCACAGTTTGGAACTGAGACCTACATTTTAACCTCTGGATATTCACAGTTTAATTTAACAACCAATGTGGGTATCTTTTAACATTTGTAACATTTTCCTTCGCTCACTTTTTTATAATTAAATTGATGTTAAATTGATGTTAAATTGATGTTAAATTGATGTTAAATTGATGTTAAATTGATGTTAAATTGATGTTAAATTGATGTTAAATTGATGTTAATGTAAAACAACCCTTACGCTTTAAATTTATTCTGCACACCGTTTCTTGTATTGACACATACATTATAAATATCTCCGGGATTTCGACGCGGGATCATATTATCACTCAGCCCGGCCCGCTGTTAGATAAACATCTCAAGGTGATATCATCCCGCCCCGGAAATTTGTATAAACCCGGCCCGCTTTTTAGTCGTAACTGATGTTTATCATTCAATTCTCCGACTTACAATAATCAATGATACTGCTGATTAGAACTCGATAATAGTAGAACAGTTAGACGCGCGATCACGTGGGCGCGTCACGTGCGTACCACGTGCCACCAATAGCATACGCTGAGTCTATACCACGTGACACGAAAGCGCACCACGTGATATGAAACATCGTAACCGTCCACTTCTTTTACACGCAAATTCCTGGGAACGTTGCCAAAGCAGCTAATTCTTGGAATTTCTCCAACGCGTGGCGTGAGAAGTTGGCGACTAGCCAGCTACCCTTGTCCGTGCCCTAAAATAGTATTGTTTTGCTTGCTCTCCTTCCAGCTCTTGTTCCTGCTAACGTTCAAGCTATTGCTCCACTTACACTATGACAGATCGGTTTGACATTCAGATTCTAATGTATTTCTAAAGTATAAATCCCTTGTCGAAATCGCCGGAGATAATTATAATCCATAAACACTTCACGCTCAGGGCTAAATAAATGTAATCCCTCAGCTGGCGCTTCGGGATTACATATTAACACAAAACTCGTGCGCTGCGCGCACTCGTATGTGTTTATCAGATCATCCCGCTAGCGCGGGATGATCTGTTATATAAACCCTTTGCGTGGCGGGTTTATGTTATTACAAACCTCACAGATAACATGTGAGACGGACTACTACGCTGACTGCTCAGTTCACTGCACCGAGACGGCCACATCTTCATGTAATGAAACGGACGGCACTAAAGTCTGTAAACTTGGCTGGTCTGGCCCGGACTGCGATATTGGTTGGTGGAGTTTCAACTTCTGCATTGTTTCAGTCTGACTAAATTAGGTTAAGACATGTGACTGAAAACAATTGAGCCTTTAAACAATTAGATAATTTGCAGTCCTGTCGTGATTATGAAGACATTCTGAAGAGTGATTAAGTGGATCGGTGTTAATTTGTGATTTCATGATATTTCTATGAAGAATTTTCTATGAAGACGGGAATGGCTTGATAAGAAACCCTGACTAATGAACTCGATACATTCTAGAGTTTAGCCCACTTCCACCGTAGTGTATGGTATATTGTATGCCGAACGTACTGTATTGCTTTATCGCTGAAAAATGATATCATATATTGAGTATTGACACACAAGTACCTCTTTTTTTCGTTGGTTCTAAATAACTGCGATGAATGCTGTGAGACTTCCGGTTATTGCGGAAATGTTTTGTCTTCTACTCTTCATCCAAATATTGATAGGTAAACCTTGTTATTTTCCTTGCTGTCTTGTTGACTGTTTGAAATTAAACATCATAAAATGCAATGGTTTTGTAACGGGTGGGGACGGGTGGGTGGGGCTAAATTAATTTCACGCGTGACAGCGTTTTACCAACCTGCTTGCGTTAGCTAATTTTTGAAAATTGTGATTTGATTAATAATCAGTTCATAATATGAGTATTGCTGAAAGCACAGTGTAAGGCCTATATATGATAATAATATATGTTATTAATCAAATCAAAATATAACTTTTTCAGAATACGCTGTCCCTTGTATGCCGAACACAAGTGCATTGCACGCCAGTTTTACTCCTAACAAAGTATCGTTCAACGAAAATAACGTTGTCACCGTAACCTGCGACCAAGGTTACCAGCCTGCATTAACCAACCTGACTTGCTTGAAGACTGGGTCTTGGAATCCACACTGGCCTTACTGTCTGCAAATAGGTGAGTAAAATTCGCCCTGAATAAAATGTTTTGGTTTTTTATCGTTGGTATTCATTGCCCTCTGCACATAAACATTGGTCAACAATATCATTAATCAAGACTTTAACACTTTCAGAATGTCCTAAACTGTTGATTCCAAACGGAGATGTTACCCCGAACACTGTGATTCAAAACCCCTCTCCTATTGGGACTATTGCTAGCTTCACTTGCCTACCTGGTAACACATTAACCGGTAACACAATCCTATCTTGTCAGAGTGACGGATCTTGGAATGGGACCGTTCCCGTCTGCAATGTTAACAGTAAGTATTTAGTAGAGTCGTCATTTTCCTTGTTTTTCCTCAAACAAGCATTCCGAAATCGCTGAATTTAATCATATTCATTGTTCATCATGACGCCTATCATTTGATTTGAAAGCTCATTTTCTCCAACTTGTAGTGTGTCCAGACGTAAAAGGACCAGCATCAGGTGTGGGTTACTACTTAGCGAACCCTCCAGCCCGACATCCAGGAAACGTCTTCAAACAAAGCTGTGGTCGGTCTTACGTAGGACGAGGCCCAGAAGAGAGGTTGTGTCAAAACAACGGGACATGGAGTGGTACTGCCATCTCTTGTCATCGCAGTAAGTTTGCAAGTTCCTCAGCTACCAAGTTACTGATTAGACTAGTTTATGAGTAGTTTATGATTAGACTAGTTGATGTCTCGACAGGTTTACTGTAAAGAAAAACAGTCAATGCAATTATGATGGCGTCTTTAAGATCAGTTCGAAGTTATGATCAGCTCACACCAGGTATTTTGAGATTCCTACAGCAATAACAATGCCATTATTAAAAATGCCACATTCCAAACATCCTAGAGTGTTCAAAGTTTGACGACATGAACGGAAGGGTGGTGTACTCTACAGGAACACCATCAGAGGACACCACTGCTACGTTTAGTTGTGATGAAGGCAGCAGCCTAGTGGGCGAGAGAACTGCTCGTTGTCTTGCTGATGGAATATGGAATATCACTGATGCTCCTAAATGTGTTCCAAGTAAGCTAGCAGCTTTATTTACTATGATAAACATATTACAGTGTTCAACTGGCTTTGGAACATTCTGAACATTCTGAAATCCGAATATTGCTCAATGTGTAAAAGTAAATAATGACTGTGGAAAGTTTGCGGTTTATTTACGTCAAACCACGCTTAGGTTGCAGTTTAGAATATGGTATTGATGGAAATGTTACAGTATCTCCGTCGACCTACAAAACAGACTCTCTGGAAGTGGGGTACACTCTCACTTTTAGTTGTCAGGGTCCCTACCTTTCCTATCTCTCCACATCTCCCCTCATGACCTGTTTAGATACCGGAAATTGGAACTCGACTGTCCCCTCTTGTATTCCAATAGTTGACAATATCGACAGGAAAATAGACCGTAAGTTTTCCGATGCCAGAATATTATAGTAGATTCGTAGCATTAGTAGATTAGCAGCATTTTTCTGGAGAATAAATCAAATATTATCTTGAAATAAATTGTTTGCCACATAAGGGTGACTACTATTATAAAGTATAAAGGAAAGTGTATAGCATAATATGAACATTAATTACAGGTCTCCTGATCTCTGGCCTTTCAGTCTTGTCCGGAGTACTAGCTGCCTTCGCTGTCATCATCTTCATCCTGTTCTACGTCAACAAGAAGGTTCTAGATAGAACCAGACAAATTCCCGACCAAGGATCACATAGCCGTCAATCTCAACGCTCGATTAGATTGAACCAAATTTCAATATCACAATCAGAAGGACCCCGAATAAATCCGAGAAAGTGCAGTGGACAAATGACATTTGGTTCAAATATGGCCAACAGTCGGAACACAAATAGAGTTTCCGTTGTAGGAATAACCAATCAGGCGTTTGTTGACGATTTTTGAAAAGATGGAATGAGTATGAACTATTGAGAATGCCAACAACTCTAACTGTAGGTGGATATAACTTAACGGATAGATAAGAACTGATAGCAAGATCAGTTCTACACAGTACACACTGATCCGAACTTTGAACTTGAAGTCCGGACAGTTCACAAGGGGAAGCTAGATTAAGACTTAAGAGTAATTTCAATCGATCAGCTAAAAGTGAAGAAGAGGTAACTCAAACTGGATTCTAGAAACTTGAGCCAGCTCACTGGTATTGCATATAACGATATTTTCATAGAGATAATTGTATCAGAAAACGAAAAAAAAGCTATGAGGTATGTCTGAAAAAATTAGCCAAGCTTAGCCTTAAGTCATTTACATTTTTGTCATTTACATTTTTGGTACAAATTTATCAAAATCGGAGAAAAAATGTTGTACCAACATGGACCATGGCATTTATTCATTATTACATTGACGGGTATGCTCACAGTTACATGTCACATCTGTGATCTGCATCAGCAAAATTTATTTATTACCCAAATCCCCATTTCAATTCCTTAACATTGAAAATGAACATCAGAGCTTAACATTTTGGAAATAATACCACCTATCCAACGTTGCTAAATACAACGTAATTTTCGATGGATCACCATATTTTTATTGGATCGCCTTTAAATTTACGCATTACCCCATACCTAGCTGTGTCCTGTATAATATAGGTAACTAATACAGAAAATTAGAAAGGCCATACCGAGTAATGAGCAGAGTAATATGATTTCCAAATGTCAATAATAAGTGTTTACTTTAAACATAAATTTAGATAAACTTAAACATTAAAGGTGTCAATGTTATGTTTTTATTTGGAGCATGATGATTATTGATGAGTGGTATTTTATTTGAAACGTATCACTATCAGATAACAACATTTCAATGTTTCCTCATTCTTGCTTCATCAAATTGTCATTTAAGATAATTTTAGAAATATTAAGTGGGAATGTAAAAATAATGATAAAAACATACTATATATAACGAATAAATACATGTGACATGGCATACAATTATACATAAATGTCAGGACAGTCCGATGTAATTGTAGAACTGTAGTATCAAGTATTGAGTATAGGTCGCCTGATATGACACGTACTCACGTATGGCTATGCTGCTTATTACCTGGCACGCTAATCCCTGCATTGTGCATGGGCGGTGCTCTTTTCAAGCTTTCAGAAACTTGCTAAACCAGTATATAGCCCTGTGCACGCTTAAAAGATCTGACAGGTCGCTTGTTAGGCCGTTAGGAGTAAGGGGCCATTTACTTAGGACCTCCGCCAAAATCGCAGATTTTCAGACCACTCCCCAGTCCCCTCCCCCTGTCCGGGTGTGTCCGAATTTTCAAAACCACCCCCTTCCCCCGGACGTCCAAATTTCCAGCTACGTTTAAAAGTACAAATAAAACAACAAACAAACTCAAATTCATTCATGTTAATAAAATTTAAAGAGTTGAAATGAAATTCAAAGAGTTAAAATAAATGAAACTTTTTTCTTGATTCTGCCAAAATTTCCGGACCACAGACGTCCGGATTTTCAAAAACCACCCCCTCCGATCCCCCTGTCGGGATTTGTCCGAAATTGCATGATGCAATCCGCGCAATTTGTGGATTGGAGTGTGCCTTTCGGTAGAAATATAACTTGCACGTACCAAAGCACATTATCCCCAAATTAAATTGCACGCATTGCAAAAGCGTTTTAAAAACTTGCTTGAGCTTGGCTGTAAGCGTGCCTTTCTTTTATACTATAAGTTATAGTTATACTATGCGCGGCGCTCTTTTCGAGATCCTGCATGCAGTATGTGCTGCATACATTGCATGCATTATATATGAGAGGATCGAGCGAGCAATAGACTAGCGGCAAGCTAAATAATTTTAAAACTAATTCATGAGCAAAGTTGGAGGACGTCCGGACGTCGTCGCGCGAAGACGAGAAAAATAATTGTAGCGGAGCTGCTACATGCTAACGCGACGGATGATACTCGTTTAAATGTTTGGGCCACGCCGGCACGCCGCGCCGAGTTGCAAAGAATTTTGAAATCTTCAATTACAAATTAATTGTTAATATAATAGTTTTATAACACTCTACATGCTCAAATTCTAAAATTTTTCTAATTGGACTCCTGGCAGTTAAAACCATAAATCGAATAAATAAAATGTATTTCATATTTTTGAACGCTGATTCTAGGTAGTGCGCCATCGACAGTGAACCGCGCGTGCCGACTGTAGGATGGTTTTTTAGCGCTAATTTCGGCCATCACAAAATTCTTGAAACAAATGCATATTGAGTAACCTTCCCTTGATCCAATTTGAACAAAAATTGGTAAGCTTACTCATAGACTTACAAGGAAAGTGTCCGAAAAATTTAAAACATATCCAACTAAGGGGTGCACGATAAAAAATAAACTTGCTCGGATTTTCAAAATTTTTGTACCATTGTTTTCTAGAGACTGTGGGAATTTTCACAGTACCAAATTTGTTTTACCTTTTTGGAATGATCAGTGAGTATCGCCTAGGTGCCATATTTGATGGTGCGCGGCTTTTGGAGCAAAATTAGGTGTAAAAGTCGCGTAATTTCAAATTTGACGAAATTCGTTGATTTTTGTCGTATTATTCTGTCATATCTCAGGTTGCTGTATATGAATTATGCCGAAAATTTGTCAGAACCTTCCAATTATACTTAACTACCGAACCTAATTTAGTTGGGAGTGATTGGCTTTGATTAAGAGGTCTAAAAATGACAAAATAGGCATAAATTCGTTGATAACTCAAATTCTGACCATCGAAATGGCTCAAACTAAATTAGGTTCAGTAGAACATAAGTGTTTACGTAAGCAGACCAAATTTCAGCTAAATTGTTATATGGGAAGTATTATAACTTTTTGATTGTTTCCAAAATAATGTGCTGGCCGAAATACGAGCCAAAAAACATTCAATGGTCAGCGCGCGCGTCTTACGGTCGATGGCGCACTGCCTAATCCAACCATCAAACATTATGTTACAGCTAAAAGCAACGTATTTTGCCCCATTTTCATCACTATATCAACTTTACTGGGCCGCGCGCTCAGCCTGTCATTCCACCGAATTTCTATTATTATATGAACATAATAGCCTGAGGTCCCCAGGTAATATTATAATCAACTCCGATATCCACCAAATTTATGACGATATTATATTGTATATAATAAGAAGTTGGCCTAATTTCTCGTTAGTATAGTGTATAGGGTTAGAGTTTTAGCATAATATGCTTCAGTTAGAGTTAGTATAGCCATAGGGTTAGAGTTGAGTCGGCGACAGACGCTGTATACCTCTTTTTATTTCGCGCGAAAGAAAAGATCAGAGGTAGGTATGATACAACGTGTTCACCTAACCATGTGCTTTCGCGCCACTGCGGGCGCGCTTGTTTTACCGCCGTGATCTGAGGTGGACGCGCGCTACTGCAAGCGCAAGGGCTCTGGATAGAGCAATACAACGTGTGTAGCAAGGTTATACTTATATATTAGGGTCATGGTAATTTACCTAGCTTGCTAGTCTATTGCTCGCTCCTCTCACGTATATTATATTATATGAGTATGACTGAAGCTCGAAAAGAGCGCCGCGCATTGGGCCGGGCCGGGACTGGCGTGCCAGTTGGTTGACGATGTCAACCCATCGAGATCGTTGCTCAACGAATGCGAAGCAAGAATACTAGTTCGCGCGTTGATTCACGATGTCAATCCTTCGCAGCTCGGTGAGGCACAGTGGTGCATCTCCAATCTCGCCGATCTGCGAGAAGAATTATTTGATGCGCGGCGCGACCCAGTAGTGCATAACGCTACAAGTTCGCGCGGCGCGTCGAAGCGGCAAAGTCCTCCAAGCGTGCCAGGTAAGGGTCACGATCAGAATAGAAGGTTAAGGTTTTGAATAGTCATTCACAGCAATCTAGAGAAAGTTAAACTTAAAATATCTTCCTTATGTGGTCATGTCATGTGATCCGCAAAGTTACAAGTCTCAGACATGAAAATGTTTATATTTATAATGTTATAAGCCCAAACATCAAACGTTTGCACACTGACTTATATCATATATTATGGGCCACTAAGTTTTGTCCACTCTCACTCCTTTTGATCTTAATTGTTAATTTTTTCCCACCCACATCAATCTTACTTCCTTCCATATCCTTGTTTCGGATCCCACTCCATATGTCTAAGTCCTCCTTTATCTAACTTTAATTTAAAGACTAATAACCTTGCTTCTTTTTTCCTCAAATCAAGACCCACAAATCTTATTCTGCTTACTTTAAGCTTAAATATAATCAAAAGTAGAGGAATAGCTGCACCCAACAATTATGATTAATTAACGCTCTGAACCTACCGGCTACCCTAACATGAAAGTATCATCTCTTTCTGACAAATAAAACCAATATTTGATATATATTTTGATGGAAAAGATGAGGAATATCTGAACTACAACTTAATTCAAATACATTAAACAAAATGGTAGCTATCATATTTTGATCGAAGCTGTAAATATTAGAATTTCATTTTATTGTAAATACTGATTTTCATAGACATTGAAAATGATATTACTAAAAACAGACGTGAAAAATAATAATAAAGCTTAGTATAGTTTTGAACGGCTTTTGTGAAATTCATTAGGAGCTAAACTCTAAATATCATAAAATATTATTGTAATGAAAGATATATCAAACTCGAGATGAGATTAAGAAAGCGGGGAAAATGATAAAAATCGCAGATGTTATCGATAAAAATCCTCTCATTCACAAACGTAATTGTGACAAACATAATAATCCGCATCACCTGATCAATTTATTTTGGCAAGATGGCACAGTTTCGTTGTTTCCTTAACGTCTTTACAAGACAGCGATAGTAATAAGTATTAATGTTATTCATCATTGTAATAAAAAAGAAGCACAAATTCTAGATTTTGGTAGTCGGAATTATCTATAATCCAACAGACGCATGTCTTCCAAAACTTGTCGAAACTGTGCCATCTTGTCCGATTTTTTTTTGCAGTACAGCCCGAATCGTGCCACTAATCAAAGAGCAAGTAATTCTTTTAGTGCAGAATTTTAATGTTGTGATGATAAAAATAGAAATCGGGCATTTAATTCGGGCTCCACTGGATAGACCTTTATTTTGTATCATTCGAAACTACAAAATCTTGGCAGGCGAACACTCAAAAACAGTATAACATCGAGAATCTTTCAAATCCGCGACCCATACAGATGGATGTCAAGATTTTGCGTACGCTAATAGCATAATATAGCACCTTCATCTTCATCTTACTCTCGATGTACAAATTTTACAAACTGGTCTCTTCTAGACCTTTAAACGAAAATACACAAAATACATGTGAATAAGTATAACTAGCTCACGTAACGTCACCTTCCTACAGATTACGGAGTTTGTTTTAGTGTTCATAAATGTGTTGCATAATAAAAACGAAATCAATCTAACTAACAAATCTAGAAAATAAATTAATAGTTTACTCCATGCACAATGGATTGCATTTGCAATTATTAGGTTTAAGCTGAACAACTCAAGCTTATGAGGACATCAGAAAGTATTCGGACATCCTTAAATCCAGAAGATTAATCATAAGATTAATACGATGAGACGTAATTTCGTCTAAACATTAAATTATTGAAGTTTTAGACATCCAAAAGGCACCAAGTGTAACTTCATCTAAGTGCAGGTATGATAGTTCAGAATGTAATTAATATTCTAAAGTGACCAATTTCCGATGTCCTCAACGATTACTAGGAACGAAACTATTTCCTAAAGCTGATGATTTTATTTTTATCTGAGTGTTTCGTTTGATCAACCAAAAATTTAGGTTTTTCTCCCTGATGAGCAACTTAAAAAGTAGCCCAAAAGTAAGAAACCTAAAAAGGTTATCCAATGAAATAAAGGGAAGGTATGTTTAATATGTAGCTTCACTTGAAAATAGTTCATTTCCGGTAAGCTCAGTCGATGATATTATTATTGTTATAACATATAGGTGAAAAACTCAAATACTCTAGTCCTAGTGTCACTCTGACAATATCGGTCTTGTCAGTTAGGTATAAGTTAGGTTTCAGTCATTTAATCTTCTCCCTAAAGGGAGAAACGCGAGCCAACGGTAATTTAAAAGTTGATTTCCACTCATAATAATCAGGTATTAGGGACGTCAACAGTATAGTATTGATAATCCGGGTGCCCCCTGAAGTTTGGAGTGGTATAATATTTGCTGGCGTACGTGACGGGTTGCCGTCTCCAAGCCCAACTCGATCTTGCTGCGGCTGGAGTATGCTCATCATCCAGAACAGATCTCGTCTCATGCAGCTCTCGTTACAGAGCGCATTGTCCTCACAGATGTCCATATTTCGTTTAGGACAAACTCCCATGTACCAACATTCTATAGCTTTCAATAGGGTTACACCCCGCACTTTAACTTCCGAGAACAACCTGAAATTATTTAATTGTCTCAATTTTGAATTTGACCGGAATAAAATCGAAAAAAAAATCAGATCATCCAGTCTCGGTAGATTAAAATTATTTATAATTCACAGCTACCTTACGAGACATATTTAATCAAATGGTACGAAAGTCGGTGGTTTTTCGTAAAAAACACCATATTTTCGGACTATTTAGGTCACCGTCATTATTTTCCCCAAATTATTTTTCACGTATTTTCCTTAATTATGACTTCATCGATTTACTAGCAATATAGTAAGTTATAAATATGATTCATCAAACAAATGAACACTAGTATTCGATCATGAATTGCTTTAAAAATGATTCTGGACACGTTCCATTAAAAGTAAGCAAGCTCTGTCACGATATAAACTACTATATTGGCCACGGCGGTGAAATTTCGGTAGTAGTGGAAAATAACAGACACCGTCGGTCTCCTATTCCGTCTGGAGGATTAGAAGTTAAGTTTAGACTAACTTTCAAAGGCTCCGGAGAAATTGTTTACAAGATGAAACAGCTGATCAGATAAGATCTTTGCATTTAATCTTCTCAAACATCGGGTTTCATTTTTGTAAGATAAGGAGACGGAAAAAATCCCCAAATACCATGATTTAATTTGGGGTACGAAATTTGGCGGTTTTGAAAAAAATTCCCATATTTCGTTCCCAAATCATTTAGGTCACCGGAATCATATCGAACATAAATATGTCTCGTAAGGTATTCCTGTACGGTTTTAAAACTATTCGAGTTTTTCATTTAACATTAAAACAAGTCCTTCATATTATGAAGTCAGGATGTGCATTGGCTCTGGTAGTGGTTAAAGCACTTCCATCCCAATACATAAGAATTGTTCACGATAACAGATGGCAATTGACCGACTATTTTTAGAATACTTCGTTTGACCACCTCAGACGGCAGATAGGAAATGGAAATTGCACGGGGGGCACAACGTGGCAGACCTGTAATACTTGCACTAGATTTATCTAGACTCCCAGACCCCAGTCATCAAGTCGGCATATTTATTGACTTTCTTTTTCATTGAAACTGAAGTAGAGTCGCTAGCCCTTTGATCGACAGATATTGATCATTAGGCAGTAGGCACTGGAGAAATTGCTTTAATTTAGGACAATCGAATCCTTCATTCGCAGGAAGAAAGATTCACCGATCCAATGATTTAGATAATTGTATTACCAGAAAGGATGCTGGGTTCCACACTAAATTAGGTCCAATAACGGTATTTCCTAAGTGCTAATTTAAGGCAAATTGAAGAAACTAAGAAAAGACTTAAATCGTAGTTTAAGTCGTAAATTTCGTTGCACATGATCGCTCGAAGGGGTAATTGGTTGTAGTGGTGAGTGTTCGAAAGTATGAGGCTGTGTTGAATCAAATGCCAGGACAATGATCTTAGAGGTGGTAAAAGGTGGGACAATCCAGACCATAATGGATGGACAATCTCTGTGACGACCTGCTGGAAATGGAGAACATTGCCAGTAGCAATGCCACAGCTGCAAGACACCATTTCTTCCGAGATCGTGGCCATGTTAAGATATAAAGTATGTTAATGACCAACGCCTCCCAGCAATTAACTGTTTTAATATAAAAATTCAAAATACCCAAAATAACTCACTTTGTATTGCTGAGAATTCCATGTCCAAAGCAGGAAACGCCGAACACAGTGCTGAAAGGAAGGTACAGTCAACAAACAAAGCTAGCGATCCTTTCTGACGCTAATTTTACTAGTTCAGGGATAGTGCTGACAGGACTGCAGCACTTCTACAACAATATTTCTACAATTTCTTGCAAACGATCACAAGATACAAATCAATGTAGGGTACTTGAACTTACGATAATAGTTGTTGATTAAAGATATGTTTGAGTTCTGAAAGGTGCAATATTGTTTTAGTAGTGTACTTACTCGAGTTTCCGGAGGGAAGATTTTACTTGCTCTATAATTTTTCGTAGGACTTGATTGTTTGACCTGACAAAATACAAAATAATGATATCCATATTATTCTTGGATTCTAAGAAACGTCTTTATAACAACGTGAGCATTCCGATTTAATTGTGATAATTACAAAACAAAAAATGGGCACAAAAATGTCAAATTTGAATACTTACATTTCCCCGTACCAATTTGAAAAGAAGATATCATTAATTTCGTATCCATGCATCTGAATCTGGATAGGATCATAATAAAATTGAACGATCATGATCGGTGCTGAAATACATTACTGTTACTGGTATGAAAGTCTGAAATTAACAAAAGACGGATCGAATTTAATTATAATGATACAAAGACTAAAGATCGTGGATCGCGGTTCGTAACTGATACGAATGGTATTTAAATAATAGTCTGATAAATAATAAATAATCGCTTTATACTTATATAAGGTCTAAATTATGTCATCCACATTCCATGTCAACTAAACGCCAATACTTTATCACAATTAAGAGAATGTTCAAATCATGGTTGAATTTTTTGAATTAAATGCTCATTACTTTTTATCAGTTGCTATTAGCGAAAAGAAATGTAAAACATCAAACAACGTTTTAGTCACCTTTAATTTTGGGGTAAATGTTGCTCCCATACAAGCATTTCCATTGATTGCCTTTGTTCAGCTCAAGGCATTTATTTCCAACTGTTTTGTTAACCTGCGAATAAATGTTCATTAATCGTCTAGCGAAATAAATCGGAATAAAAATCCCCTCCCTCAAAACTCGATAAGCATCAGTAAAATTACGTTGACAAATTTTCGCAAGGAAGTTTAAAACTCCAACACTTTTACAAACATCTTGATCAGAAAGCGTAGGATGGACTTTGCGTAGGAAGGCCTGATCATGAGGGAGGTTTTCTATTTACCTGCCAATTACGGAAGTTCCCCTGCTCCGCAGGTACGTTTCCGGTTTCTATGAACCAGCCGCTATCAGCAATCCCCCGCACCTCGGCTGTGCTGTTTACTTTCCGGAGTTGATTTGCAATATTGTCAATGTGAAACATCACTCCGACTCCGCCAGCACTGAGGAAAATCAGTATCAGCAAACAATTATTATGTTGATAACATAAACATGATTTAGTAACAACCTAAGCGTGAGATTAGGGAGCGAGCAAATTTATTGGTTTTTTAAGCGTTTTCGGTATAGCCCTAAAACAGTACCAGAGACAAGTTTCTTAATTAATAAATGCAGTAATTCGGATTGTAAGAAAAATATAATAACATTTTAATAAAAAAGGAAAATAATAATAGTTATTATAGTAATAATCTCTTGCCGTAGTCGGCATAAATTAGGAATTCTGCAGAATTTCTGCCGACTAGCGCTTACTCTGCAGAATTAGCGTGGGAGATTAAAATATTTCGAATAGTTTCTTAATCCAAATCTTCCAAAATTTGTACGTGGGATCCGCCGGAGAGTGTTAGACTGTGTAGCAAACCTGGCTGATTCTACAGATATTTTCATATCAACAAGCGGTGCGAAGGAGACAATTTTTGACTTAATCTCATTAAAACTATGAATATAATTGATGCATGAAAGTATTACTTTATTTATATTAGAGATAGATAAATAATGAAAGTATCGAAAATTATGGACAGACCAAGTAAAAACAACGTAAAAGTCGAAGTTCGACTTCGAACTGGGGTAATGCCAACTAAAATAAAATAATTATAATTCTGTCGTCACTAGTCATTAGTATTCGTATGAGTACTGGTAATTTATGATCTATACCGCATGGTTTTAACCTTACGTCCTCGAGTATTACGTCCTTGGGTATTCTAGACTATTCTAAATTGAGAACTCAAGAATAAATTAGCGTACATATTCTAGTTTGTCTATGTTTAGAATTTCTGCAGTTTTCCAATATAAAATTACAAACACTAAGGAAAAGGACTCTCATGAGCACCTTCAAAGGCCTCAAAAGCCTTCAAAGGCCGAGACCAACAGCGCGGAGCGAAGTTACTTGGGCGTAGCACCAAGTGGAGAAAAACACTATCACATGGAATAAAAGACAGATAAAATATCCTCTGATGTTTTAACTAAAGTTGGAAAATAAAATACCTGGTACCGGTAACTAAAACCCTTGTAGCTTCCCGCATACCGTCCTCTATCAAAGATTCTATCACGCGCTTTATCACCCTTGCACCCCGGAATCTCCAAACTGAAATGTCAATAGATACTCAACTTTTCAAACTCAACAGTCTAGTGATGACAGGCTGCTCATGCGTCCTTTTAACTTTCCAGTATGAATTTAGAATTAACAATTAAACGAAGCCGTATAGTGTGGAGTGCTGGTTCAACTACTAACTGATCAACTGAAGTATATAAAAAAACTATACCTTCATTTTCATCGTTCAGAGAGTCTCCTAGCCAAAGGTCGCTGGTACAATAAGGTATGTAGACTAGATTGGAGCCCCACGCCAGGGGGTTCATCAGCATATCTGTGGAGTCCAATATGCCCTGCCCTGAGGATACAACAATGAGTTACAGATGAGCGCGAACACATTATAGAGCACCCTGCTAAAAGCAGTACAAATCAGTTGACAGGTACTTGTGGCACGACCAGGTCAGCCTTGACTCTCTAAGATTTCTTACCCCGTTTATGAAGAGGCCAATGTCCACTGCCCATGAGGTCCCTGTCGTTTCTAAACCTCTCGGTGCATGTCTTCTCGTCGTTACAATAAAACCCGCCTGAATAGCAGGAATTGTTATTTGACAATGCCCCTCTTTTAACGCAAAAAATGAATGTGGCTTGTTGGAGGCCGACAAAGGCAGGTTAAACTGGAGGTCATCAAAGGAAGGTAACCGCCCCTCAGGCAGGTGCTAAACTAACCGGCCACCTCCCGGAAAATTCCAGTAAAAGTCAGCTCACAATAACAGGACAGTTTTTGAAAATGTGCCAAATTTTGAACAAATTACCTTGAAGATAGATAACCCAGGTCTTTGGATCATGAACTTTTCGTATATAGTACCTGAAAAAGGGTTAAAGTCAGGAAGTTTCACGATAATATCTTCGAGTCTAATTTTCAATTTTCTCCCCCCGACAAGTCATGTGCCTGGATTGGCAGGAAGTTGGGAACATCAAAGGGACCCAGATAGTACAAGTAATCCTGATGATGTAACTAGAATGTGTGGTTTGGCACTGAGGGTCATGACCTGACTGGGGCGGATCCTGTGGTTTCCAGTTTAGAGCTGATCAAAAGTTTGAGTCATGCCTGGTTTGATGCGGCTAGCCACGTGCCAGCGCCCTGGACCCCAGTCACTGTCATTTGTGTCGTTCAGTTTGGCGTATTAGTTCATCGTGGGATCCCTAGTTGAGTTTGCAACCTTATCCTTCGATTATCGAGATGCAGATATTTTAATTTGATTCGAAAACTGCCTAGACCTTATAATGCGACTTATGATTGAGCAGAAGGATCGTCTGAAAGTTGGACCTTGGCAGAGTTTAAAACAGCCTTTAGGCGGTTTAAACAGCTCCCTATCATTATAAGGGTAACTATGTAACCTTCTTGACCGCAAAAAATCGTTTTCTTGGTTTTGAAAAAAGAGTCGACTAAATTTCTCGTTTATCATATTTTCAGAGGCGGCGACAACTAATTCCACAACGGACACTGGGATTCAGTTCAATTAGAAAATGATGAATGACTATTTCAGTCGACAAGCTTGTTCTTAAATTCAGACAAAACTAAGAGAGAAGGTAGATGGAGGAGGCAATGTTAGTAAAACAGTATGTACGAAGGAGACCAAACGACCGCAGGGTAAAAAATGTGATTACAACTCATGTGTTGCGCTAAAAAGTAGGGATCTGCATTACCCGGACACAATACAAAAGACGATTCCAGACCCTCACACGGTAGGGACACGGAGACATCTTGTAAATTAAAATATTCGTGCCACCTCGCAACCTTACCCAGCATGTGTCCCGTCGTTGCAGACAGCGTCCCGATACTTGTGATGTTTCAGCTTCCTCAGGTACAGGTTAGGATCTTGCGAGCACCCCGGGCACATCTCTTCAATTTTCGGCACACTGTAACCTCGGGAGATTTGTTCTTCCTCTGCGCTTAACAAGTCGCTGAACCCGTGGTAAGAGCGCCTCAATGGTCGGAGGTCTCTGCTGTGATGTTTGCGATTGAGTCGGGACCACGACGTACGGAGAAGACTTAACAAGATCGTCAAATTTAATAGTAACATGGCCTGCAAAAAGGGTTCAATCGTCAGCATATAACGTCTAGAAAAAAAAACATGATTTTCTGATAATTAAACTAAGAATCATATTTGTTAAAAGGGGTTAGCAAATTGGGAAAAAGGCTAAGAAGGGCCTTTAATTCGAAAAAATTATTCAGAAGTAAATTCTTTGTTGATGACGTACGCGCTATCGGTATACCGATATGCCTTAGTGACAGCCTGTCAAATGTCAATACTCGTTCAATTAAAGTCGGACTATTCGATGACGAAATCATAACGGAGTCGGGATTAAATGGGAGCTCTGCGTCGCATCACAGGATGACATACGGTCTGAAACGAGGATTGCCTAGTTCCATGCTTCACCCTATCCCGGAAAACACAGGCTTTGTTGCCCTATACAGTCCACGGTCGTACAATGTAATGAGCCTAAAGCATAAGGACAATAGACGTTCTAAACGAATGACTAACAATCTACCGTAGGTAATAGATGTGCTTAGTTCGATCTTAAAATAGCAAAATATTCACGCCAGCTTCGAGTATCTGATTTTCAAGGTGTTCCGATCTGGAGCGGGTGTTTATTAGTGAAACAGAATAGAATTCGGCCAGAACAAACGAGAAGATCCGACAAAAGACTCTGTTTGTCTAAGATACCATGTTCAAATAGTGCCTGCTGAATTTATATTTCTCTCCCATCGCGCAAAGATCTGCACTTTTAAACTACATTAACAGGAGCTGGAATCTGCTTTCTGATCACGAATTGTGCTTTCAAAAGCGTCGCTTAGCTTTGAAGTATGAAATAAAAGAGCGTTCATTCTCACATTCACAACTCGATTGAGAGGTTAGTCCCTTTGAATTTTTACAGGGGGAATATTCTCATTGAGGAACAAATAATTGGCATTCCGAAAGAGTACAAATATAAATGAGTTGAAAATGCGACTTCCAAGGAGCTTTTGGATCAAGTAAATGCGTAACAATGCATGTAGTCCTATAGCATCCTATTTACACTGTTGTACGTATCTTTGAGCCAATTCTGCTGCCAGCTGCTATTAGTGACTTCAAACGCTGACCTTTACGTAGGAAGGCACGCAAGTAACAACACATTTGCGGCACACTATCAATTATTATTCAGTAGACTGATTACAAACGAATGGAAAGAAAAAGAGAAAAACTTCAAACACTTCATGTTCTGAATTTCAAACTTCAAAAATGCGAGGTACTGACCCGTCTACTTTACTTCAGGAAGAGACTTCCTTTCACATGACGAAATTAAATTCTAACGCTACGAAGGGTGAAACTCCAGTGAAAATCAGTGACCCGCGACGCTAATTCGCTGAATTAAGCACACCATTTCAATGGTGTGATAGATAAAACAGCAGTTTAAAGTTGTTTAAGTTCCAACTCGCGTCGTATGCATGGCTGATCAAGCAGGGAACTCTTGCTTCATGTCTTCCTCAAAGTGCTTAGCGCTCATTACGTTAGGTTGGGCAACTGCCAGCTTATTTTCGGCCTCTTTCACTTATATTTCATGGAAACATCACGGCACTCTTTTGATACAGACCAACTTGACGAAACAAAAACTGGGCCAACGAGAGAGGAACTGCAACTTCGTATCCTTCAGAATCTTATGCTCTACTGACGATCTATATAGAAGAATCCTTTTATATTTGTTATGGTAGGAAATAGAAAAGACAGACTCTAGTTAAGCAGTTAGCACGGCTGGTGTCCAGCCGCATTCCTACCACCAGCACCGCCCTGTCAGGGCTGGCCAACTATCGCCGACAATTTCAACACCGTGTTACTAGCATTACTGCAAAGATCAAATAGTTTTTTCCGCATTTTTTGCTCATTCACCTCGGCCAAATGGCTGCAAGTTTGATTTGAGATGTTTTACTGTCACCACCAAACTGACTGCAGTTAGTAATCCATACATTGTCCTTTTGAAAAGAGAGTCAAGGGTAACAGATTAATAGAGACCGACCCGATATGATGGTATGTTGAACGAGAACTAAATTTAAACCACCGTCACTACAACTCCACAACGCCAGAGCCCGGTATCGGCTACAACAGGATAGACCCACTAGCAGTAAAAAGCCATCGTAAAGCCAACAAATGAGAGATGCTACCACGCGAAAGTTCAAAGAAATTCTAATTTGTGAGAGGATGTTTTTGAAATCACACCAGTCAACATGTTCGTGTGAATTGAGTAAAGGCGGAAAACACTCGAGTTTCACGGTAGTTTCACCTAGACACTGTCTGTGTATTTTATAAAAAAAGGGCAACACTTTGTAATCACTAAAGCACCGCCAAATCTCCTATTTCCGTTAATTTTAATTATAGTTACACTTGATACAATACACTGTATAGGGTCCACAATATTGGTAACAATTTTCGGATATAAGGACGAAAACAGGCCTACAGACCATGAAGCCTGTATGAAAACGAAAGTGCCTTTTTTTGAAGGCATGATCTAATATTTTCTGCTTCAAGTTCAACCGCCACAAAAGATCAATAAGGCAAAAAGCAACTGAGTCGGAGAAAAAGCAAAATATTCTTTTAAAATACCGGCAAATAGTGGGGAAGGGTAAGCACTTTCACGTGAGCTCAGCTCGTCCTTAGTCTCCCGGTTTGCCACATCAAAAGGCTGCAAACCCAGCCGTTTCAGTATAAAAGGGGAGGGCGAGCGAAGGCCAATTTAGACCACGCAAGTCATTTGTAGCATCAAATTGAATGAAATCAACTTCATTTTAAGCTTTTCTACTTACATGATATAGAAGTGCAGGTAGAGGGCGTCCAAAGTTGACGCTGTCTCCGCAATGTAAGGCATCTGAAGAATGGCCAGCAGTAACCCTGAATATCGCTTCTCCTCTTGTCATCCTCTCCACGCTGTCTCCAGACTCCTCTCCTGAAATATGTGCTGCATGAGCACTCACAGAGCACCAGCCCCAACCAGATACTTGTACTCCTCTAATGGCAACTTGTACGGCCGCCTACCACCAGGCCCGACACGTCCTTAGTGCACAATTCATTAGGAAACCCGACAAGGGAAAAGAGATGAGGAACGTGACATCAGCCGCCACCAGCCACTCACCAGTCCACTGGAACCAGGAGGCATTCCTGTTGCCGCCGCTCCTCACAGGAACTGAGGTGGGGAGTGGCCACGTCACTGACCCGCACTTCCATCCTACTTTCGGAGATATAGTTTAGTAATGTCAGCACCCTGCAGACTATTATACAGGGTATATAGGACTAATTTATTAATAAATTGCAGCACTGTACTGCAGTACGCTTCGTGACGTACTTAACGTCCTAACCAGCATGATATTCGACGTCAGTAACTAATTGAAGCCCAATAATAAAATAAAAGTATCAGCCAAAATGAATAATAAAAACAAATACGAAAAAAAGACAAACAGCGTAATTCTTAATACCAATTATGGAAATTCTCTGCGAATAAAATGTGTCGATCTAACAAAGTGAGCAGCAAATCAGTCTCACCCCGTGCATAGCGCCAACGCTACATTTGCTGACGATTTAAACAAATCCATCATCAACATTTCTTAAGGATTAATCCCAGTAGCTGTGAACAATGCTCGTTAAAAATAACAAATAATCGTTAAACTTCAATGCCAAGCTGTTCTCGATCAATCTGGATGCAATAAACTAGTTCTGTATAATAACTGAACGACTGTGTACCTGATTTAAATTCGGAAGCATGGCGTTCGCGGAAAAATGATCGATCAAAGCCGATCTCGGTCTCCTTTTGCAGATAAAACTAAACGTTAGTTCGGCAATCCTCAAACACATTCCTGCTTTTCTCGTTACCTGTCTCGACAAGCGGCTAAAAAGCAGGATTGGTCAATGACAATGATAATTTAAACAGCTCTTTCTCTCTTAGATGTGTCGGTGTCAGGAGCTCTCGAACACTGGCTCTCCTTCCTTCTGAACGACGATCGTCCCAGTTGTTATATCGTAAAATGATTGTCCGGATCGCGAGTGCAGCATGGTAAAGAACACGGGGAAGAAGACAGTTGTTGTCAGATCTTTGAAGGCGGTACGCGATACGGCCCTGCGATATTTATTTCTTTATCAGTGGTACAGTGAATCGTATGATCATTGATCAGATACCTGGACACGATCATGATTCTAGAGCTTCAAATGTGCACTGTGCAGACTTGCGCTTTTGAGTGAAAGAGATCAAGCCGAGATCGTTAGCTATCTAAATAAAATTTAGATGAATAATTCATTTTATTCTATTTCTCTCTGTTACTGTGCGAGTTTACCTCCAGAATCCAATGTCGGTGCCAGGCTTAACGACTACTTGATTTGTGGCTGGAAGGTGGACCACACTTTGTGCTTTCACCACTTTAATTCCCATTAGTCGCTTTCCAATAGTTGCTCCACCTCTCCCGTCTCGGGAATAAGACAATAGCACGGACTGAAAATATTTGGTGGAATTAGGCAGATAAAGTTATATAAATATCAGTTGAGGAAACATTTCGAATAAAGATATTTTCATGCTGAGATCGGCAGATCCAAAAGTTAAAACCTACATAGTCCCCTTAGTACATATACCCAAAGTTGAGGCCGAAGAAGGAACCTGCAAATAATAACATGATACCGTGTTCTGATTTTCTTGGCGAAGACTTACAGAGACACTTATCCTCAGCCGATCGAAGGCAATTTTCAATTAAACTGACTGAATGGATCAGTCAATCATTGTTCCACTTATCTTCCTTAAATTGTAACCCCCCTTCCAGTTATGCGTATAATATCGAGAGGGTAAAGAGTCTGTTGCCAAATATTCAAAGATAACGTTATGTTGGTTCCGGTTCGTTATCAGCTGTTTATAGTCCATTGTAACTAGAATAACCATAACTTCAAATTATTACGTACCTCATAAACTAAAACAATAGCCCAATAAAGAAACAGATAGCTCAGAAAATCCATCAGCTCGTCCATTGATATCTCCGATTCCAAGTCCTCATCTAAGAGGAACGCTTTTACAAACGCCTGTTGTTCCGTCCTGAAATTAATTCTCTGTAAGTGCCTGATTCTCGCCATCTAATAACATAGCAACCTCAAACTGACCATGTGCCAGCAGAAAGGATAATGGAATTATTGGTCGTTCAATTGAGTGTTCCACGCCACAATGATAAGGACAGTAAAGAATTTCAATCAGGTGCAATCACGGATGAAATACGATTATTGATTTAGTACCGCGTAAAGTGTGTCATCTATCTAATTTTGAGGCCATGTCGGGAGGACTTGTTTCCAATTTAGCGCTCGCCAGCTGCAGGGCGTATTGGAATTGGTCCGGTCGGTGGAATGCCGACAACGTAATTCCGGTTGATTTCCAGGAATAACTAATAGCTGATATACCGGGTACTAGGATCGAATTGGTTATGCTAAATTGACGGGTCGTTAGGGTAACTCTCAATCTAAAAAGACATTGTAGCAATGTTGCATGACAGAAAGGCTAATGAGGCGACTCGCCAGTCCTGACACATTCACGCGTCTAGAGTTAAAAGGTAATGCCGAATAGCGATATGCCGACTATAAACTAACCTCAAACTTTATCACTAACTGAACAAAGCCTTTGAGACTGTCTACTGTGGGCATGAACCTACTTAAGATCAGAACAATCGCCTCAATTGTATCCGCCTTTAAATTGCTCGTAAATATAGTAAGCGAGGGTGTTCACTGAGGAGGGAGGATTCTGCCCTCGTTACTATCAAGAATCTAGGATAACTTTGTGCTGAATCATGTCCGGGGCTTGACAAATTGGGTGATGAGGAAGACCTGTTAGGTGACAAATAAACCTGTCTAACATACTCAGCTGATCGTTCTGGGCCCTCCCTCATCATGTTTAAACTACTCAAATGAACTTAATTTAGCGAGTCTGTGCTGGGTATGAAATGGGGCTTTGTCCTGTAAGAAGCGGAAGGTGCAGAGTAAGAGAAAGGGAGATAGCCCTTTGAAAACTCTGCCGTCCAGTAGACAAAACAATTTAAACTTACATAAGTACATAACAAAGAAGAATTAAAAGGGTCTGCAAAGCCTTAAATTTTAGGGCTTTTTGGAAATCACAGAAGCTGTACTACCGTGTTCGTTGCGATTGATTGTCAAGAAAGTTTAATTATAGGACATGGTAGAGAAGTCGTCTAAATCGGTCCTATTATGGAATTTGTAAAACTTTTGTATTTTACCAATATCATAGCATCGGCTGCCAAGTTACCAAACTTGAGTGGACTTCTTAAATGCGCGAGATAAATCGTAAAGGGATATATTTCTCGTAAATATTATGGCGGTAAAAATTGGCGGTTTCTGGGCCATCCCGTTATATTTTTAACAGTCGGAATTTTTAACGATCATAATATTAACCGCCTAGTAAATTTTTGATGTTCCCGTAGCCATGTGGTCATAAATTGTAAAGACAATGTGGCTAATAGAAATACAGGCTAGACCTCCATAAGGATAAAATTGTCCTCCTACAAGTGCAAATTTCTTTGCTTCACGACGATAGTATTTTATGATGATTTTACAACCAAGAATGGTGCCAAAAATCTAAAATATTCGAAAAAATCAACAATTTTCTCGTGGTAATCGGGGATTTCCAAGGAAGGGGTAGTCGCAGTTATTTCGCAGTTAAAATCTTGACCGTTAAAATGTAGCGGTTTTTGGGCATCCATTTTTAACGGACGTGATTAATGATTTAAGTAGTAAGGTATGCACTTTCTTTTTTGTCAAACAACTATTTGCCTAGAAGCTTACATGTCTATTGTACTTGATGAACTATATCCAGAACCCGCGCGTCTTTTATCATTTTAATCAAGTAAAAGGTGTGAAGAGTCTAATATAGTGAAGTCAATCCCGATGTCGGGAATTCCCGATCCCGGGATTTCCCGACCATTTTTGACCTGAAATTCCCGACCGGGAAATTTTTTTATTTCCCGAATTTCGGGAAATTTTATGCAATGTAATTTTAATAATTTTAGCGCCTAGATTAGCTTGATTATGCTCGAATCTTCGATGCTCACGCTGGGTAATAAATGATCATGATATAACACTCATCGCAAAGACAAATAAAATACCACTGAAGACCCTGACTCGGCAGAGTTGACTGCTTTGACTGCTCGACGATGAAGATTCAAGATATAGATAATGACTCAGAATCAAAGACAAAAGAGCGATGAACAATGAACAACCTGAGGCGGATCATGAAATATCAGTGGATTTATCTTTTCACGAGCTAACGTCTTTGATAGAATCCTCTCCATTGCCTAGAAGCTTACATGTCTATTGTACTTGATGAACTATATCCAGAACCCGCGTGTCTTTTATCATTTTAATCAAGTAAAAGGTGTGAAGAGTCTAATTCGAAAAAAGTTGGAGACAAACCCGAAAAGGCTACGAATGATTTTGACGTTAGCCTATTGGACAAAACTTCTTAACTGGAGAAATTTTTGGAAATCCCTTAGACACTGTATTTTAACATAGCTAAAATAAAAACCATAATTAAGATTCAAAGTTTAGATCATAGCGTATTGTGAAACCCGACCAAGAATTATTCGAAGCGTATAGTAGAGTTCGTTAAAAGTAGTTTCGAAATAGTAGTTTGATTGGCAATAAATTCTCATAGACTTGTAATTCAACACCCAAATTATTTCTTGTCATCACTATTGCCTTTTCATTGTCGGCAAAAAGGAAATTGTTGGACAAAATATCTAATATTACAGTGATCATTTGACTGGTGTGAAAATGCCGCCTAATTATTTTCTTCACTGCAGAATGCAGATCCAGGTTCAGTAAAATTTGTCGTACCAGATCGGATCAAAAATTACGATTGCAATTGGCCGAATCCCAGAAGGTACCGCGACCGATCGCACGATCATGCATCGATTTTTTGTTCTAAGTAAAACCTTTTAGCACTTAAGATCGGAATGTTTGATCCCTCTTGTCAGATAACGGAAGAATGTTGGTACCGGTACCAAGGTGCCAGTTCCAATGGATCAATTTACCTCTAAATACCATATTAATGACACAACAATATGATGGTTCTCGATTGAACTTTCAGTTTCGAGAGAAGACTGAAATTGTTATCCTAACTAGACATAGATCTGAACTTCTGAATGATCAGGCTCATCGAGATCGATATTAATTGACAGGAAGAACTGGGTTTTGTGGAAGATAATTTCCGCCTTCCAGAATTGTGACGACAATGGCGACATCCTCGAGTGAAGTTTATTTTAACAATCGTGCCGCAGTCTAGCCTATTGTGAGTATGGGAATTACAATTCGTAATTTTCCCTCTTAGCGGCTTTGCCGAACGCACACTTAGCACAAGTCTGTATAGCGACTGGTAATAGATTTATTAGATAGATTCTCCTAGCTAGTGGATTCATGTCCTAATTCAAGAGATTCTTAGGGAGTTCGCTTATTCTCGGTAAAATAGAGTACTTATTATAGAATATAGAGTACAATAGATTACGGTCAATATTGTATTGTACGGTCAATCGCACTTTAATTGTTACTGCTAGAGCTTAATAATTCTGTGCTGAAGCATTTCTTACGCGTATTCAATGTGGTCATAGACTGGTGCAACTTTTGGCAAGATTCAGAATCGAAGACTTAGAAGTTTAGCAGCTGAAAATAGAATGCTGCCTTATAATATCTTCTATTTAAAGGAATTTGTGAGATGGAAAATATGGGCGCTATGGAAGGAATCTGTTCGAAATAGCCTAGTACAATTATTGTGTGCTACTATAAATGCGCACTATAAATGCTCACTTTTTAATTAGCGCTACTTTTACCCAACTAAGTTTTAAAATAAACTATTTTAGTTGCGATGGTTTGTTGGTGGATGGAAACTGGTCAGACATCTAATTTGCTTTATATTTGTAAAGGTTTTATTATTTGTATTATATTAACAATCCCAGATACTCAAGCCTCAAGCCATTGTTAATAATTCGATTGATCACAGTAATTTTAAAATTTTGAAGAGGCGTGATTATTGCACGAGAAGTTGCTGCTTGTATTGGAGATCAGCGGACAAAATTTGACGGATTTAGTTAAAAGCTCCTTTAAAAGTTCACATTCGTTTCTATTGAAAGTGGTAATTTTCCATAATTTAAAATATATCGTTAAACAATTTAAGATTTCAATTTCCGCCCTAGGCACTCTAAAAAATAGAAAAACAGCAACACTCCGAAATATATTTAAAACAAATTCCTTATCATGGAGAAAAATAATTCTGGTACTCCTACACCAAAAAGGTCATCGAGTAACTGCCGCATAACTTATTTCTCACTTAGTAATTCATTGATCAATCTTTAGTTTAAACTTTAGAAGAGCAGTTCAATATATCTTTTGTATTCAAGTAAAGTATGCCGACTTAAAATATTGGTCATCACAGTGACCAATCCGTTTTCTTTTTGTCGGCATGAATTCATCAAAAGCACAAACGAATAAAATACGCTCTGATGGTAAATTTTGAAATAGGAAAGGTTAAAAATATAATGATATTTACTGCGCCAAGTTGCAAAATGCAATACACGTACAGGAATTCGGTATTTAGTAAGAACAGAGTGAATCACGTTAAAATACATGGGCAACTTTGGAACAAAACTTGATCTGCTCTTCTTATGAAGTCAGCATCTAGACCGACTACTAGCGACAATACTGAGTTCGCTGATAAATTATAAAACTTTTGTGCATTGTCCCGCCATTTTTGGCTAAAAATAATGTTGCCGTATGAGCGATGGACAAATGTTTTTTAAACCAATAAATAGCGAAATTTCGAATCCGCTAAATTCCGGCTTTAGTTGGTTGGACACTACAAACCGACCTGGTATTCATTATCCGATTTCTACACTGTATCTCGACATACACTGTATATATCGCCCTGTAGTAGAATGGCTTACGGGCATTTTCTGCTCGATACGCTAGGGACCCCAGATACTCCATATTTTTGACCGTAGAATTCATTATAAGTGGTTTTGAGTTTACCCGGTTAAAACCCAATTTCCGGTCCAAAAAACCATGTTTTTAAATTTTTGAGCAAGTTAATTTCGATGGCATGTCAGTAAAATTTGCATAATAGTGTATTAGAGTATTAGAACTAGCTTCACAAGATAGTATCAATATTGTGCTACTATTTCAGGATTTCCCAGAAATCCAATCGAATGGCGATATAAGGTTCAAGTCATATCTCCAATTCCGTTCAAAGATTTTATAAGATTCTTTTTGATATTTTCAGATTATTTGTCTTAGAAAGTCTGGACACACAGGTCTGGAAATGATTTCATTGTCTTTCTAGAATACTTTTGCATTCCATATAATCTAATTTCTCACAACAGATCGTTATCTGAAGACAGACAAATAATTAACTTGTAGATCACTAAAAGTGGAGGTCCTTAGTACTTAGTAATGTGAGACTCAGTTGTGAGAGGAGCGGATAACCACTAGTAACCCTAGTAACCACAGTAACCAATAGTAACCACAGTAACCAATAGTAACCACAGTAACCACTAGTAACCACAGTAACCACTAGTAACCACAGTTACCACTAGTAACAGTAACAGTGTGAGACTCAGTTGTAGGAGGAGCTGATTGGTATTTGGAAACGAGCTATATCCAAACTTATGTCTGGTTTCCTTGAGGAGTAAGATGCTGCACAGTTGTCAAATAGATGCAGTGGTAACATCATGGATGTTGAATAATGGTTCCAAACTTTAAGTATTGATCGTTGATAAGATCGTTGATAAGATCGTTTTGTCGGGGCCCAGCTTTTTAAATTCTAGATAAGTATACATCATGTTTAATGGGAACGTATGAAAAAACTATTTAGATTAACTATATTTTTAACAAGGTTAACACCAGGGTTCAACTTTGAATATTTTACACTATTCAATAAGACCAGGGCCAGGGTTTTTCCCCGAATTGTAGGCCTTTTCCACGAAAAGCCGTCTAATGTGGCAGCAAAATGTACCATAACCCGGCCAAATTTTAACGTTCTATTCAGTCGACGAGAAAAAATATTTGGTGGTACAAAAAGCTCCATGGGGGGCGCCAAAAAGCTGCAGTGACCAATAAAAAAGCCCTGACTTTTTCAGGACCTAAGAACATTTTTAAATGGGCGCCGAACAAATTACACCACTGCAGCTGATGTTCAACTTGTTATTATGAATTATCATTTATCGCCTTAAAGATTGTTTTTGACTGGCTGCATCATCCAGCTCCAATCACAATACGGACGTGTCGTAATATTGGTAATTAAAGAACGCGCAAGAACGCGCGCGCGATAATTAGGTAGTTTTGCGCGAAAGAGAGAACCTTTGATCATAACAAAGTTATCGCGGGTAACGTAAACAACTAATTATCTAATTTTGTAGGACTATTTCCGGAAACTGAATTTCCGTACACAAGAACGAATGAGAAACACACTCGCAATTCACATGATGATTATAATTACCCAGGTGCTATCTAATTCGAAGAGAGTAAGGGGAATAAATCCAACCAAAGAAATCGATCCCTCTTAGTAAGAGACTCTTACTCAGTAAAATTCGTCACAACTTTAGAAATGCCTGATTTCAAAGAAATAAAGGTTGCGGTCAAACAAAAAAGGAAGTGAATATTTACCCTAGCATGGTGAATAGGATGTACTTCACGAACATCAGAATCTGAAAATCGATAATCTCCGCCGCAATTCGTCGTTTAATGGTCGCCATTTTGTACTTGTATCCGGTAACTAGGATCAATAGATTGTCAATGGAAGTGCCACAACCACTACCGTAGAATTATCTATGATATAGATTTGCTGTGTTGTACATCAAAATGGTCGAACAAAAAGTAGAGTACATCAAGCCAATTAAATGGACATACCGGGGTTACTGACAGATGTGAAATTAGAGGCGAAGTTAGAGGGGAAGTTGACTGGAACTCTGAACAATATCTGTGGCTGATAAGCAGGAGAGGGTAATGCTGAGAGATAATTCACATACTGCTTCCACCAACATCCCCATTCTTCCCGGTACCTATCCATCCTGACTAGTTGTTATACCATTTTAGATGAAGTAGGTATCATAGCTGGAAACATTGGAAATGTCTCTGTAGTCGAGAAAAATAATCATAATTAACCAAGGTATGCTGTATTTTATGTTAAGTGTTTTAAGGGTCCATCATTAGAACTTCGCCAGAAGATATTTGATATTATAATAAGGGTGAAGTTTTCCCAAGAAACTTGTGCCCGATAACCCTTATCTTAACCCTGAACCCTAGCCCTACTAGTGGGGCACGATATTCTTGTGCTGGGTGACGTAAGATGTTTATACCATTGATGACAGAGTTAAACGATTTTGTAAGAAAAAAATATAACGTCATTAATTATTCCTTAATTGTACAAGAAATATCACACTTCAAATGTACGTCATCCTTAAAAGCAAAATTTAAACATCATCCGATCAACAGAATGATTCCTGAAATTGTTGTATATCAAAACATTACCAAACTTGTCAAATCTTATCAAATGGGTACAACTCATTCGATCAGAAATATCATGACCCGTCTATTAAATCGTAATCACGAACTGATGAAAACGGAAAGGAATCGTGTAAATAGGGTAAATATCACTTCAGCAGCCTTAGCGGAGGGAGGTTTGGAAAGAATAACGGATTTTTAGTGTTAACCTTAAATTTGAAAATGGAGTTTAGTGCTGGCAAGAAGGGGTATAAAATGGACAGCAATTTTCTGAAGTAATATCTGAATGATTCCTTACCCTGCAGTTCCACGGCTCAGTTTTGCGACCAGATTTGATACAAAACTCCGCGAAAAGAGTTTTGAAAGGCAAAACTCCGCGAAGGCAGTTTTGTTTACAATGTACGTTTCCACGGTTGGTATTTGCACGCAGATTTGCACGCGCACGTGGGTGCATTATAATGAAATTTCCCACGCGAGCGCCCAGGTTAAATTTCTGCTTTCACGGAGTTTTGGTTCATATCAAAAATATTTCTCCGTGCGGAGAAATATTTTTGAATTTCATTTCCGGTCGCAAAAATGTGAGAAAAAATGTGAGCAAATCTGGTTGCAAAACTGAGCCGTGGAACTGCAGGGTAAGTAGCTTTAACAATTGTGTCAAATACAGAAACGTCAAATAACCAAATTTTCGAATAAAAAAGTAATCGTGATCCATTCTTGGCAACATGCGTTATTTTACTGATATCATTCTTATCATTAATAATTGTCTGGAAAACTAGAAAAGTACAAAATATTGTTAATATCTAAGCAACTACGACTGAATATAAAAAATACCATCAAAAATAATTTATGTTCCATCAAGGTAATAATACATCAAAAATCCCTACTAAAAAGCATACAAAACCCCTCCTTTTCAACCGTAGAAACCAAACTTCAAATTTCAGAGAAATAACAATCTAACCCATTTGTAAATAACATTAAAGCGTTCAATACACAACACATTATAAAGAGATTACACACAAAACATGCTGAACAATAAAACAGATCAATGCTCCGGGGGAGGTTGACATGGCCAGCCTCCTCCAACAGGGGATCCAGATAGCGCACACACTATGTCTTTTAGTGCAAACGTAGTTCCGATCACAGTTCCTAATATTCCAACTAACATTATCAGCATACAGATACTACGCTCTCTCAATGCGGGTCTGAATACCTGAAACATGGTTTAGTTATTGATACTAAAATGTAGTTAGTACACATTTTCTCAAACATTTTAGGATCAAATCTCTGACAGATGCTTTTCAGTAACGGCGACAGACTTTGAGTAACAAATACACAAAATAAAGAAATAGAAAATGATACTCACCATGATATACGCCATAGGAGGGAATATGAGAGCGAGGGAACTGCTGGCAAGCGCTCCTATCAGAGCGATAAACAGTTCGATATGTGGGATGAGGACAGCGAACATAAATGTTAACATTACTAGTATCACGCGTAACCAGAACTGTGAGGTTATGCGAGGTTCGATAAACTGAATAGTGTTTTGGAGCAGTGGCAAGTGCCCGACATAAGCTTGACATATTATAACACACATTGCACTTTTATTTCTTCAACACCAATTAGGTCAAATGAGACAAAAACACATTTGATTCATGCCAGAATCTGCAATTCAACCTAAGATATGAACCTTTTTTATTTTACGGACCTACCTCCACATTGAAGCTGTGGCACTCCGGGAACCTCTCTTTGGCAGGAACCATCAGAATGTCAACAGGAACGTAGAACATGAGAGGGTAGGTGAGGTATACACACAGTGACACTGCTAGCTGAGCAAGCGAACCTACTACTCCTTTCTTCATGTTAAACCTGGACATTTCAATAGTTGTGGGGACGTGGCATCGACTTAGGAAATATATTGAAGAAATGTGCGCTATCCTTGCTATTGGTGGCTCAAATCAGATGTTAAGCTGGCTTAAATAAAATAATTAGTTTCCACATAATATTCCCAATGGCGGTAATGGGTAACATTCAACTACAGTCCGCACGCAGCTACACAATTATAGTAAACTTGTAAATAACAATATCATTATATTATCACTGAGATGTTTTCAGAGATAAACAATTATATCAGTTATATAACATACGTGATGATAGCAGCGGTATCGTATTTGAAGCAGAGAAAACCAAGAGATCCAAATATGATCTGAAGAGACAGCAAAACAAACATTGCAATTATAACGAGACGTGGGAACTTCTCTGGTTCAACCATCTCATTCCTCAGAGGTAAAACTAGACCTGTAAATAAGGTTTTAACTTTAAATATAATGTTTCACTGTCATGGAACTGCGGGAGACTATTACAATTTAAGTGACCAGATTTTGAATTTATAATCCATCTTATAATTGGTTGTAATCGATTTCTAAAACTTCGGGGGCCATAATAATTTATAGGATCTCTGTATAAAACAAATTTACTAACCGATTCCCTCGTAAGAATATATTGCCATGCCAAAGAAAATAGGAAAGCTGCCAATATTTCCATGAATGAGATTAGACGTGTCCTCTGTGAAGTCAGTGTTCATGAATATGTACACCAGAACAACTCCAAGTCCGGTGAATATACACACATTTCCTATAACAGAGAAGACCGCCAGAGCCTTCATGTTCCACACAAATGAAGTTAACATTATGAAGACGAGTAGAACTACCAGGTACACCTGCGGAGCAACATGTTGTTTTTATACAGTAGAACTCCAGCTTACTGCGGAGTTTGGGGGACGGGGAACAACCGCGGTAAATCGGGGTTTGCGGTAAATCGGGGTTTGCGGCAAATCGGGGTTTGCGGTAAATCGGGGTTTTGTTTGTTCACATTATGTATGTTAAGTCCTATTCGGGGAAAAGATTTATGACTTTTGATTGGGAATCGGGTTTTAATTCCCCGATAAATGTTTACTCAAAAATTAATTACATACATACTGACATACAGAATGATTGAATAAAGTTCCACCCCTGTAGAGCACACGTGCTCAAGTTCTAACAAAATTTAAAAATTGCCGCGATTAATCGGGGTTTGCGGTAAATCGAGGCACGGTACATCGGGGTTTTACTGTACCATAATATCATGATCTCGTACCAGCTGTGTCTCAAATGTTGATATGGATACTGATAGATTAAGAAGATAATAAGAGTTATTAAAATATTGTTATTTGTGATACAGTAAAGCTCTGTATATATCAGGTGGCTGAATTTAGGGCATTATAATTGCGATCTGTTAGAGGCATTCATGAATCACGACAATACAATTTTAGTGTCGAGTTTCACCTCAGTTGTATCTGTTACACAATAATTTGTTGGCCTTAAATTTCAACAAAAGCAGGAAAAAAACATTTCCGTTCACATTATATCAGGTGATAATTATATAGGCAGTGAAAGTGGAAGGGTTGAAATTGCATCCTTATCAATATTACATTTTATACCTTCATATTGATTTGCATTTCTGGATAGTAATTTTCCACAACAGTTTTAATGTTTCCAGAGATGAAGATGAAGTAAATTGAGCAGAAACCGAGCTGAGTTAAGATAAGGAATGAGTCCACCGCTCTTCTTCCAACCTTACCATCGCTGTTGAAATAGTCCTGCAAAATTATTAAGTAACAGCTATATTTTACTGTAGCTTCGGACGATAAAATGTTAAATCATACATAAATTTTGTAAGAGTTCTCATCTAAAAACAAAAATCTAATCAGAGGTGTCATTGCAATTGCAGGTGACAAAAACCGAGAAAATATTGCCTTATTTTAGCGATTCTACCGTCAATTATAAATCGATGCACTGTAATAGATTGATTTAATTTATTTTAACTATTATATACCTTACAAGCGAGTTCGACTACATCCCCGTAACCCATATTCTTCTGATCGTATTTCCTACCAAGCTTATCAGCACATTTCAGGATAAGAAGCATGCAGTATAGAGACATTCCACATATCAGAGCTAGTAAGGGGGGCCCAACTGCTAAACCTGCCAGCGATATGGCATACGGAATACTTAGAAATCCTGGGGATAGTGGGGGTTAGAATACGGGATACTTTAAACCTTATTATGAAAGTTTAAAATTATATACGCACCAAGAAAATGTGAATAATTATCCATCATGCACATCTGAATAAAAAATGCGTCAATAAAAATAATGTGTAACCTGATCCGATGTTTCCTTTTAAAAAATGTGCGAAAGCTTCAAAGCAGTAGATTTTGTCATCCTTCAGATTTCTTTTAATACTCAGACTCCGATTGAAAGGATCGTTTTTCATAGAACTCAATTCTATACTGTCCTGGTCCCCGGAGTGATTAAGTAAGGGCGACCTGATTCCATAGCTGTCCGAGGATCTTGTGCGAGGTCTGGACCTATCTGATGGCCGGTGCTCTTTATTTGAAAAAGACATATATTTTTATTATATGTTCGTCAGGGGTGGTCAGAGTGTGTATTCTTGTATTGTAGTAGTTTTGCGTAATAACTTAATCAGGGGACCACCTTTTTAGCTGGACAGTTCATAACAGCTTTTCTTGAACGTGGCAGTTTGCTAAAATGTATTGAAATTTAAAAAATGTACATACATATAATGCAAAAATAAATTTGGTACTGTGTAAATACAATTATAGTGGCCATAGCAATTTGTAATCATACCAAAAGTAGTCACTGACTACTGATTATACAATTTGAGAGGGTGCTAAGAGTTATTCGATAATTTATGAAACTTTTGTGATCATTGATCAATGGTACATTTCCACGAATTACTATGTTAAAGCTTGGAAATCTATAAAACTTTTAGGCTCACAGTTAAGACTTCTAAGGGCGATGCAAATGATCAAAAGGGTAGTTCTTTTGGAAACAGTGACTACACGGTCAATTTAAAATCAATTGGTAAACAAAATTAATTAGGAAATTCATCTTAAAACTCCACCAAGAATTAGTTCAAAGTAATGTTACACACAATGTCGGTCCTAAATTACAATAACAAAAGATAATTTGAAATTCGTAACCTTTGAAATTAAACAATACATTTCTAATTCTTGAAATCAAGTGTAACCTATTTTAAAACGATAGTAGTGCTACGTTTGCTACGATAATTTACGCGAAAATGAAAAAGACACTTTTCCAAAATTAAAGATTTTTGAGGTTGCAGAACCAGCATGCAACCAAAAATAAAGCACAAGCCTTAATTGTCATAACAAGGATAAAGTGATAAACTATGCTCAGATTTACCGTTTTACATTTTAAGTAGGTAGATAAACTAAAATTCTATAATATCATAATTTTAGTAGAATCAAGACTCAATCGCTTTGATAATATCCTTCAAAATCATAGATCCTAATACAACAGCTTCACTATTAACCGTTATTTTAACAACATCACCAACATTCAAAGTCATCAACAAAGTCTTCTCCTGGGCAACAGTTTTAGAAGCAAACTTCAGACAATCAGCCTCTGCTGAGAAGCAGATCGAGGTGGCAGCAGTTTCAGAAACTAGCTGACTTATTGTGCCGAAATCTTTACCAGGATTAGGGCACTCTCCAGTTACTTCGTGCATTCCTTTGAGTTTACCTTTCATGTCGTCAAAGTCTGATTCAATCACCACGAAGGGGGACAGCATCTCTCCGACTGGGGGTTGGATCTTACACGGGAACCGTCCTTTGCTGCAGCACAGAGTAAAATTAGCTGGTTGAAGAGTATCGTTGAAGTTAATGTTGATTCCAATTTGACTGGATTGGCCAGGAGAAATGAGTGGAATAGTATCAAACCCAGTAAATTCTATGCCACCCTTCAAATCAATATCGTCGACCTTAACATCAGTTATCTGTTGATCCGTGGTGTTGTTGAAGATAAGAGAAATGGGTACTGCTCCAGAGGAAGCAGCAGATCTAGGGAAGCTGTAGTCTACAGCTAATCCTCCTCCTGACATTCTATGAAGCAGCTCATGGGTTGTCCGCACGCTGTCCAGAGTGTAATTTGCACCGGAGGAAGCCTGATCAACACTCATCCCACCGAAGTCTCCAAGTAGTTCGTCCAAAGTGACACTTGGTGTAGGAACTGACGGTACTGTGTCAGTTGGAGTTTCAGATGGTGCATCAAAATCAAAATCAAGAAGTGTGCCAGTCTCTGATGGTTTAGATTTCTTTGAAGTCTTTGCTTTAGGCGGTGCTTTCTTAACAACTTCTTCGTCACTACTTGATTCTTCCTCGCTTGAATCATCATCATCGTCGTCGGACTCTTCTTCCTCACTTTCTTCTCTTCAGACGACTCGTCCTCCGATTCAACATCGCTCTCCTCGTCACTCTCCTCCTCAGAATCACTTTCCTCTTCAGAGTCAGAGTCTTCCTCATCAGAATCATCTTCGTCAGAGTCTCCCTCAGAGGAGTAGAACCCTTTAGTTTTATGGTTGGTTCCTGACGCTGAACTGGATCTTGATTCTTTTTGTTGAGCAGCCCATGAAGTATCGATAACATTTCGAAGGGTGGCGTCAGGTGCATCCTCAGGGAAGGTAGGCAGAGATTGGTAACCAATAGCATTAGTGTTAAGCATATGAGACAAACTACCCAGTTGATACTCATCCCGGTTTTTAAAGGTGGATCTCAGATTTGGAGGAGGCTTGCTTGTCATGAAGAACTTCTTTGCGTACTTCTCCAGAGGACTTGGGTTCTCAGCGTTTGGACACAGAACTTTTCTAATGAACCTCTCTCTGTCACGAATGTCATAGTTCATATCATATTTGGCCTGAGCTAAGATGTAGGGTACCAAGAGAGTTATCTTTTTGTTGTTCACAATCCAAGCTTTCGCCGCTAAGTTTAGAATTTGAAGCTTGACAATATCCTCTTCCTCTGCAAACGACTTTGCCATTTTCCTCAACACATCTGGAGCCAATTTAGGGACTTTTTCAACATATTCACCTACCAGCCAAAGGATTGAAGCTCTAGCCAAAGGAACAGTCACAGTTGTCAAAAGTCGTGTCATTCGCTTGATGATGCTAGACTTATCAGAAGCTTGCATTTGCAGTAGTTTCTTTATCACAATAACACTTTCCCCGACCACAGTATCATCTTTAGTGCTGATTAGGTTCATTAGGCCATGCATACAAACGTCGGTAACCTCAGATATCTCGGCAGCACATCTCCCAATAGCATGGACAGTTGCAGCAGCAAACTCCTTATCGGAACTATAAACGTAGGTCTGGAACTCCCTCAAGAGGACACTTATATTTGTTTCCGTGGCAATATTAGTCAAAATCTCAAGTTTCAGAAGTCTGACATTAGTCGGGTCAGACGCATTTACAAAGAAGGACTTCATGTGCTGCTCAAACAGCTTCCTATACTTAGCGGACATGGTGGTAATGTTAGTCAGGACAATGACTTGAGTTTCTCTCTTTGACTTCAGGAGTCTGATAAGAGCCTTAACAACATGGACTATTTCGTTCTCCGGAGCACAATGGTAAAACAACTGGGCAACTTGCATGACAACAGCAGAGTTTCTACTCTGAAGAAGTGGTCTGCACGCTTGTAGCAGTAATCTTAAATCAGGATCTACTACATCAATAGAAGTACCTGTTGACATACTGTTCATGAAATCATCCTCGCTGTCTTCCGAGTCTTCAGAACTCTCTTCATCAGAATCTTTTTCTGCAGCCTTTTTGTTAGGATCAAGGAACTGGGTTCTAGCATACCTGGTCAACATGTTGATAACAGCACACTGGCCCCACTCATCAATATCTGCTACAATAGCACATAACCTTCGGTAGTTCTTGTGGATAAGGTCAATCCTACTGGGACACAGTTGCTCAAAAGCCATGACAGCACTTCCAGCTACCAAAGTGGTCTTATCCTGCAGAAGTTTCTCCACCACATCTACCAGTTGTTCTCCTTGGTCAGGATCCAAACTAAACAGTTTGGGGATGGCGTGAGCTGCTGTCTTCCTAACATATGGGGATAGATCGGACACAGAATCTTTAATGGCGAGCATCATGATAGGCACGATCATCTGGACCCTAATACTACTCAAAACACGAAGTGCGCTAGCTCTAATCAGTTGATTAGGGTCTTTTAGTCCCTTCTGGAAGGTACTGATGGACAAAAGTGCCAGGTCTTGTTGCTCCTCAGCATATCTCACCAGGTACATGTAGACCAGTTTCTTAACCTCAGTGGACTTGGAGACCACCGCCTTGACCACGTCAGGAAACAGGTCGGAAACATCCTGACCTTTAGCTACCATCTCTACAATCTTCCTCATTGCTTCAAGCATCTCCTTATCTTTCATGCTTTGCAGCTGCTCTTTTAGAGTTTGATGACCTTTGAAGAACAAGTTTGATCCGAAACCAGGAGGTCCGGGTCCCTGTTCCGGACCCCCACGGTTGTTATCGTATTGGGCAACAAATGCCCCCATTCCTGCCATGGTCTGAAAGGTAGGAGTTAAGAACCGTGTGGAACAAGGAATGGAACTTAGTGATTAAAGTTCATATTTTAAAGTACACTTAAAATTATTCATTCCATAGTTCACATCGACATGTTTTAGTTTTTGTTCAGTTTTAACGCCGAATTGACAAATTGCGAGTAAAATGTTTAAGCTTCTATAATTCATTGAGTCGAGAATATTACGAATGTTTGAGAAAGCAATACAAGTAGTACAGTAGCATATAAAGTTGTAGCATATACAGTTATAAATTATCATAGCAGAGTGGTTTTAATTTCTTTATACCTTTTTTTGCACTGGCATATTATCATGCAGCCAGGATATTTCTCCCCCTTACCAATTATATTATTACAATGAATTATTCAACTTTTAAATCCAGTTAATTGTTATTACTATTGAAACAACGACGTTACTTCTTAATAATTTAAACTAATTCAAAAATTTACCACAAATAACTCTTACAGCGACAATAAATAACTTCTTTACTTAAATAACTTCCCTACTTAAATAACTCACTATAAACGTAAGTATATTATACATGCAGTACTTTAGTGAATTATGAAGTTAACTGTAAAATGAGAAACTCCTTTAAATGGGTTGTATCAAGTTCTAGTACATACAGCGACAGTGTATACAGTGTATACTGTATAAATATACAGTGTATACAGCGACTTTGATTCAGGAATATTATTAACTAAATATTTCACCTAACTATCAGTAATCAGTTAGAAAGTTATCTTAAAAACCGAATATCAAATACACAAGCTTGATGAAACTATAAATGGGTACAAAATAACAATTATCGACAGCCGGGTATAATAAGATAATATAATACAAGATAAAATAATCTACTAATTACAGTGTTGCTACTTAAAATAGGCCTGTGCAATAAGAACGGAGTAATTGCGATTGAAATACACAATAAAAACATAAAAGCGTAATAATATAAGCGGTAAGGGTGCCATTTTGGAGGCCAATTTAAAGTGGCAACACTGTAAGTTCAAATAATCAAAACAAAAATAATCAAGCAAGTGACAATTCTATAATATCAAATAATCAAACAAATATTAATTATATATATTATGTTGAATCAAACCACAAAATAAGATAAAAATACAAGCAGCTCTTGGTAGTATATTGGTTGCAAGTATCATTCACATAGAACATAATACAGTCAAACTCCGATTCACCAGATGTATTTGGGGAAGTAAACAATTAAATAGTAATTTATCACGAGGGTGGGTAAATTAGGGTGCGGTAAATCGGGATTCGAGGTTACATCACAAAATAAAACTCACCAAACGAATCGGTCGTCGCTTCATGATTTGCTGGTCAACAGCTAACAAACAGATGCAATAATAAACGGAGAATTATTAAACACGCTTCACACATACGTAGTAAGGTAAATAAACACTTCCATGCTCAGCTTTCACTCTGCAATAATTCAAGCAACTAAGACAAATCGTACTCCTAGGGTTATAATACATTTATTATCATTATTATATACATATATGTGAATTTAAGTATAATTTATAGGAAATTGTGCATAAGTACAAATTACAATGCGTCAAAAATGATAACCTACTTTAGAAAAGTGCAGCCATAAGCTTATGCATAGGTCCCCGTCTATCATATAACAATATATGAATTATATGATAAACATGATACAACTTGAGGTATGCTGTGGTCTGTGTCTGTATACAACAATTCTTAGATAACAAATGTATGAACTTCGGTCGTTAACTTTCAATAAAGGAGACCTTATCACCTTAATAACACCAGAATGTGTGTGTGTGTGTGTGTCTGTCTGTCTGTCTGTCCGTGTGTAATTTCCGGTCGGTTATACAAAAAAAACGGTAAGAGTTACGGGACTGATTTTTTCGGTATAGTGTCGACAAAACTCTGATGAAGCCCATAGGAAATTTTTTTTTAAATCGGCCGATGGTAAGTGGTTTAATTGATGGTTTTGTACCACAAATGTTACATAAAATTGCGTGAGCAGAACGGCAAGAGTTACGGGGCTTGCTCTCTCTCTCATTACTGTGTAATATGTTATAGCTGCATTTAAGTAGCGTCATAATTGGATTAGCCCGGATTCGCTGTAATGTTATACCTTAAGCTTATTAGGGGAGGGGGGACTGTTAGTGTTTGGGGTCTGTTTGGACTGCAGAGAGAGAGAGAGAGAGAGAGAGAGTTCATACGACAATGTTATGCGTGTTTTCAAATACAATATGCGGGTGTGGTGCGGAGTTAACAAGGGTTAATTTCTATAACGATTTAAATAAAAATAGAAAGCGGTTCAAGACGGGAGTGATGAGGTGTAATACTCGGTGTTCAGACCTTATGATCATGGAGTGTGGTGCCTCATGGCTAATAATGACTTAATTATCCACAAGAAATAACTGATTATGAGATTATTGTTTAAGAAACTATTGGGTCACCTAATGCGGGTTTTGACTCAGCGGGTAATTACTCCTACCCTTTTTAACTGCGGCAGTGAAATCCCGGCCGTAGGCCGGGTTACACTAGTAATTATAATAATTTCAATTAAATTGAAGTCTATCAAATTATACTATATAAATTTGAAGGCTATACAATTTAAGTCTATCAAATTAGAGTCTATCAAATTTGAAGTCTATCAAATAGAAGTCTACTGAGCTTTAACTTGCTTCTTCTCTCCAGTAGCTTTCTCTCTACACCAGCACAACCCCTGCATCAGTTTCATCATCTCCTCGTGCAGTATGCCAGCAACCAACCAGGCAGGAATGTACTCGAAAGTGATGAGACCGTGAACATTCCACCTTCTTTCCGTATAATCCCAGGGACAAGCCCCAAACACACCGAGTACCGCCCCCGTACTGTACTCCCACACGTAGGTATACACAAGGTTAACCACCATGCGTACTACCCTGTGTGACGACTTGATGTGGTTGTAGACAAAGTACTCGTTTAGTAGACCACCCATACCGTAGATGAAGACTGACCAGATGGAGCTCTCGCCCATGAGCTTGAAGTCAGGCTTGATGAGGATGAAGTTGAACATGGCAGTGAAGCAGATCTCGTAGAAGATGCCCTGGATTGAGTAGACCCACAGCTTTACAAATGCTGGCACGTCAGTACACCCCATAGCTAACTACCTTGCTGCAGATTTTAAATGTTTTATATGAGTGTGTTTAGGATTGGACTACTGATAAAAAAACAAACATTTTTCATCATCTTACCAGATACATGTTGGTGTTAGAGTTAAATTGGATATTATAAAGAGATTAATAATATATTATCATAAAAGCTATAAGCAATAAAGAATAGAAATAATTTGATAACGATTCAGAACACTACAAAATTGTAAAAAATAAAACTCGGGCATGTTTTCGGTCAGTGTATTATTATAATTATATGTTTATAAATCAGGTAAAATTAAATTGGGTCTGAAGGTCTGATTAGAAGAAATTAAAACAATAATAAACTCAAACTTCAACAATCTGAAAAAATCAATAATCAATTCTGAATAATCTATAAAATATTAAGTCCGACTGTACAAAGATAAAATTACTCATCCAAACTTAATAATAATGGTGAACCATGGCGACGAGCAAGGCCCAAGGAACTTTGATAAATGCTGGAATAATTGAGGCGAGCCATGGATAGTGAATAGCAACTGAACTCTTCACACATCTCATTGAGTAATGGGTTCGTCCTAGAGGGAATAATTGCTTTGTTAGCGTTTAAATGAAGAAAGTAAAACTGTACAAAATGTTAACTAGAGTTGACACAGATTAGTTGAATAAACATTTCACAACCAAATTAAATGTGTGTGATGTGCCAATTTGTGAGGGATTGCTTACCATCGACATCAATAAAGCCATATTCTGCACCTAAATCAGCTGTTGCGATTGTCTTACCACTTTTGGCTTGAACATTCTTGTCTGAAAGTTTTTTAAATGTGAGAAATGTTATTTTACCTATATCAAACAGTATTGTATTTATGTAAGTTCTTTGGATTTGAAGAAACAACATTTCTAACGTTTTAAAGTGCGTCAAAGAGGTTCGTTGGGTAAAATATGACAGAGTTCCATAATCAATAAGCTAACGCTGCCTCCCTTAGCATATCTTTAGGTATAAGAAAATAAATAGACATTTATGAACGTTCAAACCATTCATAAGACCAACTATAGCTCTTCCTGCATACTCTACAGTCTCTCCTCTTGACATGTTTAGTTTCACGCCTTCAATTTTCTGAAAATTTGAGGATCAGAGCTCTAAATTGAAAACTAAAATTGTAAGCAATTAGATGTTTATAAAGACTACCAGGGTCCAAAACGAAGCCCTTTCGGAGAACGATGAGTGGATGACATGACAATAAAGTAGCTGAAAACCACAATTAATTTTAACTCCTCCTAAATATCCACTTACAGTTTTTTCAAGCTGATCCTTTGCAGCCATAAGAGTCTCTGTTTGCACAAGTCCAGGCCACAGTGATATACAGGTGACATTGTGTTTTTTCAACTCCTTACCACACATTTCAGACATCTTATCCAACTGTAAACACAGGAATATAAATTGAGATAATTTGAATATGTTACACTGGCTGCCCCTTGCATGGTAATAATTAAAGGTCGTATTCTCTACATTTAAACTTACTCCAGCTTTGCCCACCCCGTAAGGAGTGGTAAAGAAATTGAAGAGGGCCCCAGCTGAGGAGATGTTGACGATAAGACCATCTTTCTGATTAACCATCATTTTAGCTGCTCCTTGTGCTGCTATGAAATGACACCTGTGAGGTGAGTCAACGTTAATATTAGTATCAATCAGAATCTGCTATAATATAACAATGATGATCATAGATTTTGATAAATTAAAGGTTTATTCTAGTCCGAGGCTGGTTATCGAAGAGGGTGAGATATGATACAGGGTGGGCCTCAAAAGTCTACCCGTCCTTATCTCTTAAAATTGTAACAGCTCGCTGAGATCTCACTAATTATTTGTAAAACAAAAAGTGGCATAACTTATGTTCTGATAAATATTTTTGCTTCTAAATTTCACAGAATGTTAATAACAAGTAGCTAAACCTTTGTGGCAAGTTTTGTGTGATTGCGAGCTTCACTGAGCTTATTTGACCAATTTAGCCCCTGAGCGAGCTAGCTTGAATTTCTCACCCAGAACTGTTAACATTGGTTAATAGAAACCACACAAAAAATCCTGGGTAAAAAAATCAAAAAACCAGCGATTTATTCACGTTTTACCAATTCTATTCACCACGATCCATCGCACATTCCATTCTCTCTATATTTTAACTGATAAGGACTATCACAGATGATCCGCCCTGCTTGTTTATATCGTTCTTCTCACATGGAATGTGCGATGAATAGAATTGGTAAAACATAAATAAATCGGTGGTTTTTTAATTTTTTTACCCAGGATTTTTTTTGGTGGTTCCTATTAACCAATGTAAACATTTCTGGGTGAGAAATTAAAGCTAGCACGCTCAGGAGCTAACTTTGTCAGACAAGCTCAGACTCACACAAAACTTAGCACGAAGTTGTGTCTAATTATGATTGACATTCTCTAAAAATTTGAATCAAAAATATTAATCAGACCGTAAGTTATGGCGCTTTTCCATTCTGAAATAAAATAATCTCAGCGAGCTGTTACAATTTTAAGAGATAAGGACGGGTAGACTTTTGAGGCCCACCCTGTAGCTTTAGAGGCTCACACGATCAGCCGAATGATCAGGAAACCGTGATTAAAGCTTAATAAGTTGTAAGAATGAAGGTTTTATTGTAGTACTTACCTCAAACCGACATGAATACAATCATCCCAGGATTCTGCGGGCTGCTCCCAGAAAGGGACTGGTGAATTCTTTATAATAGTGTTTACACCTGGGAGTGTTCTTAATAATACGTTGACAATACGTTTCAATACGTTTTAATGAGACATTTTCACAAATATCACGCTATAGGATCCCTTGATCTGGTAACTACGAGATCCTGTACCCAACTACCTACTTTAGATCAACAACATGTGGTTTAGTTTGCACTTGAATTGAATGAGGTATGAATTACGATCATCCTTAAGTCTAATTTCATGATTCAAGTACAATATACATGTGTCAAACTTCTTGCCAATATGGAAAAAGTTGTAATATTTCATGTGATGTAATTTAAAGTGATGCAACAAAACGGCAAAAAAAGAAGAAGAAATGTAAAGGCACACACACTAAAACTTACAAAACAAAGACAGCAATTGTATGATGCAACGTTAGTGTATTTCCCATTGGTTCAAGTGGCCACAAAAGCATCATTAGGGACCTTTATCGTACACAGTATATAATAGTACATGCAGTATGCGACATATCCCGTTGAGATATTATCCTGTAACTTCCTTGGTTCAGAAAAGTACCTTTATATGCATTATTGACGAGCAGATCAATCCTTCCATGATCCTTCTTGATCTTATCAAAGAGTCTGTAAATCTCCTCGTCGACTCCATGATCACATTGAACAGGAATAGCAACTCCACCCCTTGCATTCACCTCCTCAGCAGTAATATTCAGAGATCCTGGAGCTTTGCTGGAAAGTTCCAGAGTTCGTCCAGTTATGTAAACGGTAGCTCCTTCACTACCTAGAGCCAGAGCTATACCTCTACCAATACCACGTGAAGCACCAGTCACCAGACAGATCTTGTTATGTAAACTCATCTTGCCTATAATAAAAGTGATGTTTCGTTAATTAATAGTATTTAATGTAAAGCTGACGTGATTATAAATATAAAGTTTGATCGTGGATAAAAAGGAATATTACGATAGTACATCCCTGTGCCCGATATAATGGAAGTTTTTAACTTGGAATGATTTCAATCATGCAACTAAATAAAACACACACCAGAATTTATTAAGACATCTAAAAATTGTGGTAAGTACAATAAATTATAAATTGATAAAATAAAGTGCAATTCCGGGCACAACAACTATCCCTTAGAGCATAATATTATTATAAATCAAAGCAATCTTAATTCTTAAATCTATACAAAAGTTTGATTCAAACATGTTAAACAATCTGTTAAGGCCACAGGGGGGGGTCCGAGGTCGATTTTGAGATTTTGAGATATGTTGTAGAACTCGATCTAAATTTTCAAATGCTTTTGTCCTTACCGAAAACAAAGTTTCCTATTTGAAGATATCGCGCGTTGAATTTTGAGGTTTACCTGTAATTCTATTGTAAATGAAAACTTTAAATGAAATCGTGTTCAAAATCTATCTTCTTTTTCAGTTTATGACTTAGAACCTTGTAACTTGGCAACAATGTTCTTCAAGGTATTTTGAGTTTTTGTTATGTAACGATTTATGATATCTTGCTCCAAAGCTGAGATATGAGGTTAACCATGAGTGCGGGTTAAAAAATTTAAAATGGTTAACCTCATAAAAAGAGTTAGGAGCAAAATTACAACAATCGTTACATAACAAACTTTTAAATTTATGTCAGGAACATAAGTTCCAAATTTGAGGTGAAATGGATAAAAACTCTAGGAGAAGATAGATTTTGAAGTCAAAAATTCGAGGTTTTCAGGAGAGGCAAAAAACTGTTTTTTATGTTATGTGATTTTTGAGAATTTTGCCTTTATTTGTATATTTTTCAAAGTTTAACTGCTGAAATAACACAAAAACAATAAAAACAAAGCTTATCGTAGTTTTCAGTTGTAATGGCATCAATATTTCTGCCCTCCATTATATTTATCAAAAAAATGAGGTTAAATGAGAATTGGTTAACCTCATTTATAAAAAAAAGTAAAATAGCTACAGACAAATGAGTGGTGGCAAAGTATCCACCACAAAAATATATATTGATTCAAAGCATAATGTTTTTTTGCATTTTTTGAGGCCTCGACCCCCCCCCTGTGGCCTTAATATTGATGGACTTTAAAAATCACTGTAATCAAATCATACGGGAAAAGGGTAAACGTGTGATAATTAACATCCAAAAAAAATGTAAAAACGTAAGTACTACGTAATAATTGTTATTAATAATCTACCAAATCAAAGTGAGTTTTAGTTAGTAGTCAACAATCAAGTTAATAATAATGATGAACCATGGCAACCAGCCAGGCCCATGGTACCTTTATAAATGCAGGAATAAGAGCAGCGAGCCAGGGATGCTTCATAGCAACTCCTGCCTTTACACAGCGCATTGAATGGTGGGTTCGTCCTGGGGTGAGTTGTTAGTTTTTAGCGTAATTTTTAGTGTAGGAAACGTTTTTTAAAACTTCAAAAGTTCAACAGATTGTCAAAACATCCATCTCAAATCAAGTTTGAAATGTTTGAGGTGCTGTTTTGTTACTTACCATCGACATCAATGAAACCATATTCTGAGCCTAAATCGGCAGTTGTGATTGTTTTTGCGGTTTTGGCGATCAACTGCTTGTCTGAAATATATATTCAATTCAGATGCAGGAAAAAAATGGACAAACATATATATGAAAGCCACTACCATTCACACCAGGCCATGGTTTGGTTATAGTGACGGCTGCTCTTCAGTTTTTCAATCAGATCAAATATATCCAACTGTCCATTAGAAGGTCATACCATTCATGAGTCCAACTATAGCCCTTCCAGCATATTCCACAGTTTCTCCTTTTGACACATCGATCTTAACACCGCCAATTTTCTGAAGATTCCAAGTGATCAAAAGTTCAATTGTTTAATAATTTAGTTATATTTGATACAAGAGAAACGCCATTTTCGGACGTGAGGAGAGTTAGGACTCCTCAAACTACATTAAATCAATTCCTTCTGTAACGTCTTCAATAAATGTAATAAATTTGTAGTGTTGTAATTAGTTTAAAACAGTTATCGTAACAGTGTACTGTAGCTAGTTTAAGTGATGCATTTTCGATTTATGTACCTTTTTCTCGAGTGACTCCTTTGCAGCAACAATAGCTTCAGTTTGCACAAGTCCAGGCCACAGTGATAAACAGGTGACATTGTGTTGTTTCAACTCTTTACCACACATTTCAGACATCTTATCCAACTGAAATCACGATTGAAAATGTTAATAAAAGTACTGTATCCATCCATAAAATTGGAAAACAAGCTAAATAAACCGCGGAAAATGAAGCTGAATCGTAATCGAAGAAGTCATAGAAATGAATCTAAACTTTAGTTGAGAATGATATTTTGAATATCCAACTTTCCAGCTAAAATAAGAAGCTACAGAAGCTGCCAGCTGAGATAGTGTGAACCTAGCAAACTTACCCCAGCTTTGCCCACCCCGTAAGGAGTGGTAAAGAAATTGAAGAGGGCCCCAGCTGAGGAGACGTTGACGATAAGACCATCTTTCTGAGTAACCATCATTTTAGCTGCTCCTTGTGATGCTATGAAATGACACCTGATAATTATATAAAGTAAGTGAAGAGAAAGGAGTGGTGGCTGTTATCAGATTGATCCATTTAAAGTACATATATATATTTTGCTTATACATTTTCAATTTTTAACTTACTAAGTGGTGGAAAAGAGTCTGTATTCATTCCAGAACATGATCCATTAAAAATGTTTATAGTAAAATCTTTAGGATCGTTGATGTGCACTGTTAAGGATATCAAGAATCGTATATTCCTTGGTAATGTTGCCTTTAGTAAATTTCAGAAAGTTTGGATGAAGAGCAAGATTTCAGTCCAAAGGAAGATCAAAATCTACGAGGCACAAGTAGTCTCTATTCTACTCTACAACTGCAACTCCTGGGCTGCACCACTAGCTTCGTTGAATGAACTTGATATTGCTCATCGCAAACACCTCCGAAGAATCCTCAACATCAGATGGCCTACTGGGGTTATTTCTAATGAGGCACTCTATGCTCGTTGTTATGTCACTCCCTTGTCTGTGAGAGTCTCTAAGTTTCGATGGAGAATGTTAGGACATATCTTAAGAGGACAGGAAGACTCACCAGCATACACCTCTATGTTATTTGCTATAAATTCTGATATTTTTATGGAAGGGAGACGGGGTAGACCATGTTTAAACTTATTAGATGTTATTAGAAAAGACTTGACTAGTAGAAATCTTGATATTAGACTTAAGAATTTGACTGATTTCGAAGACCTTAGATTTTTAGCTTTAGATAGGGAGGAGTGGAAGAAGTTAGAAGATGGTTGATGTTTTTGTTTTCTTTTTTATGCGTTTTGATATCTATAAGGTGCCTAGGATGCTCTTTTAAAGAGATATTTCGTACTTTGAAAGATTTACTACTATAGTATTAAGATCTTATTACCACATACCTCAAACCAACGTGAATAACATCGTCCCATGATTCTTTCTCCTGCTCCCAAAAAGGGATTGCCGTATTCTTTCCGATAGTTGCAACACCTAGCAGTGTCCGTTTTAAGGGCTATAAGCTATACCAGGTTATTCAATGTAAAATATAGACTAGATTATGCTTTACTTCATGTAATATAATAATGTACGTAATACAAACCTTTGAATGCATTATTGACGAGCAAATCAATCTTTCCATGATCCTTCTTGATCTTATCAAAAGTCTGTGAATCTCCTCGTCGACTCCATGATCACATTGAACAGGAATAGCAACTCCACCCCTTGCATTCACCTCCTCAGCAGTAATATTCAGAGATCCTGGAGCTTTGCTGGAAAGTTCCAGAGTTCGTCCAGTTATGTAAACGGTAGCTCCTTCACTACCTAGAGCCAGAGCTATACCTCTACCAATACCACGTGAAGCACCAGTCACCAGACAGATCTTGTTATGTAAACTCATCTTGCCTATAATAAAAGTGATGTTTTGTTAATTAATAGTATTAAATGTAAAGCTGACGTAATTATAATACAATAATACCTTGGCTTTTGAGGACTACGGGCGATAATTCCCGACAGCTTGCTGGAGGGAACGCCCGGCAAGAAAAGAAGCCAAGGTATTATTTGTTATCATTTTTTTCAGTTCCGATCATGGAAGATGTGTAACGTGCGCATGATACAATATAGTTTGTAATATATAGTGCGCCACTGTTATTTGTTTTGAAACTTCCCGCCAGCCAGTCTGAGGTGACTCACAGAAAGTGCTAATAATACCTTCGGTTCCTTGCGGGAAAAATCTGCAAAATATCAGCTCTCAGTGTCAACGAGTTTTAGTGCATATAATTCCCGGAAATAGTTATAAATATAAAAGTATAAAGTTTGATCGTGGATAAAAAGGAATATTACGATAGTACATTCCTGTGCCCGATATAATGGAAGTTTTTAACTTGGAATGAATTCAATCATGCAACTAAATAAAACACATACCACAATTTATTGAGACATCTAAAAATTGTGTTAAGTTAAATAAATTATAAATTGATAAAATAAAGTGCAATTCCGGGCACAACAACTATTCCTTAGAGCATAATATTATTATAAATCAAAGCAATCTAAAATCTATACAAAAGTTTGATTCAAATATGTTAAACAATCTGTTAATATTGATAAAATTCTGAAACTAAAAAATTACTGTAATCAAATCATAAGGGAAAAGGGTAAACGTGTGATAATTAACATCCAAAAAAATGTAAAAACGTAAGTACTACGTAATAATTGTAATTAATAATCTACCAAATCAAAGTGAGTTTTAGTTAGTAGTCAACAATCAAGTTAATAATAATGATGAACCATGGCAACCAGCCAGGCCCATGGTACCTTTATAAATGCAGGAATAAGAGCAGCGAGCCAGGGATGCTTCATAGCAACTCCTGCCTTTACACAGCGCATTGAATGGTGGGTTCTTCCTGGAGTGAGTTGTTAGTTTTTAGCGTTCCATAGGAACAATTAAGGTAAAAAGGCAATCTAAATAAAGTAAAAAGTTTTAAAAAAATTAATCTCGAATCAAGTTTGAAATGATTGATGTGCTGAATTGTTAAAGATTGCTTACCATCGACATCAATGAAACCATATTCTGAGCCTAAATCAGCAGTTGTGATTGTCTTTGCGGTTTTGGCAAGCAAATTCTTGTCTGAAATATATTCAATTCAGATACAAGATAAAAATGGAAAAAGTTCAAACGAATGAGGGGGGGGGGGCATATTTTATCCGATTATCAAATATATATCCAACTGTCCATTAGAAGGTCATACCATTCATGAGTCCAACTATAGCCCTTCCAGCATATTCCACAGTTTCTCCTTTTGACACATCGATCTTAACACCAGCACCTTTCTGAGGATTCTAAGTGATAAAAAGTTCAATTTTTTAATTGTTTAGTTTAAATATCATAACAGTGTGCTGTAGCTAGTTCAAGTGATGCATTTTCGATTTATACCTTTTTCTCGAGTGACTCCTTTGCAGCAACAATAGCTTCAGTTTGCACAAGTCCAGGCCACAGTGATAAACAGGTGACATTGTGTTGTTCCAACTCTTTACCACACATTTCAGACATCTTATCCAACTGAAATCACGATTCAAATTGTTAATAAAAGTACTGAATCCATCCATATGCATAGAATTGGAAAACAAGCTAAATAAACATAGGAGAATGAAGCTGTATCGTAATCAATGGAGTCATAGAAATTAATCTAAATAGTTAGATAGAATGACAAATTGATATTTTGAACATCTAACTTTCCAGCTAAAATAAGAAGCTACAGAAACAGTCAGCTGCCAGTGAACCTAGCAAACTTACCCCAGCTTTGCCCACCCCGTAAGGAGTGGTAAAGAAATTGAAGAGGGCCCCAGCTGAGGAGACGTTGACGATAAGGCCATCTTTCTGAGTAACCATCATTTTAGCTGCTACTTGTGATGCTATGAAATGACACCTGATAATAATATAAAGTAAGTGATGAGAAAGGAGTGTTGGCTGTTATCAGACTGATCCATTTAAGGTTCATATTTTGCTTATATACATTTTCAATTTTTAAATAACTTATTGGTGGAATCTCAAAAAAAGAGTCTGTATTCATTCAGAACATGATCCATTAAAATTTTTTACAATATTAAGATCTTATTACCACATACCTCAAACCAACGTGAATAACATCGTCCCATGATTCTTTCTCCTGCTCCCAAAAAGGGATTGCCGTATTCTTTTCGATAGTTGCAACACCTAGCAGTGTCCGTTTTAAGGGCTATAAGCTGGACCAGGTTATTCAATGTAAAATATAGACTAGATTATGCTTTACTTCATTATATAATATAATAATGTACGTAATACAAACCTTTGAATGCATTATTGACGAGCAAATCAATCTTTCCATGATCCTTCTTGATCTTATCAAAAAGTCTGTGAATCTCCTCGTCGACTCCATGATCACATTGAACAGGAATAGCAACTCCACCCCTTGCATTCACCTCCTCAGCAGTAATATTCAGAGATCCTGGAGCTTTGCTGGAAAGTTCCAGAGTTCGTCCAGTTATGTAAACGGTAGCTCCTTCACTACCTAGAGCCAGAGCTATACCTCTACCAATACCACGTGAAGCACCAGTCACCAGACAGATCTTGTTATGTAAACTCATCTTAATAAAATAATAACGGTGATATGCATGGTCAATTAAAGTTGAGAATTGTGTTAAATTCAGAATTTTTTAATGCTCGTTACATTTGCAGCACTTCAAGTTACATTATGCAAGTAACTTCCAAGAGTTTCTCCGGAAAATCAATTGTTTCTTCATAGACGATAGACAGAACAAACGAATGTTATTGTAGCATTAAAATCAACATAAAATGCAAACATAACGTTTTTCGCCACATAATTTTGTTCAATAAATAATAAAATAATCTTCAATAAAAAACTTCACATTAAACTGAAAGAGCTGAATTTTTTCTCAGCGTTAAACATAATAACAAACAATATTGTAATCGAAAATGGTAATTGTAATAAAATATAGTAACTTGCACACGAAAACAAAAATGCCATAAATCTATATTGGCCTTTTATGCACTTAATTAATAACTGAGACATGCTGTGAGATATCCTAAGAATTTGGGAGTGATGTTCAACATATTGTCTCAAACATAGAACTCGAGTAACACAAAAACGATAACGCTGTTTTACAAAAAACATAAAAATAGAATAGAATAACACAAAATCAATCTGAAAATCATAAAAATCGTTTCTATCATTATTCAAGCAGATCTGTTTTACTGCAAAAGGTTTTTAAAACTTTCAATTAGATGGTATTAGCCCAGTGTAATGCATATTATCTAATGCTTTAATTCATCACCCATAATTTGTAGCTCTAAAGCTCATCATGAAGTTCTACTTCAAATGACTTATCAAAATTTGTAAGAAGATGGTGGAAGAAATTAACAGTTTGCTCAAAGTTCTTGACTGTGATCAATTCATCATGTCCATGAAAACGTTTCAAGTCCTCAGTTCCCAAAAAAGAGGGGACAAATCTATAAACATCATCACAAAGCTCCCCGTACCATTTGGTGTCAGTTCCTCCAATCAGCAAACCTGGGATAACAACTGCATCTGGATGAATCTGTTTAACAGTGTGATGTATAACATTGTAACCTTCGCTTTCAGTAGAAGATATTTCAGATGCCTCGTTTGAGTAAATGACATCAACCTTTATTTGGGGATCATTAACAACCTTTTTAATGTGGGCAAGTACATCATCCAAAGTGTGACCTGGAAGAAGTCTTGTATTCAACGTGACACTGACTGAGTTAGGAAGAACATTATCTTTCACTCCACCGCTGATTTTGGTGAAAGCAAAAGTAGTAGTTATCTGTGCTCTGGTACTATCCTTTAACGACATAGCAAAAGATAGAAGGGGAGAAAAGAACCACAAGTTACTACTCAGCATCCTGAAGAATGGCGACTGTGATACAGCTGCATGCTCAAACATTGGCACTTCAATGCCTCGACCAAATAGATTGGGCATGGGGTTGTTGTGCAGTGCAACAATTGCATTACTGAGCATTGTTATTGCTCCCCCATTTGGAGGAGGGGATGAGGCATGTCCTCCAGGATGCTCTAGCGATAATTGTATTGTGGCAAACCCTTTTTCAGCGATACAAATTAAACCCACTGGGCCACTGACTCCAGGAAAGAAACCATTTTTCAGCACTGGGCATCCTTCATCCATCATAAATGCAAATCGAACACCCCTTTTCTTCAATTCAGCAGCTATAACTTTAGCTCCATACAGTCCCATCACTTCTTCATCATGTCCAAAGGCTATGTAGAGGTCTCTTTTTGGTTGCTTACCAGTACTTAGAAGGTGCTCCAATGCTTCCAATATTCCAAAGACAGAATTCTTGTTATCTATGGTGCCTCTTCCATAGATCAATCCATCATCGACTGTTCCAGAAAATGGATGAAAAGACCACTTTTCAAACACAGCAGGCACAACATCAATGTGACCTGTCAGCAGGACAGGTCTGAGAGATTGGTCTGATCCTTTGATGATGTACAAACTGCTAAAGTTGAATCTCTCTAATGTTACCAAGGGCGATGAGTGTATTGTGGGATAGCTTTTGACAATGTGTTCAAGCATTTTCTCCAGAGCAGTTGTGTTGGTTTCATGAACACTGTAGGATATGGTTTGTATTCTAATTGCCTCTTGGAACCTTTCTAAAAGCTCATCTGTAGCAGTAATGAATGCAGTTCCTTCCTCCGGGGAACATGGCACAACTTTCTGTTGGAAATCAGGAAAGAGCAAAGTCTCATTGCTATTATAGCAATCAGGAGGACAGCCACCAAGGTGATGCCGAATTTTAGCATCATCAAACCAGGATATCCTGAAAGTGCATATTTAGAAAAAAAGTGTAGTAAATTAAAAAGATTTTTACAGCAAAGTTTTGATTTTACAATGGGTTTGATTTTAGATTGGGTGTTGATCTTGCCTTTAAAGGGATAAAATTTTACTGTCACCAAGATGTAACTAGGTCGAACGGAGAAATTAGGTCTCACGCAGGAATTAGGTCTCACGCAGGCGCGTGATATAAATATAAATAACTTAAAGGCCGGCCTGCTTGAGACCTAATTTTTTTTTAAAGAAAAAAAATGTCAAACAGTATATATAATACAATAAATTAAATCAAGTGATGCAATTGGCAGAGCACAATCGTAAATCCAGACCTAATTCCTGCGTGAGACCTAATTTTTCCGTTTGACCTAGTTACATCTTGGTGACAGTTACTGTCAAGTCTAAAATGAACCAAATCCAATTCAAGGTCAAATTGGACCTTGAAGGTTTGAGACCCATTTGTGCTGGCAATCCCAGGGGGTGCACCAAGGACTTCGATGCAACAGTATAGTAATATGTTTGCAGTACACTACAATGTATATGAACTGAAGGGGTAGTACCCAAGTAAGATTCTTGATCTTTTGACAAGGCCCCTCCTTATTTAATCCTTAATCACGGTTTTTCGATCAATCAGCTGAGCCAACCAAGGAGACATGACACAGATGTGTAAACACGCATAAATCCAATACAACGAATCCTTAGCTATTTCCCTAGACTAGGTGACACTGGAATTTGAACCCTGGAAGATCTAACCACTCGGCCACATAGCCACTATATTATAGTGAACTCCATGATTTTGGGTTCAATGAGAAGGGATGTTAAGTTGTCTAACTATGTTATTACCCAGGGCTTTGCTGTATGTTCTAGTACCTGTATGTCCTAGTACATGTATGACTTGATACGATTCTTTACCTTTCATATAACAACGGTGTAGTTACCGTTACTCTGTCAGAATATCTGCATATTTATATAATATATTTATATATAAAGTGGCAATTATGATTTACCAAGGCCAGATGTAATATAGTTTAGTACTGTTGTTTATATTACAGTGCATTACGATTGTAAGTGTACATTACAATATTTTTATGTGTGCACTACAATTGCAAGTGTGCACTACAATTAATCTGTTACGGAAGCAAGCTGGGAGTTTGAAATCGGCTTCGTTATACATTTCATAGTATAATAAACCGTGATATAAACACCAGTGAAACGTAACAGAAAATTTGTAGCGCTCGATTCGCAAATAATCTTCAGAGTGCGCGGCGCTCCGATTTAAAAAATAATATATCAATTTATTATAGCTCAAAGAAAATTAATTGTTCATAAATGTGGTCCCAAAATTTGTTTAAAAATGCGAATTAAATAATTCCGCTTCATGCAGCACACAAGGGGGCTGAAACCAGGTTTTCGATCAAATGCTGCCATTTGCTGTAGTCAAATGAAATCGCTGCATTTTGCAAGTCAGTATGCATAATTGAATTACATATATTCATATGCGGAGCTTGGCTTACATAATGCAGCGATTTTATTGGACGAGAGCAACTTTTGGCGACGTTTGACTACACATGGCAGCGTTTGGTCGAAAACCTGGTTTCAGCTCCCCCTGTGAGCACTGTTAGTTATAAATACTTTAAAGTGTTAATTTCAGATTGCCGCGCGTCTGTAGCTTTTTTCGCTAAAATTTTGCGGTCGCGGTTTTAATTTCACCTAACCACTAACCATGTGCTTTCGCGCCACTTTGGGCGCGCTTGTTTCACAAGTCATGAAAAGCACCTATCATATCCACGAACCCCGATGGGAAGGTTCGTGCGCGCGCGCAGTGCTGACAATAGCGTCTATGTAGCGCAGGTCTACACACGTTACAAATGAGGACAAAAGCGCTGGAAATTTTGGCACCCTATATAAGTGGTGCCAAAATCGTTGGGTGGGTTACTGGGTTGGTAGCTAGAGCCTTTTTACCGCCGTGAGGCGGGCGCGCACTACTGCAAGCGCAAGGGCTCTGGATAGAGCAAGTTTTAATAGTTTTTGGCTTATTATAAATATAACTTTCATAGTTGCAGTTATTTTGAAACCATTTTATTTTGTCACAATCATATCATGTCAACTAAGCAAAATTTGTAAGTTTATAACCTATTAAAACGCGCGCCGAGTTGGACCCGTCAACGCGGTCCTTGAAGCTGAAGATTCAATATTTGAAACAAAAAGTACCACCCGTTAAAGGGAAACGAAACTTTTGATATCAATATTTTAAGATTTAAAGGAACACTAAAATATGGGTGATATTTGTAATTAAACAGTTCAACTCTGAACTTGGCAGTCGGCGCGCGTTCTGGTAAATCATTAACCTACAACAGTATTTTTAAGTATTATAATTCAATTTATATAAAATGTTGCGTTTCATGCAATTTAATTTGACCAATGGCCAAGCTTATTACGATTTATTGTTTAAAATATATATATATATATATATTTAATATTTTAAAGTTATAAGAATTTTAAATTACGAGAAATTTGCTATTTTTTGTCAATTTTACAAACTTGCAACACACAGGAGGCCCACATACTCTTTGACTTTATTGTGCTGCATGACGGTAAATTTGTCTTATTCATAATTATAGGCAAATTTTGGTACCAAACCAGCAAACCTATCAAATACTTTGTAATTGTGCTAACTCATGGCGCTTATTACATTAATCATAGTAGCACTACGTTGTAGGTTTTAGAAAAATCTCTAGCGTAGAGTGATTAAGCACGCTCATGTTTGTATTGTTATGCTCATTGTCTGAGTGGATGGGAAGCATGCTGTCTATACCATTTAGTCAAAACGATTCACCAAACTACTGTTAATCTGCTGCGGCTTGTCGTCTTTACAGGACTCATTATTGAATCATGTTGATTCTTTGAATGAGCTTACCCTAGTCTCAACAAGCAAGAATTCAATGAAATTTTTTGCGAAACAGGGTGTTTTAGACGACATTTGGCATTAAAGAAATTTGTAGGACAGCAATAAACTGGGATTGAAAAGAATCAAGTACTCACGTAAATTTGGTAACTTCACAACAGCAATCTGCATTCTCCAATCAGAATTTACGACTTACTCAGGCCTCATCGTCTTAAGATTTTTACATTTCTTACGGTCTAGGGGACACTATTGACTATAATTATAGAAGTCTTCTAGAATGTTTGCTTGGTTTTAATGACATATATTTACTAATCCACAGTTCAAATCTTTGAAGTCATAAACACAGCCCAGTTACCAGGCGACCATGGGGACTAGGGGGCTTATCTTTTTTCTGGGGTTCGATTTTTTCCGGGGGGGGGGGGGGGGGGGGGGGGGGGGGCTGCCGCCCCCTAGCCCCCCCCCCCTGGCTACGTGCCTGAAAGGGGTGGGTATGTATCTCTTCGCACAATTCATTGAGAGATTCTCAACATCTGGTGGAATGGGTGGTGAAGCTGAAAGACTAGTAAAGAAGCTTGCTAGCAAGATGGAATACCACACAGGGCAAAGGTATTCAGATGCTGTTGGATACATAAGAAAGCGCCTTCGTTTCGAAATCCTAAGAACAACAGTGATTTCTCTACAGGGGGACAGAGGTGCGAGAAATAACTTTGTTGATATAAACAGTTTAGATTTGAATTTGGAGCCACAAAGCAAAAGTTGATATTCAAATTTTTCTCCCAGTTTTAATACTTTCAACACTACTATATAACAAATAATTTGAGGTATGACACCCGGAGATATGACACGATCAAGAGATGTCAAGAAAAGTCCAGTGAAGGTCGATATGACAGCGGATAATGGAGAAATTGAAGAAGAAGAAGATCGTAGCTGTGAATGTAGAAGATATATTGCGGAGGAGTTTTCTTTGGCATGTGCAACTTGCGACATGTACTGGCACTACTGCTGTGTTGGGCTTACTGGATTAACGCAGGAAGAAGGTAACCACTTGACTAACTGGCGCTGCCAAAATTGCTTTATCTCTCCCCACATCAAGGGCACAAGAAGCCAGTCCACAAATCCAGACAGTGAAGAAACCAAGACCCTACGGAATGTTATTAGAGAAGAACTTGGTGCCCTTACTCCGTGTATTAGAGGAATTGTCGAAGATTCTGTGAGTCATACCAATTCTTCTAATGATTCATCTGAAAAACCAAAAGAAATCACAAAAATTGTGAACCAGGCTTTCCAAACCTGGGCAGATGTTACTGCAAATAGTCAGAAGAAAGTTATTGAAGAAATGAGCCTACAGCAAGCTTCTCAAAGTGTTGTCAGTAAAGTTCAGTCAAAGATGCACACTGATGCATATGAGCGAAATTTAAGAAAGCTCAATCTGTGTGTTTTGAATGTACCAGAGAGCAAGAAAACTAACTCCAAGCTACGCCAGGAAGAGGACTCGAAGTTCTGCAAGGAGACACTAAAGATTGAAAAAAGTGACTTTATCAGTTGCCATCGTGCAGGTAAAGTGGATCCAGGTAAGCCAGACTCCTGTCGGCCATTGATCATCCAGACAGCTGACGAGGAGTCAGTTAACTATTATTCCAACCATGGCAAGGGCTGGAAAGAGTCATCATACTGGATAAATCTGGATCTCTGCAGAGCAGACCGAGAGATCCGTTTTTTAGCCAGAGAAGAGAGGAAGAAGAGGCGGGAAGAAGCAGAGAAGGAAAAGACAGAGAAGAAGGTGGAGAAGAAGTAAATAGCAGTAACAAAGAATGTAGTCAGCCCATGAATATATTTTATACTAATGCTAATGGACTATTTAATAAAATTGATGAACTAAAATGTATTCTATCAGTTTATAAATCCATTCATGTAATCTGCATTACAGAAACTCATTTTAATAGTGATATTTTAGATGCTGAAATTTTTATTGAAGGTTTTAGTATGTTTAGAAAAGACAGAGATTTTAAAATCGATAATTCCACTAGCAACATAAGTGGAGGTGGAGGTTCTATTATTTATATTAAAAACAGTTGTAATGCTTCATTAGTGAGCTCATTTTTAAAAGCACCAGACTCTTTAGCTATTAATGTCAATACCTCTGGTGGATTGATTAGTATTTGTTGTATTTATAGGTCTACTTCTTTGAATTTAAAACATAATAATATGTTATTATCTTGCATCAAGAACATATCTAGTGAAAAGAATGTTTTTGAAACCATTATCATAGGAGATTTTAACCTACCTAATGTATCTTGGGAAACTGGTAGTGTAAATAGTGGTATTTCTAGTAAGAATCAGGTTTTAATGATTCAACAAAAGTATATTGATTTATTTAATGACAGTGGTTTGACGTGGTACTTTACTAACGAAACAACCAGAAGACGGCTTGTGAAAGATACTCTCCAGGAGAGTCTTCTTGATCAGGTTTTGTATACAAATGATGCTCTTGTCAACGGTTGTAAGATCGTTTCTCCGCTTGGCAAAAGTGATCATGTTGGGATACTTGTTGAACTGGTTGTTTCGCCCAATACTAACAAAAGTCCCAAACAAAAGATTTTAAAGCCTATTTGGGGTAAGATTTCCTCAGAAGAGTTATTTAATTTTAGTAAGAATAATATTGAATGGGGTTATAGTTGTACAAATAATGTTCAAGATATGTGGGTTGAATTACATGGTAAATTGGAGTCTGTTGCTGCAGCTGTCCCAGCTGCTTCGGTTTATCTCGACAACAGACCTGTCAAGTTGCCATGGAGTACAACTTCACTTAAAAGAATGAGGAAGAACAAAGATAAAGCATGGGCTGAATTTGATATTAATCCTTCGGATATTAACTTTAGCTGTGCAAATAGCAAGCAGCATATTTTTGAGGTGGCAGAAATTAAAGCTAAAGTAAATTATGAAAAGAAGATTACATCTAATTTAAAACAGAATTGCAAATCTTTTTACTCGTATTTGCGTAATAAACGTCAAGTCAAATCAAGTGTTGTTTCTTTAGATAGAGGAGATGGTACACGCACAGATAGTTCATCTGAGTCTGCTGAGGTACTTGCTAGTGCCTTTAGTTCTGTGTTTGTGCGTGAACCACCTGGCCCTCTTCCCCAAAATGAGAGTTATAACAGAGAGGTTATTGATGATATGGAAATTAGCAGTTCTGATATCAAGAAGCAGCTTTTAAAGCTTAATGTTTTTAAGAGTTCTGGTCCGGATGGCGTTCATCCAAAGTTGTTGAAATCCTTAGCATACGATGAAAAGTTTGTTGAAGCTGTAACTGAATTATTTGTTAAGTGTTCAGAAACAGGAGTCCTGCCTGACATTTGGAAGACAGCATCTGTTGTAGCATTGTTCAAAAAGGGTGTTAAATCTGATCCCTTAAATTATAGACCTGTCTCTTTAACTTGTATTTTGTGCAAAGTGTATGAAAAGTTGGTGAGGGCACATTTATTAACATTTTTAGAAGAACGAATTTCAAAGCATCAGCATGGATTTGTGAAGGGTAAATCTTGTCTTTCTAATCTCTTAGAGACATTTGATAATATTCTTGATATTTTAGACGAAGGTGCTCCTGTCGATCTTTTGTATTTTGATTTTAGTAAAGCTTTTGACACAGTCCCCCACTTTAGACTTCTATCTAAATTGGAGGGGTTTGGGGTCAAGGGAAAAGTTTTAGATGTTATAAAAGACTTTCTGACAGACAGAACTATGAGGGTTTGTGTAGAAGGACAATGGTCTGAGGTGAAACACGTGTTATCTGGTGTTCCCCAGGGGTCAGTATTGGGTCCTTTGCTATTTATTCTTTATATAAACGATTTACCTGACAATGTTAAAAATAAGATTAAATTATTTGCAGATGATCTCAAGCTAGTTTGTAATGCAGCTAACCATAGAAGTGTATCTGATGATATTTTAGAACTCGAAATTTGGGAGAGTATTTGGCACTTAAACTTCAATCCTGCCAAGTGTAAAGTAGTCCATATTAATCTGAATAATAATCCTAATTCGAATTATATTGTAAATGGAGTAGAACTAGAAGTATCTGCACAGGAAAAAGATTTGGGGGTTATTACCCATAGCTCCTTGCTTTGGAATGAACAGATAAAAGCATGTATTTCTAAAGCAAATCGTATGATCTGCTGGATTGTAAGAAATTTAGTTATTAGAGAAAAGGTTGTAATGATAGCTATTTATAAAGCTTTGATAAGACCTCATCTTGAGTATTGTGTCCAATTGTGGAATCCAGTTGCGGCTCATGGAAGTTGGGGGACTGTTTTGGAGCTGGAGAGCGTCCAGAGGCGGTTTACCCGTCTTATTGATGAGGTGGGTACTCTTCCATACAGCTGCAGACTGGATATCCTCAATTTGACAACGCTGGCAGAGCGGCGAATACGTGGGGACCTTATCGAAGCTTTTAAAGTAACTAGTGGTTTGACTGAATATGGATCGGGTTTGTTCAGAATGAGCAGATCTGGTCTTAATCTAGTTTCAACTAATAGGTGTAATAAGAGTGTAACTAAAGTTAAGAATCTCCAGTCTTCTTTTCTTCCGGAGCGAGTCATTCCTTACTGGAACAAACTCCCTTCGGATGTCAAGAACTGCTCGACAGTTTTAAGCTTTAAAGTTAGATTGGAAGGATTTAAGAAAGAAATGATTTCTAAAAACAGTGTAAATGATTTTTATTTTTGGAATATTTCGAGTGAAGTTTTAGGGAAAATTGAAGGACCCAGTTATTTAAGCAATAAGGAGACACATAATGAATATCTTTGGTTTCATCCTTTTGTGGCAAAGAAGCGTTTTATAAATCTTTATTCCACTGGGAAGTATTAATGAATTATTTATAGATAATGTATTAGATTTTATTAATTAATAAAATTGAATTTGATAAATTATTAATGTTGATGGAAAAATATATTTATTTAAATTATTTTTTTATTTAGTGCAATGATATTTTGTAGATCACTTGTGATGATGTTATGTCATAATCTTTACTTACTTACTTACTTACTTACTTACCCAATATTTGAGAAAGATAATATATTGATTTTTTGAAGGGTTGTTTTTATATAGGGTCATTGTGACAATATGTGTATATTGTATGAATAATTTTACTGTATATAAAAAACTTTTAAAAAAACTAAATGTTTTGTTCTGCTAAAAGTCGACAACGTGTGACATAATTTCACCATACTTCATTTGAATTTGTTAACAATTCATTTGCATTGAGAGATGTGTTAGCAGAGCTCTTAGAAGCTGGGCCACCTGGGCTTTGTAGATCTTAAGTCTGGTCTTAAGAGTATGCGTTTACCTTGTTCCCAAGCTTTCTTGTAGGTTTGGAAAGCAAGATTTGCCAGAATACATCGTCTTTTTATGTCCTCGTTGCTGCACAATTTGGAACCAAGTGAGATAGATGATCTCCAGGGCTCTCTTCCTCGAAGTGGCTCTCCATTGTCATCAACTTCGTTCTTTTCAGCCAGATAGATATATGTGAACTCTGTTTTTGATTCGTTGACAAAAAGATTCCACTCCTCCAATATCTCCTTGCATATTGGTAACATGGACTCCAAATTCTTTTTATCCTCATCTGTGAAGTCTGTGTCATCTGCGTACTCCCACTCAAGAGGTAGCAGGTTTTCAGCAAACGGAGGGACCCACATCCAGAAACACGCCATCTTGCCAGGCAGCATGGGAGGAAATTTTTTTTGGGAGGAAAAAACGGGAGGAAAAAGAGGAAATTTTTGAGAAGTTACTCCTAAATTTCGAAATATTTGTTTGGGATAAGAACAAATTAATTGAGGAAATTTTTGAAGAAAATGTTTCGATTGTATAAAAATCAAAGAGGAACATCCTGTCAGTTTTGGAACACAGTGAAATATTCTGATTGGAGAATGCAATTGCTGTTGCGAAGTTACCAAATTTACGTGAGTAGTACTTGATTCTGTTCAATCCCCGTTTATTGCCGTCCTACAAATTTCTTTAATGCCAAATGTTGTCTAAAACACCCTATTTCGTAAAAAATTTCCAGGGGGGCTGTGCCCCCCCCTAGCCCCCGCCAAGGGGCTCCGCCCTGGACCCCGCCGCGCTGAGGGCTGTGCCCCCCAGCAGCCCCCCCAAAGAAGAATCCTGGTTTTTTCGAGTGGTTGTTAGATGACCCTGGCTGTTCATGTAAGCATCATGGACGTAGCTTATGTGCTGCTTGGTACTGGAACTGGGGCTATGAACTCACAGATCATAGCCAACTCAACATAGCATTGATGGCTGACTTTGGGGTACCTTTTATTGAGAGTCAGTTGAAATACTAACACCTGGGCCACCTGGTAACAGAAGTTCAAGATAAGATGATGAATTCCATATTTTATCAAAACTTTATAAGAAACCTTGATTTAGTAGAACCAAAGCAGTATTTATTTACTGTGGTTATTTATTTACTTGCAATTATTACAAAAATTGGTTAGGGTCCAAATTTAAGGATCCTAAAGTTCTTATTCCTTAGCCATTTTTTTCTGTTCACCATTTTTTGTAGCAAAAATGTCAAGTGAAAGGTTACAAATGTAGAATTTGCAGAAAAAGAGGTATTTTGGAGATAAGGGTGGGTTTAGATTTGGTTTCCGTTTGTCACACTTTGCCATGACAACAAGAAAGTCACGGGAGAAAGTATAGTCTGTAGTCAGTGCAAGCTTATGTTTATTCTGACATTCCCTGTCTTATAATAACTCTTGAAGTTTTACCATTTTTAATGTGGTTTAATTGCGATTACAATTGGCATCACCTAGTTTTAACCACAGATTGGTAATAAAAGTATTAACCTGAAACACTGAACAATCAAAATATTTGACGTTTGTGGCATTACTATTATATTAGTCATAAGTACAACTCGTACTATGAGTATAGTTCACTTTTTGCTTCCAATGTCTTAAAATACAGATAAAAGTTAAGTTTTATTGCAATTGAATTGAATAACAAGTGTTTCCTGTAGCCAAAGGTGCAAAATTCGCGGTGTGCACCTTTAAGCATAACATTATGAATTAAACTGATCAGCTGGGGAAAGGGAAAAGCTGTCGTAAATTTGGGTTGGCTGTGAATTGTGGTTTAATCTTTGAATTTCAAGCATTGTAACAGCATTTAGGCTATATAGAAGAACATCTTACTATCAATATTTATCAAGACAAAACCTAACAGGCTCTACATAGCAAGTGTGATTTGCAGTATACAATAAATAGCCACTGCTAGGTACCATTCACTAAGTTGAAAATTTGAGTGTCTTCTGGAGTCTGTCAATTGTGTTGTTTGGCACTCTTGTAGGTTGAATGTTTATACATTGGTCCAATTAATTAAAACACTGCCTAGGTCTCTAGAATGTGTCAGGTAAAGGAATCACATCCATCTACTACCAATTCAAAAGGTGTATTTGTGCTAGAGCAGACTGCCAATAGCATCACTCATGGGGTAGGTACAATAATATGTATTGAAATTAAAACCTCAATCACATATCATTAATGTGAACTAATAATTTTTGTTCTTCAGTACTTCCTAAAAAGTTCAATATATCATGTTCTGGAATTAGTTCCAATCTGTTAGTACGATTAATTTCAACTTTAACTGAGTACTTCCTTTTTCAGATGTTTATACCCACATCGATATATCTGCTGTATAAATTCTGTTCCCTGTCTAAGGTAAGTTTAGATTATTTTACAAAATGATATTTCATTTAAATTTGGATTAAGTATTTTCGAATACTTCATCGTACAGATTAATGTGACATGAAGCATTAAAATCCGGCTACAGTATAGAGTAGATCACGTGATCAAATTATTGACATTTCAATAGAAATCTACATGATCCCATGCCTAATTTGTCTTTCCTTGCTCCAACCAGACCCTAAGAGGGGCAACATTTAAGCGGGTTTGCAGGGTGTTTATTACGCTGTTGACTGTGTAGTGTGCATCAATACTGAACTAATTTCAGAGTGATGCAGATCTTTTCAATGCCTGGGTATACGGGATCGCACTAATTGTACTGTTTGGTGTGTCTACTTTATACCACTGTTCCTGCTTAACACAAAAAACGTAAGTTTCGTTTCCCTCGTGGTATCTTTTGGTCTGGCGTATATTTTCATTTCATTTCAATTCATTTTTCATGTTAGTGAATTTAAAATTTGAAATGTATATAAATTACCAATTTCTCTTCAGGAATTTGATAGAGTTTTTACGAATCAGCGATCATGCTACCATATTTCTCTTTATTGCTGGTAAGCAAGTTTATTTATTGATTTTGTGACTTCACTAAAGCAGCTTGTTTTCTATTAGTTGTAACATTGTTATATAATAGTATTATAATATAACTTACTATATAATACAAATGTGACTAACAAATGTTACGTAAGTGCTCACCAGTCACCACTGCCAAGTAGAGTGTCTATTTTAACACTACTACTGCGCTAGAGTACCTAATACATGTAGACTGTAGAGTGTAGACAATAGAGTGTCTACTAAATGTAGAATACTAATTATTACCTACTAAATACTGATATTTGTTAATTTCAGCGTCCTACACCCCCTGGGTTACAATAGCCGGATATGACATAGACGCCACACACTACGTCATACCCCTCTGGAGTCTCGCTGCGTTCGGAATTTTCTTCAGCTTCTACACAAGAGCTTTAACGTGAGTTCAAATCCAGAACTAAGAACTACCAGTTTCAGGACCAATTTTATCATCAGAAAGTTCAAAGTTGTAACGATTCAGGGCTACTCCACGTCGTGTAGGCATTTAATTGATTCACCATGATGTACCAGTGATACGGTAACAACTAATACGATACTATTGACCAATACTATAGACTATGATCCGGCCCACATATTTGTGCTGTTGTGTGTAATGATCTGTATAATAAGCTAATACAATACAGTAACACATTAAATTGTGTGTGGGTGTGTGTGTGTGTGTGTGTGTGTGTGTGTGTGTGTGTGTGTGTGCGTGCGTTTTTGTTTTACATTCCCACACATTGTTAAGTATAAACGCTTTAATCCATGTTGTTACAGTGTAATTCTAAATTGAGCTACAGCTATTTTAGTTCAAGATATATACACAGGTCACAGCGTTCATTGCAACCCGTATAATACAGTGAACAACACATAATATTACGTGTTGTGTTTATGAATGTCTTGCATAATTGGATCATACATCCTGTTTGACTGCCATGCTTACAGATTATAATTATCAACAGTTTAATAGTTCTGTGTTTTCACACGTAATTATCACTACACACATTATTAGATCAAGTCTGATAAAATGAAAAACTAACTAAAATGTGACACTAGTTTACAAGAAAAAGTATTTGAGAATCCCCTGTGGAATTTAAACAAATTCCACAATAAAAATTGAATAATATATAAAGTTTCAACTTGATCGAGAAAAATGTGTTTCCGGAAATGTTCATAATAAACATGATATGAGGTGATATGTAGTGCAGCCCCCCGGCCCCCCTAGGTGATATTATGTAGTGCAGCCCCCCGCCCCCCCCTCCTAGGTGATATGTAGTGCAGCCCCCCGGCCCCCCCTAGGTGATATGTAGTGCAGCCCCCCCGGCCCCCCCAGGTGATATGTAGTGCAGCCCCCCGGCCCCCCGCCCCCCCCCCCCCAGGTGATATGTATTGCAGCCCCCCCCGGCCCCCCGCCCCCCCCCCAGGTTATATGTAGTGCAGCCCCCCCCCCGGCCCCCCGCCCCCCCCCCCCTATGTGATATATCACCTCATATTTTATTACCGTGTGAGGTGACCTACACTTTCAACAACCAAAACTTCCACTCGACTCCTCGTGCTCCATTTTTACATATTTTTGATGAGATTAAGGAAAGTGTAAGGTTACATCTGGCCAATCCGCACAAAATTATTGAATTAAGTCATTTGTCACGTCTTGTCAGCACTCGGCAGGTTAAATAAGTATAAATACAACAATACATAACATGTTATTCAGTGCGGTATTGTACTCAATGTGCGAGTTTGCTGTGCATTTGTAAACAATAGCCGAATACTAATACGTAGATAATAGACGTATTAAATATAAGCAAGGAGTGGTTAAAGACACCCCATTTATTTGTAGTAAAATTAATTGAAAATTGAATATTATGATTATTTTAATCGATGACCGATTTAATGTGGCTTCAAACAGAGATCATATCACGTCACCCAATCGAGCAATCGGCCAATCAGTGACGATTATTTGTGATCCTTGGATTTCAGTAGATTAACTTTAAAATTATGTTCAGCAGAACCTTATCACAGAACTTGCTTGCAAAGCTTCTAAATTTAAAAGCTTTGTTGCCACACCCCAGCCCCACCCCAGCCCCTTTGTTTCAGAAGCTCAATCAATACCTATGTGAACCATGAATGAACATAAACAAACTGCACTGTAGATGTATTGTTTGTACTTACCCTAGTTAAAGATCAGAGGATACTCGAGGAATTAAGGGACAGCACTGCAGCAGTGTTACACAAATATGCGTTAGATAATAGAACAATGATATGGAAAATTTGAAATTCCTAAGATGCCAACTCACCAACTGTTGCAAAATTGAACACTAATACTTTAGGTTCTTAACCCTTAAACAGCGAAGAGCACTCCATGTGGATTGTGGAGTGCCCCTCCAATTTTTTGCCAATTATTTTGGTCTGCAGCCATTTCAAAGCCTAATATAGTTATGAAAAATATACATACAACCTCAGTAATCCTTCTTGTCACTAAAATTACCTATTTTTGTATTGTAAACTTTAAATACTATTAAAATCCGTATATTTTCAGGCACCACGGTTTTGAGTTATGCATGTATATTGCAGAGGGACTGTTGCCAGCGCTGTTTCTTATCTGGCAGGTTAGATCTCTTATCTCGCTTACATGCTTATTAAGTGCTTTCTTCAGAATACTGCAATTTACCTGTATGTGGTATTTGGGAAACAGTAGTAGTTTCTACCATAGCAATATTTCTAGAGCAGACATAACTGTCTCGCGTACTTTGGCCCAATCTCATCCAATTAGCAACTAAGCAATGAGTTGGGTGTCTCTATTGGACACTCAACACGGTAGTTACACTATATAATTTAAACTGTTCGTGCTTTCTAAGTCTCAGCTTCTATCCTAGTCGAGCTGTCAGCTAGTTGGTTGACAGAAATATCTTTGGTCATTCGTAGGAGCGTACGTCAGTGTCATCTTACAAACTAATCTAAAGTGATTACCCTCGAAATTAAAAATATCATCCTTAACTTGGCCAATCCTGAGCTGCTATATTTAACTCCAAATTTAAGTAGGGAAGTAATGAAGGGTATTTTCCTATCACCAACCCTATCCTAGGCCTAGACTACTGATCTAGTAAGTTAGGAACCCTATTTATAGATTATAGTACGTCAATGAGTTACCAAGGTAGTGACTGATAGTTAACGACTTAGCATTCGCCTATAATATCAGCTGATGTAACCTAAACAGGTACGCTGTCATCTGACTTCTGAGAGAATTTCGTGTTTTCAGTTATTAAAGTCAGCTGATATGCGGTAGTTAATATACTATGTTATCATTCAGTGACCTTGTTATAACAGCTACCACGAGAATGGTTACGCCACCATTAATTAGAAAAATTCAATTAGATGATGAAGCGGAGACATAAAAGTTGAGCATTTGCCAGAATTCGGATGGTTATCGAGTCATAATCGAGGAACAATTCAAAACTGCACGACTTGCAGCAGTGCCAATTCTAATCACATTCCTTTTTTTTATTAGATTCGGTAATCTTATTTCTACCTCATACACAGATTATTATAACGAAATGTGAGTTAAATGAACCGAGGGCCGTTGTCGTGCCATGTGGTAAACGGAATGCGCTAAATAATTTTTTGAAATTTCAGCATTTCAGCGCGCGCGTTCTCACCTAGCGACCCACGGCTGTTCAGAACGTCGATTTCTGCGATTCTAATTAGACAGGATTACCCTAGGATTTATCCTAGCGCGTCCGAGATCTCTCGGATTTTATCAATCCTAACGCCGATCCAGTCCCCCCAGGATACCTCCGATGAATTCCTATCGCCGAGCGGCGATAGGATGTGTAAGTTCCGAGAGGCGATAGGATTTGCTCTCGGACCCGATAGGAAATTAAAAACCTATCGGATCCGAGCGCTAATCCTAGCGGAGATAGGATTTAACAATTCCGAGTGCCGATAGGATTTGCTCTCGGACCCGATAGGATACTCAAATCCTATAGGATCCGAGAGCAAATCCGAGAGGCGATCAAATTTCAAATATCAGGACCGATATAATTGGAAGACGACGCATATCTAACTGTAGGTTGAAACTTCATGCTTTCTGTCAGTTAACTTCAGGATCATATCATCGCTTTATCTTAAGTTGATCCACGGTTGCCTGCAGGTTACAACAACATGGAGGTTGTTTAGTTTAAATTAAGTAGATAAATGATAACTTGAAGCTAACTTGTAGTTCTCTATAAGAGTTAACTCTAGGATACCTTGTAGTACTCTTCAAGTTAACTTCAGGATACCTTGTAGTACTCTTCAAGTTAACTACAGGATACCTTGTAGTACTCTTCAAGTTAACTTCAGGATACCTTATAGTACCCTTCAAGTTAACTTCAGAATACCTTGTAGTACTCTTCAAGTTAACTTCAGGTTACCTTGTAGTACTTTTTGAGTTAACTCCAGGATACCTTGTAGTACTCTTCAAGTCAACTTCAGGATAACTTGTAGTACTCTTCAAGTTAACTTCAGGATACCTTGTAGTACTCTTCAAGTTAAGTTCAGGATACCTTGTAGTACTCTTCAAGTTAACTTCAGGATATAACCTTGTAGTACTTTTTGAGTTAACTCCAGGATACTTTGTAGTACTCTTCAAGTTAACTTCAGGTTACCTTGTAGTACTCTTCAAGTTAACTCTAGGATACCTTGTAGTACTCTTCAAGTTAACTTCAGGTTAACTTGTAGTACTCTTCAAGTTAAGTTCAGGATACCTTGTAGTACTCTTCAAGTCACCTTCAGGATAACTTAAGTAGTACTCTTCAAGTTAAATCCAGGATATAACCTTGTACTTTTTGAGTTAAATCCAGGATACTTTGTAGTACTCTTCAAGTTAACTTCAGGTTACCTTGTAGTACTCTTCAAGTTAACTTCAGGATATAACCTTGTAGTACTTTTTGAGTTAAATCCAGGATACTTTGTAGTACTCTTCAAGTTAACTTCAGGATACCTTGTAGTACTCTTCAAGTTAAGTTCAGGATACCTAGTAGTACTCTTCAAGTTAACTTCAGGATATAACCTTGTAGTACTTTTTGAGTTAACTCTAGGATACCTTGTAGTACTCTTCAAGTTAAGTTCAGGATACCTTGTAGTACTCTTCAAGTTAACTTCAGGATACCTTGTAGTACTCTTCAAGTTAACTTCAGGTTACCTTGTAGTACTCTTCAAGTTAAGTTCAGGATACCTTGTAGTACTCTTCAAGTCACCTTCAGGTTACCTTGTAGTACTCTTCAAGTTAAGTTCAGGATACCTTGTAGTACTCTTCAAGTCAACTTCAGGATAACTTGTAGTACTCTTCAAGTTAAGTTCAGGATACCTTGTAGTACTCTTCAAGTCACCTTCAGGATACCTTGTAGTACCCTTCAAGTTAAGTTCAGGATACCTTGTAGTACCCTTCAAGTTAACTTCAGGATATAACCTTGTAGTACTTTTTGAGTTAACTCTAGGATACCTTGTAGTACTCTTCAAGTCAACTTCAGGATAACTTGTAGTACTCTTCAAGTTAACTTCAGGTTACCTTGTAGTACTCTTCAAGTTAAGTTCAGGATACCTTGTAGTACTCTTCAAGTCACCTTCAGGTTACCTTGTAGTACTCTTCAAGTTAAGTTCAGGATACCTTGTAGTACTCTTCAAGTTAACTTCAGGATACCTTGTAGTACTCTTCAAGTTAAGTTCAGGATACCTTGTAGTACTCTTCAAGTCACCTTCAGGTTACCTTGTAGTACTCTTCAAGTTAAGTTCAGGATACCTTGTAGTACTCTTCAAGTTAACTTCAGGATATAACCTTGTAGTACTTTTTGAGTTAAATCCAGGATACTTTGTAGTACTCTTCAAGTTAACTTCAGGATACCTTGTAGTACTCTTCAAGTTAACTTCAGGATACCTTATAGTACCCTTCAAGTTATCTTCAGGATACCTTGTAGTACTCTTCAAGTTAACTTCAGGATAACTTGTAGTAATTTTTGAGTTAACTCTAGGATACCTTGTAGTACCCTTCAAGTTAACTTCAGGATACCTTGTAGTACTCTTCAAGTTAACTTAAGAATATATTCTAATCAATTTTGAGCAGATAACAATGTTTCAGATAGATCTTAGAATGAAACTCCAAAGCCCTTTCAGACAAAACTTTGTAGCTATTCTAAGCCATGTTATTCTGACATTTGGAAACATTTCCTTGCGTTTGAACATAGACTATATTGCTAAGGATAAAATGCTATTCTTAATAACCACTGCAATTCTGAAAAAGCCATTCACAATTTCTTCTGTTCAGTAAAACAATTCTTCGGAAACATAACAAAAGGATACGGCACCGGGAATTCCCAGGCGGTCACCCATCCAAGTACTAACCCGGCCTGCAGTTGCTTAACTTCCCAGATCGAACGAGATGGGGTGTATTCAACCGAGTATGGCCGTATCCAATGATGATGAATTTTGCTTCTCTATATGTTCTCATTAATTTTACGGAAGAATGAAAACATACTAAAAGTTAATATTTTAAATTTTTTTTTTCATGTTTTCGATCTCGATGGAATTTTATTTGAGTTCGGAAACGCGCAACACGCATTTTATCTCCCGGAAATGGTAAATCCGAGAGCACACCTCTCGGAAACGTAAAATCCTAGAGCTAGGCTCTCGGATTTTTTTATCCTATCGCCTCTCAAAAATAAAATCCGAGCGCCTAGCGATCAGGAGCGATCGGACGACGATCTGAAATGCGATCGGATCGCCCTAGGACAGCGAACGTCGTCCAACCAGGAATGGCGTAATCCTATCGGATTAGAATCCACGCTAGAACAGCCGTGGACTACCGACTTTCTCGTGATTTGATTGGTCGACCAATCAAATCACGAGAAAGTCGGTAGTAACACTTCCCGCTGGAAGTTTGACTACCAACTTGAACCTAGAACCTCACGTGTAAAACGTGATAGATATTTATTGACCGAACACATTTATTAATGTTAGACACAATTGTAGATATCGGATAATATGAGTTAGGATATTGTTATTTCTTGTGATATTGCATATTTGAACTGGAATTTTGAAGCTTTACAGTGTTTAAAGTTTACACTATAAATTGTGTGCGTGTATTTTTAAACATACACATTTCTTGAAACTCAAAACTGCCACTGAATAAACACTTGCTGCCAGGGTGACCAACAGAGTGGCCTATATCATGCTTCGCATCTAGCATATTCTGCCAAATATTATTTGTTGATGGTTGAGAGAATCTGTGATAGTATGAAGTGACCAGATATTTGTTCCGTCATCCGTGGGTTTATGATATATATTGAATTAGTAACGAATATTTGTCACTTTTCCCTTATCAGAGGGTCTATCATTTTGAAGTACAATTGAGATTGGCTTTAATCTCCTCTGAGTAACACAAGTTATTGGCAATAACTTGTGTTACTCAGAGGAGATAAAAGCCAATCTCAATTTTACTTTTCACCACAGTTTTCTTAGTGATAAACACATTTCCACGAATACTGGACTATGTTGTTCATTATTTAAACTTTCTTGATATGCATAGAGCCAACCTGACTGTCACCTTAATAGCTTTTATCATTGAATAAAATGT